TTACTTTCGCAGAGACACAGTGATCTTTCTTGATTCACCGCAAGTTGGTAAGAGTGATGAGGGCCACTCTGGTTGGAGAAATCTCGTGTATTTGTTGAGATCAGGACGTTCTTGAAGGAAGAATCAAGAGCCTCTAACGCCCATAACTTTGTTACTTCTCCCTTCACTTCCCCAATTTAAGATATAAGATATTGCAGGTTTGTCTAAACTGTTGGTAGTTTGTTTGTAAAACAAACAATGAGGTGCCTTGTCCCACATCGAATGAATGTGAGTGCGCACGTGGACGAGATTTGGCACTAATCAACGATCATTTTTATTTATTTATTAAATTTCGAATTTATTATTATAAAATAACTGTTTTGTCATATTAAAACAGTGTGATCGTTCGCAATAGAGTGGTGATTATTTTTTAATAATTTAATTTCGAATTTTCATTTTCTGCCTAATGGTAATTAGGCTCTCTTACAACCTTTGGAAGGTTGTGTCTGTTCGGACATAATTTCTTTACATTCGAAAGGTTGTGTTTATTCAACGTATAAATATTTCAACGTTTTTGTTCATTAAAAAAAAACAACCACTTTTTCCATTTCTTCTAAGAGATATATAGCCATCTTTTCTAATTGTTTTCCTAGAGAGACCTTGGAGATATATCGAAATTGCTATTTGGTATTCTCAATCGAAACTTTATTGTATCCTGGAGGAAATTTGCCGGTAACCATTAGCAATTTCGTGGGGCAAATAATTCTTTAAAGAAAGTGATATCACGCCTCAAAGTCTGACTTCGTTGTTCATCCCATTTTGAAGTTGAAGTTTCTTTTCTTCTACAATTTAGAGGAGCACTTTTTCCAACAATTTTAAGGAATTATTTTTGCAACAATGGAGTCAGAGTCAATTAAACACTCTGTGCAATTCGGTGGCTCCTACACATTTTGCTGCTCGAAATAATCTTGATGACATATATTGCGACGGAGAAGAAGACGCGAGCGGCAGGGATGCACAAAAAGAAGAGAACGCGTGTGAGACTGAAGATGAGAGAGCTAATAGTCTAGAATGTTGAGTCAGGCAAATTCAAAATGGATTTTGTCCTTCCTGTGACGTGGGTATGCATGAAGAAAGGGAAGATTTGTTAGTCGGGAGGACAGCCAAGTGCAGAAGCAATTGAAAAGGTTAGACTTGATAAACTTTAATGTTGAATTTCATAAATGTGAATTCTGCCAGAGATCGGGAATGCGGCGAAGATGAGCGTGGAGTTGGCCAAAGGGTTGCTGGACATCGTGAGGCAGACTCTCGGCAATGAGAGCTCCTTCCTCGTCAAGTACTTCGGAAGGGACTCATACATCGTGGGCAGGCCATAGGGGCCGTGCGCGAGGGCGTCCGTGAGATTGGAGCGTTTGAACGAGTACTTGCCCGAGTACAAGGACCCGACACATGTATGATCGGTCACGTTGTTCGTCTTCGTCGTCGTTGTCGTAGGTTCGTAGGCAATTCTCTCTCTGGGTTCCTGATTTGAGCAAGGAAATTGTTTGATTGAGAAATTGGAGAATTCCAGTGACTCTCCTCTCAGTGATCTGAATTCGCATATATATATTTTTTATTTTGTTGTTAATGAATTCGGATGCACACAATCGAAAGCTCTTGATGAGATGGTGAGTTATCGTTATTGAGGGACAAACTTATAGTCATGGGAAGTGATGTGTTTGCATTTCTTCAACACTGTGGTGCCAAAAGTAGAGAGTGTAGTGTGTTCCAAAGGGCAATACTTCATGCAAGAGCCTTGGCTTTGATCCTTCCATAGTCAATCCCAGGGGTGTTAGCCAAAGGTAGCCACTTGAAGGTGCTCCACTCAGAGTTGTTCCGGTTGCATTTGTAACAAAATGGTACTGACAGTGGGGTCCCGAGAAGGATGATATGAGAGCTTCCAAGACATGTATGCATGACTTTCATCAACAAGACATCTGATTCTATTCTGCTAACCATTTTCAAAATGTTTTTGCACTATTGATTCAAAGGACACTAAGGCCTTGGAACAGAAGGAATGCATGTGCAAGTTGCTTTTCTTCTTTCATGATATTTTAGTGTGCTTATACGTTAATGATATGCTTATTTCTTTTTTAACCAATATGACCGGAGTCATTGAGACTAACAAGTATCTGACTTTCATTTTTAAAGTGAAAGATTTGGGTGAAGTGGATACTGTTTTGGGTATTAAAGTTAAAAACATAGTGGGGGTTATTCTTTGAGCCAAAGTGTTTACATTAAAAAAAATGTTGAATAAAATTCAACATCTTGGTTTCAAAGAAATGAGTACTCCACTTGCTTTCAGTATTAAATTAAATTATAATACTGGTAAAGCAGTAGCACAACTTGAATATGCGAATGTTATAGGGTCTTTAATGTATGTGATGTATTGTATTAGACCCGATATTGCTTATTCCGTGTGCAAGTTGAGTACATATATTTGTAATCCAAGTATAGAACATTGGAAAGCTATTACCCGAAGTTTTTGTTATTATAGAGAATAAAAAATTTGGGATTATTCTATAATAATTATTCGGTTGTATTAGGAGAATACACCGATACTAATTGGATTACAAGCGTGGGTGATAAACAATCCACTATTAGATGGATTTTCACATTTGATGGCTGTGTTGTTTCTTGGACGAGCAAGAAACAAATGTGTATAACTCACTCACCTACGGAATTTGAATCATTACTTTAGTAGCAATTGAGAAAGAGACTGAATGGATTAGGAATTTGTTGATGGATATCAAATTATGACCTAGTCCTATGCCTCATATTTCTATCCATTGTGATAGTTAGGCTATTTTGGCAAGAGCTTATAATAGCACTTATAATGATAAGTCTGGACATAACAGCCTAAGACATGAGTATGTGAGACAATTGACTAAAGATGGTACCGTAACAATTGTCTACGTGAGGTCAAACAACAATCTAGCTGATTCCTTGACAAAGGCTTTATTAAGAGACATGGTAAATATGACCTCACAAGAAACGGGGCTGAAACCCTTTAATTAAATCACCAGTAATGGTAACTCGACCTTTTTCTAGAACATCACTAGTTACAAGGTTTAATGGGTAAAAACAAGTTACTGAAGTGATTGTTTGATACTGACATGAGCCCTGACATGAGAAGTCAGTATCGTCTGTTACGTTTGTAGGTTGAATTAAATTCTTAATGAAGTATGGTTTAAATGTGTTATTAGTAACAGAAACACATGAAAGATACTTCACCTATATGAGCTTAGAAGTGGTGCCGCTTCTTACGAAAGTTGGGGTTGCTTTCTAGAGAGCTCATGAAACAGGTACAAGCACATGGCCATAATAGTGCTGAGTAATATAGAACTTCTCGCTGAAACAAGAGGTTATTATATGTGTGGTATGTTCGATTCTATTATCTAAAAGTACAAATTTAAAGCTGAGCTACTTGTCACTTTGATAGAGTTTTGAGATACTTGCACTAAGTAAAGGTTTAACTCGAAAGAGACCTTTATGTATGTATATTAATCTCACGGAAATTTTGGCTGTATATTTTTAACGTTTTATTTCAATTTTGTTTTACAAACAAAGTGGGGGATTGTTGGTAGTTTGTTTGTAAAACAAACAATGAGGTGCCTTGTCCCACATCGAATGGATGTGAATGTGCACGTGGACGAGATTTGGCACTAATCAGCGATCATTTTTATTTATTTATTAAATTTCGAATTTATTATTATAAAATAACTGTTTTGTCATATTAAAACAGTGTGATCGTTCGCAATAGAGTGTCGGTTATTTTTTAATAATTTAATTTTCATTTTCTGCCTAATGGTAATTAGGCTCTCTTACAACCTTTGGAAGGTTGTGTTTGTTCGGACATAACTTCTTTACATTCGAAAGGTTGTGTTTGTTCAACGTATAAATATTTCAACGTTTTTGTTCATTAAAAAAAAACAACCATTTTTTCCATTTCTTCCAAGAGATATACAGCCATCTTTTCTAATTATTTTCCTAGAAAGACCCTGGAGATATACCGAAATTGCTATTTGGTATTCTCAATCGAGACTTTATTGTATCCTGGAGGAAATTTGCCGGTGACCATTAGCAACTTCGTGGGGCAAATAATTCTTTAAAGAAAGTGATATCACGCCTCAAAGTCTGACTTCATTGTTCATCCCATTTGAAGTTGAAGTTTCTTTTCTTCTACAATTTAGAGGAGCACTTTTTCCAACATAAACTGCCAATGTTCCTTCCACCAAACCGAAGGTGGTTAGGACTTGATTTAGGAATTTTGATACAATTATCACTTCGCTTTTCTTTTCTTTTTTTTTTTTTTTTTTTATTTTCTTGCTGATGTGGTGCTTTTTCATACCCATATCGATACCATTCAATTTTGATGAATAGATGTGCTTCATACAAAACTCATGATCCGAATGCACTCCATACAAAACGTTTAAATTAAGCAACACTGTCAAATTGCTTAGCTGTTGGTCAAACCATCCGAGTGGAACATGGATCTGATTTTATTGATATATAGATCTGATGTTATTTTTTGTAATCGAGAAAGTTACTAGCCACTATGAAACATTTAGCTAATACAATTGTTTATATACTTAAATCTATTTTTCTATAAGCAAAAGTAACTCTTTTCAATGCGATAAGCTGTACTGAATCATTTAGCTTTTTCCCCCTATTTATCAGTAAGTTTTTTAAGGTAAACTTAAATATATACAGAAGTAGTAGCTTCTTAAAGTGTTTACTATTTACCGACCAAAAAAAAAATGTTAACTATTTCTCCACGAGATAAATAATTCTTTTCACTGTGTTCGTAAAGTTTTATACTGAAAATATTTCTTCAATGTACCTCTTTTTATAAAAGAAACCTATTGTCGACCCTCCTCCGCACCAGACGCCCTTCCTTTGAAGCGAAAGTATGTCTTATTCGACCAATAAGAATCTTCTTTCTTCTTCATCCCATCCGTGGACCTTGTGATCGCTTTGGCTTAATAAATATGAAACTTTACAGTACAACATCCCTTTTGCAACAACGTATTGGCACATGAAAAAAGTTAAGTCATCTGCAACTTCAAATTCGCAGTAAAGCATGCTCAAGTAGCATAGCAGCTGAAGGCCTCCCAGCAGGCTGTCTTCGAAAGCAGCAGTGCAGGAAATCCTTTCCCTCGGCGGATAACGTCTCCGGTATTGGTGGAGAGCTTCGCATCACCTTAAATATAGCTTGAGCCTACATTAATGATTAAACCTTAAACAGAAACTATACACACAGATCACATACCAAATGGTAATACGCACAGTCCCAAACTTCCAACAGAAAACAGTGACACAGATTTGGTTGGACCCGTATCCTTGGAAGGACAAACAGAGAGAATGAAAAAGCAATGCAGCGTTCTTACCCGCTCATACTCACTCCAAGGAGGTTTCCCAGTTATCATTTCGACAATAGTACATCCCAAGCTCCAGATGTCGGCAGTATGATCGAGATCCGCGCTGTTATCATTCGCCATCAAGGATTGTATGAGCTGCAGGATATACTATTCCATCATTCGGCCACGACAAAAAAAAGAAAGTGGCATTAACGTACACAAAAGCAATGTACCTCTGGAGCCATCCATTTTAGACACTTCTTCAAAGAGCGGTAAGCTGGTTGTCCAGTTAGCTAAGAAACGGTAGGACATTAGTAAAGCCGAAGACTATTTGGTGTGTTCATGGAACACTGGATAAAATTGCAACATCTTCATAGACATAGATACATCAGATCGATGAAAGAACTAAATCAACCACTTTCTACTTACGTTAGCTCATTACTGAGAAAAAGGACCATGAAGCAACAATCAAAATGATATCAGCAAATGCTTCAGAACTTGAAAAGAGAGCAACAATACCTTGGCTGCTGCCAGATTTCGGTTCTATGGACCAATACACTTTTATTTACCCCATATTAGGAAGGCGGCGCTCCTTACTCTGACTAAATTCAATGCTTCTCTTGGAAGGCAGAGGAGCAGCAATAACAACACACGAAGAACCTTTCACCAAAGGTATTGCGCTCTATCCAGTATCCACTACGCCTCTTAGGAACTTTTTAGAAACAAAGTAGAAAAGGAAAGAACTTTAATTAGGTTTTGGCATCTAAACATAGCAAGGAATCATTTCCGGTTTATGCAACATAGTAACTTTACCCGAAACGATGAAAAAAAAAGTCAAGAAAATCATTCACTAACATTTCATCTATTTGTAATAGACTTTGGCACAGATGAGATGACACAGACCAATAATGAAAAGTACGCATTGAGAGACCATAGATGAAGAAAAACCAGCTAGCATGTTTTCTTTCTCTTTTTTTCTATTTGTGATAACCTAATCTATCAGTCACCCTGACTTCACATTCGCCGGTAAATGCACCACAGATTGGCAAGGAATTTCTACATTCACTCAGTAGTCTTGCAGTGAAGAGGTGGAAACTCACACGTTTAGCAATCCCAAAGTCAGCTAGTTTGACTATCCCAGATGCATCCACAAATAAATTAACTCCCTTTAAATCCCTGCACACGCCAAAGACTTTTCACAGGTCTCTAGGCACAAAGAAGAAGGTCCTATTGTCCTTAACCAATATGCAAGTCATCTCATGATGCTCGATCAATGGTTTAGAATTATCCATGCATGGAGTTGTTAACATGCAGGTAAGCCAATCCAGTCACAATATGGGGGGTATAATTGCGGGCAATCGATTCTGTTAGGGCCCCAAGATGCTCCTGGATATACTTGTCTATCGAACCGTGATGTCCATATTCTAGATATATGTTAAGCCGATCCTCAACCTGAGTTTGTATGAATGTGTTGAAATTTTGGTAAGTCAAATTATGAAAGCCCGTTGAGCTGAGACGTGTAGAAGAAGATATGGAAAGGCGACTCCCAATTTCACTGCCATAATACTGCAGAATGTTCGGATGTCTAAGCTGGCTAAGTACTTCAATTCCCTGTGTAACAGGTTGAAAAAAATAGAGGTAGCAAAGCAATCAATTACCTGGAAATGATAAAAGAAAGTTTCCCCAGCATATTCAGATCAGATGAGAGATAGATTGGATCCCAGAGCGTTACAAAAAATTACCTGCTTTAACTGACTCATGCACTCAGCCGAATTTGGATCGACAGGCAATAACTCAAATTCCTTCAATGCACACAGAGCTCCGGTTTCTCTGTCAGGAAGCATGTTAAAGTTTAGCTAACCGGATGACTAAAAATATGCAACATGTCGAAGTTTCCCAGAGCTAACTTACTGGTTGCTCGCAATGTAAACACTTCCAAAAGTGCCCCGCCCAATAAGCTGGCCTTTTTGCCATTGACTTGCTAGTGGTAACTGCTCTGTTCTTTCAGCAACTTGAGCTGAAGCTGTCGGGTTCTCCATCTATCCACGACTCTGAGCGTCAAAACAGGGGTGATTACCAGGCAATTCTTTATTCTTCCTCTTTTTACATCTTAACTCAAAGTGGGGCTGGGGTGAATTTTTACAACAAAGGGTGAAAAGAAAACTTCCCAGCCTATGTTTCCATATACGATCCAACTACTAAGCAGATCATCGAAACAGTTTAATCGGGGTCATGTTGCTCTGATCCAAAAGAGCGAAGCATTAGCGTTTTTAAACTCTTCTCTAGTTCTAATTAGGGGTGATCAGTTTCTGGTTCGGTCCGGTTCCAAGATGGAACCGGGAACCGGATCCAAAATTGGGAACCGGGGACTGAACACTTTTTTTTTTCCCACTACTTCATTCATTACATTACAAGAATTTTTAGGAGAAAATAACCTCAAAGTTTCAAAGTGGGGGATTAATCTTTACAAGGGAACATAACCTCATACTAATCCCCCCAAATGAATTCTACTTTTGCTGCCTATCCTATTCAGGTTTTCAATAGCATTGTCTATACAACTCAATAAAAAAAAAGTATATGTAGTTGGTCCGATTCCCTTTGGAACAGGGAATTGGACCTCCCGAACACCGGTTCCACTTTTAGGAATTGGGAATCGGACCAAACGGGCCGGTCCAAGCGGTCCATTTTGCACACCCCTAGCTCTAATAAGACTTAAGAGCCTATATGTCCTTTCCCTGTGTAAGTTGAATTTGCCAAAAATGCGCTGATTTTCTGCACTGTGATTCTCTTATTTAACTTTGTGAATATTGACTACCAGCAAGCACGTTTGGTTGAGTATCAAAATATCTACTTAAGCTTTTATGCTGTCATTCAATCTAATACTAGAGTATGACCCGTGCCATGCACAGGTATATTTAACCACATCAAAGTTCAATGTATTGACATGTCAAAAATCAGATAAAAATTGCCATTTCTCGAAGGACTCCGCATTATTTAGATTAGTTAATTACTTTCTACGTGTTAGATTTCAAATAAAAAAGTAAATCAATATTCACTTCACAAAGAGAAAGTACAAAAATATTTTGCCAAAGTGGGTGGTCTTACTAATGATAAATTGTCACTCCATGTCAAGATTGATCACCTTTTCGCTCTCCCCATGGTGATAATTAGGGGTGTTTCAAAATTTAACACAGGAAAAGAGGCACTCGAGATAAATAGGGTTTCAGAGATAACATAGTTTTCTTCATTATAATTTATCAATCTCCAAGGAAAATGATTACTTAACATCTTATTTCATCTTATATTTATGTCTTGAGAATATTATATACTGCACTTTAGAATATCTACTCAATTAAGTTAAAGAACAAAATTAGTTCTCTTATTTATTACCCGATCATTCCGAAATTCCCTTAGCACTTTTATTGCTATTGTCTTTACCTATTTCATAGGACAAAAGAGAAATTACAGATATTGTGCTGAAAAAGATATAAATAATTATAACGAAAGCAAATGATTTTAACTTCACTATAACATGGATTCAATCAATAAATATGATTCTCCTTTTCATACGTTAATGCTCCGTCATCATTTTTGTTGAAATATTATGGTTTGTTAGGTAAAAAACAAGAAAGAAGAAAAAAAACAAAAATTGGAATAAGATTCAACCCGACCCAAAGAAATTGGAAGAGCAAAAGAAAAATTTAAGAGAGAGGCCACGTATTCCCTTTCCTGTTCAAACACCAGCTATCTTAAGTAATATAGAAAGCATTGATAGTTTGTATTGACAACATGCATCTAGCATCATGGAAATTGAAAACTTACACCATTGGCAGAGTGCACTTGCTTATGTTATTCAGAAGAGCTTCTCAAATCACTGGCTTCTTTCTTGGGTAAATGGTAACGTTTATCCCACCAATGGGGATGCTTGATATAGCCAAGTCCTGAAAAGTTGGCACGGTGAAAGTCCTGGATAGCTAAGTAAAAAATTGTACTTCATTTCCGTTTCTTTGGCACAATCCGGAGCAGTAGTCCTAGAGTAGGTACTGGCATGAGTCCCTTATGTAATGATCATCTGAACATAACTCCCAAGAGTACAAAGTGACCAAATCATGGGTTGCAACAAGGGTTTCGATCCTCGCAAGTTCGTTTCCTGGGCAGATGTGGGGCCCTCCTCCAAAAGCAATAAAGCTGTAGGGCGGTACTGACTCTTGGTTTTCAAATCTAGCAGGATCAAACTTTGATGGCTCTGGGAATATGCTCTCATCCATATGTGTCATGTTCGATGCCTAGAAGATCTAAATCACACATAAAATACCAAATATAGGTCAATCGACTGGTTTCACATATAGAGAGAATAAATAGCAGATAGTTCAAACATTTGAAGAGATGGTAAAAGTTATTTGCATCCTTACTTGTTGCGATAAGGGAGAAGGAACATGCTTCTAAGCTTTGTCATTAAAGTTGACATGCGGCTTTGGAAACTCTGACAAATTTATGTATTGATTTTTCTTACATTTGTCAAGCCATCCATTATCCATCAGCAAAATAGAGATCATTTATTATCCTTGCGCAGCTTAGGTCATACTTCAAGATTGAACTGAGTTTGAACAAATTCTTCTTCGTTTTGTTTTATTTGCCTTCCTTTGGGCTGTGGGAATCTCTTCGCGGATTCAACAAATCTTAAAAGATGCCGGAAATAGAGAACGTGTACCTTGAGGGAAAATTACCAAAAAAGTCATAAACCTTTTGCAATTATGCCAATTCAGTCCTAAACCTTTTTTTTTTACCAATTCAGTCCTAAACCTTTTGCAAACCAGCCAATTCAGTCCTTTTGGCCGGCCGGCGCTGACGTGGCCGCCGGCCGGCGTCCACGTGGCAATATTTTAATTTTTTTTATTATTTTCGAATTTTTTTTCCTTTTTTCTTTTTTTTTCTTTTCCGTCTCCCCCTGGCCTGTTCGGCCAGGGGGGAGGCTCGCCAGCGAGGGCCCAGCTCCGGCGAGGGGAGTTGGGCCCTCGCCGCCGCTGAGCGAGGGCGGAGCTCGCCCAGCGGCGGCGAGGGCGGAGCTCGCCCAGCCATGGCGAGCTGGGCGAGCCTCACCTAGCTCCGGCGAGGCGCAGCTCGCCTTGCCATGGCAAGCTCGCCATGGCAGGGCGAGCTCCGCCTCGCCAGATCTAGGCGAGGGCAGAGCTCGCCCAGCTCCGACGAGGCGAAGCTCGCCATGGCTGGGTGAGCTCCGCCCTCGCCCAGATCTGGCAAGGTGGAGCTCGCCCTGCCATGGCAAGCTCACCCAGCTCCGGCGAGGGCCCAGCTCGCCTCGCCGGCGAGCCTCCCCCCTGGCCGGACAGGCCAGGGGGGAAGGAAAAGAAAAAAAAAGAAAAAAGGAAAAAAATTCAAAATAATAAAAAAATATTAAAAATATTGCCACGTGGACGCTGGCCGGCGGCCACGTCAGAGCCGACCGGCCAAAAGGACTGAATTGGCTGGTTTGCAAAAGGTTTAGGACTGAATTAGCAAAAAAAAAATGTTTATGACTGAATTGGCACAATTATAAAATGTTTAGGACTTTTTTGGTAATTTTCCCTGTATCTTGAAGAAGCTTTATAAACAGCAGGAGTTTTAGATAGAAGACACAGCATAAAAGTTACAAGGACGGACGAGGTATCATGTCCAGCAACCATGACAAGCATGATATTGTGCAGAATTTCCTTGTCAGTCGCAACTCGTTCGTTTTCTTCATTGCGCTTACTTAACAAGCACGTGATCAAGTCTTGAGGAGGAGTTGCAGTGTGCTGCTCTAGTTTCACCTTCTTCTCTTGCACAAATTCCTTCAAGAAATCTTGGACGCTGGAGCTTGCGCGGAGGCTCCAATTATAGCGCGTGAACGGCAGCTTTACTGGCATTGACTGTTGTACGTATACGTGTGTTTGTATGTGCAAAATAAAGTAAAGCTGTTCGACAAATCCGAAATCACGTTCTGATGAGTAATCCGAATGTTGATGAATGATCCGAGCCCAACGAATTCACATTGTATCCTTAAGACAATTTGTCCCCTCTGCCGGTACTTAAGGGTTGTTGAACAATTGCCTCCCAGGATAAAACGGATTGCCTTTCCTATGAAGCGATACTTCTATAAAGGAAACTTTCGAACGCAACCTCGCAGAATAATCGCACAAAATGACAATGATGAAGAAACAGAAAAAATGAAAATGTTTAAAGTGCGTCGGAAAAATGTCTTGCGGGAATATAAATGCCACGAAGTGTCACCAAACCAAACTAAACTGTTCGGTTATATAAATGGCAAAAATGAAGAGTTGCGAGTAATGAAGACTCGCTTGCGGTTACCGTTCGGTTCGTGAACAGTAGCGAAGGCTTACTTGAAGCCGAATCTCACGAACAAACATGTTTGTTTGTCCAAAAACTAAATAATTAATTAATTTCTAACAAAACGTGTCTGTTCGGACTGAGCCGGATGGACGGCGGCGGCGCGCGCACGGGGGGAAATTGGCGTAGGTCCTCTCTCTTCCACAAAAGTGGGATACCTCTTGGGGCCCAAACCCATTTAAGAGGCTCCTCAAAATAAATCATCTCCCATCACCTCTTCTATCCTATGTGGGACACTTTCATCCACACACTTCTCATTCAATTCTATGGGATTTGGATGCCAAAATCCCAACATTGACCACATTCCCTCTATCATTTCTTGAAACCATTGCAAGAATTTCTCTCGATCAGCTCTTTCCTCCATACAAAGAGAAGAGAGCATATGATGTTGAATGTAAAGGTTTTCCATCAGGGACAATACCTATACGAAGATCAAAACGTTAGTGTTATTTACTCTCTTTTCGTTTATCAAAGAGATTATGCGCACTCTCGGTATATGCATTCATTCTCCTAGGGCAATAAATGCGGAGGCCGTACAAGTGTGAACCAGTCATATGTGAGTATGAGTGCATACACAATGTGTATCTTAAAATTTAATATTTTTTAAATATATCTCAAACAGATCAAAGCAACAGAGAGAGTGTACAGAATTTCAACATACTGCAACTTTTTCCATGTCCTGCCAGTGCAACTCGATGTGCTTTCTGACTTCTTCATCTATTTTCCCCAGATACTGCTTAAGGGATTCTGGTCTCAAGAACGACATGAGAGAGTCCCTCACGCGTTTGTGATCTTGGCCACTGAGTTCCATCGGATTGCGGTCCCTTAGAATCGCGCGCATGGATGATGGTTTCTCATTGGCAAGTATGCTGCTGTCTCCGTAGAATACAAACTTGTTTGCTGCTTGTCCAAGAATGAACACCGTCGGTTTACCGAAGAGAGTGAGCTTCGAGATTGGTCCATACTTCCTCACTCTTTCTTAAGGCCATTTTTCACCCGTGTTTGTCCTCATGGCTCGGAGCATGCCAATGCTTTGGCCAATTATGGGATTCCCAGTGATCCCGGAGGTAGCTTTCTCGATGATATCTTCTTCTCCTGCTAACGGAAAGAGAACCGGCAGAAGAAAGAGTAGAAGAGTGATCAAAATGTTCATTGTTGTGGGTGTGGGTTTGTGTGGCGGGGTGTGTGTGATGAGGGGAAAGCAAGAGAGTTATATTTAGCTCTATTTTTGTCAGTTTCTGAACTTGTATTTTAGGTGGTAGATTCTTTCTGGAACGAGGGATGAAGATTACCATGTAGAAAACGCATCAATTTTGATACAAATCCTATTAAATAATAAGATGCTGCCGATTTATACAGTGTCATTAGGTGGCTTACTGGAAATTGCGGTTGAGATAAAACAAATAGCATAAGATTCTGCCGATTTCAAAAACTGGAGTTGACCCCGGATGTGTATTACTTTGTATTTGTTTCAGTCACCAATTTAATTCGACAGAAGAGTAACAAAATCTAGTTTTGAAAATCGTATTTGTATTTCTTAAAAAATTCCAGGAAAAAAAACCATCAAGGAAAAATCCAGCAAAATTGCATCATCCCCTATAATAAAACAAGAAAGAGGGCAAGAGAAGAAGAAGAATGCAAAGAAATGAGAAGGGAGTGGAGGTGGGATTCTACGAAAATGCAGTGAAAATTATTCCAACTGAAGTCTTGATTAACCAGGAAGGAAAGGAAAGCTAATCCATAGGTTAATAAGTGAAGAAATCTTATTAGTGGCAAAAGCTGGAACAGTAGTTCCTATGCAGTTGGGATATTCCTAATGATGCAAAGTTCTCACTTTACTGCACCATAACTATAATTCCGTCCTAGTGTCTGCTTCTTTACACCAAACGTGGCCTCATTTCATGTTTGGTTGGATTTGGACCTCTGATTGGTTGCATAGTTTTTGAGTCGATGGACTGGAATGGCATTCCAACAATCGGGGAAACTTATCTTTATCTAAGTATCACCTATATTACTAGAAATGCATTTAATAGCTATTCTTCAATAAACTATACATATTCCACACACTTGCACTATCTAACAGCAGATTCAGTTGTGTAACTCTCCCAGGAAGAAGGGAAGGTTGGTGCTTCAATTTCCTACTCATAATGCGCTTGGCATTGATGAAGTTGAGGCGTATGAGTTCGAAGTGATGAACTTTGATTGGGCTGGGATGGAAGGTGGATGAAAGCAAAGAGAAATGATATGAATCTGTGCGGAAGATGATCGTTCTACGAAGATCTGTGAGTTACGAATTGCTGACCTCGACCCCCAATCGAACCTGTGATTGGTAATCTCGGTATGAACGCGACCTGTTGACGAACCTGTGTCAACCAATCCACGCTATAACGCCACGAACAAGAGAATTCGCGATCTTGCTCGATAAGTTGAATTCGATCGCCACAAGGGAGCCTTGATAAGATCTAGTCCTCAAGAGAACTCAAGAAGAAAATTTCTCTATATAAAATTCTATCTCTACCTCTTAGAAATCTATAAGCAACCTTATATAGAGTGCTAACCCTAATCCTAATCCTACTAGGATTAAAATTACAAAAATAACCTTAATTGCTAAAAATTCGTCCAAAAATGGAAAAAGGCCTAAAAGTTCATCTAAACGATTCCAAATCGCTAAAAAATGTCATCAATCACTACTAAAGTAGTGCGTATTGATCAGCGGCCCGTTTCCAAGCGTCCATCCAAATTTGAGCCAATTCGGTGTTCGTCAATTCTAAGCTCCTTTGGAATTCGCTAGACCAAGAGTAATCATGTTGCGCCAAGAAGCTTCAGAATCTTCAAGTTTCGAATCCAGATTGTCTCCATTCCAAATATCTTGAACCATGATGCCGATAGCTTGTTTGAATTCCTTCGCTCTCGCTCGAGTGATCGGGCCTAGCGGATAGAACAACGGGTCCCTAGCACCTCCTCCTCGATAGGGTTCGATGTCCACATCAAGAAAGTTACAGTGAGGATCCATGGTTGAAGATCTCGCCTCATTTGAAGGAAAATTTTTTAGATGAACATGGATCATGTGAGCATGATCCGGGTGCAGGCAATAATTGCTCCATTTGAAGTTGGAGTTCGGGGCAACAAGCATCTATGGAGAAGTTTGAAGTCAACCTCGGCAAATAATGTTTCAGGTATTGGCAGAGTACTGAGCATCACCTTTAACATAGCCGCAGCCAGCATTAAATAATAACCCTTGAACAGAAACTAAAGACACAGCATATTACAAAAGGTAATAAGCATCGCCCCAAACTTCCAACAGAAAGCAATGGCATGTAGTGATTCTTAAGGAGTTCAAAACCTTGATATTAGTCAACTTTACAGTAAGGTAAATCAACAAGGGCTGCTGAGTATGCAATTCTCCACATGTAAGCAATGAGATCGTGATCCAAGCTGTTCAATCAAGTAGGAGACACCTCAAGAAACATGTGCTAAACTTTTTTAATGATTTGTCCGCATTATTAAATGAACAAAAGCAAATACAAAGTGCATTGTGGAAAATGAAAAGCTTTTTAAAGGGGAAATGATTGTTCGAGTCGGGTGTAAAAGAAAAAGGGTATTGCTGAAAAATACATAGCAGAGACTGTGATAACCGATATGAATGGCAGAAAACAAAAGTACCTCAGACACCAGGAAGAAGTCAAGCAGAATGAGACCACCACAATGAGGACGAAAGAATCCAACATATGCAGAGCTCCATCGTATTTGTTCCAAGAGAAGACTCAACTTCAGTAAAATATGCATGAAACCTGGCCACAGAATTCGAAGTAACTAATTAGTATTACTATTGGAAAAGGAAAGGGGGGCAAAAAGAAAAGACAAAGATGGACTATCATAACGGCTTACGAGTTATGCTGGAATTAATTGAAGAATTAAAAATAGACAAAGGGTCGAAGCAGAGACTTGACATGAGGAGGACCCCACTCCAGCGACTCCCAACTTGCCTCATCATCTACACTTATCTCCCTAAAAGAAGGGAAGCTGTTATTTAGTATGGGCAGATGCAGAGGAATCCTCTTTAGCTTCGGACAATCCCATAATCTAATTTATTGGATGGAATCACAATTTATTATTCCATGATATATGCTCTCCAATTCTGGTAGTGTAAGTAGATTCAAGAAGTTTAACTTTGGCAAGGAGGAACAGGTGATACTGATGTTTAGACGGCTTACTTCATCTCCTAGTTGTCGCCGTCGTCCTTCATGGCCTATTATCTCCTCCATCCTTCTGCAGTCATGGACTAGAATGCCTTGGATATTAGGGAGGTGGAGCAGCAATTCACGAGTAAGAAGCTTCCTCACGTTGGGGCATCGCTCTATCCAAAGAGATGTAAGAAGAGAAAGGGCATCAGGGGGAATGGTTTGGGGAGCCCTTCCTATTATCTCCTCCATTTTCTCACAATGCTATACTGTAACCTCTCTCAGGTTAGGAAGGTGAGGGAGCAACTCAGATTCCACCACGCTCTTCATGTTGGCACGGTGCTCTATCACAATCTTTTCTAGGTTGGGGAAGGCAGGGAGTGGCGTTGCAAATATTGCTCCTGCTACAGTTATCCCTCGTAATTCCTCACAGTTTTTTTATCACAATCCGTCGTAGATGTGGAAGGGTGACTTTAGAACGATTCCCAAAGAGATACTTCAGTTTTGGACATCTCTCGACAGTAAGCGTCTTTAAGACTATGGAATAGAAGAGGGTAGTCATGATTGTCAATTACTTCGTCTACTCCTCCACAGAGCGTCTGTAAGTTTTCCCATTCTTCCATTATTAGCACCTGAAGGCTTTCAAGCAGGCCGATGTTGGACAAATTTGTTATACCTCCACATTTTCTCCCCACCAATCTCTGCACATCTTGCGCAAGCAAAATAGAATCCTCATCGTATTCCCCTCCTGCCCTGACAATAGCATAATCACAACAATCAATGTCAATATTTCTCTCCGAAGTCCCAAATCTTGGATCATCATATACACTCGCAGACCACAATGATTTTTCTTGATTCACCACAAGTTGGTAATAGCGATGAGGGCCACTCTGTTGGAGAAATCTCATGTATTTGTTGAAATCAACGGCGTTCTGGAAAGAAGAATCAAGAGTCTCCAATGCCCATAACTTTGTCACGTCTTCTCCCTTCACTTCCCCTATCTTTAGATCTTGCAAGTTTGCCAAACCTGCCAATGTTCCTTCCACTAATCTTTCTATACCTGATTTGAATAAGTCGAGGTATCTCAAGTTCACCGACAATTCCAAGCCCTCCACTACTTTCAAATATCTACATCCATGGACATCCAACTTCGTCAATGAACTCAGCTTTCCTAAATAAGGAATACGACACAATTCCCAACACTCCCTCAACAACAATGCCCTCAAGTTTACCAAATCCGAGATGGAATTGGGAAGCTCTCTGATCCCACATCCACTCAGGTTTAGAACCTTCAACCCCTCCAATCGCTTGAAGAAAGGCTCAGGGATCAGCACATCCCCCCATAAGCTACCATTTAATAGCAAAGTTGCCAGTTTAGGACAATTTGGTGACATGTTTGATGGAATAACCCCGATGTAATTCTCCATGAAAGAAACTTTCTCTACACCATCCATCCAGCATTCCTCACTCACAATCCTTGTCAAACCCTTGCCCGCTTTAACCATGGAAGTCGCACTCATGACATGCAAAGCCATATCTCTGATCAAATCATGCATCTTGACCATACCCTGATCATTTTCCAACAAGCTAACATTTTCAAGTTTGTTCAGTATGGTAAGACCTCTATCATAACATTTCTCCCTCTTATCCAATCCTCCAATCAATCCTTCATCAATAAAAAATTCTATCAGCTCAAACTTATGAATTAGTAGGTCTTCTGGATAAAGTGCACAGCATAAGAAACATCGTTGGACTTCATGATTACTCAGGTGACTATGACTTAATTTTAAATTTGCTAAGACCTTCTTTTCCATATCCATTTGCCCCATGTTAGATTCTTTCAATCTCTCTAATATATCCTTCCATTCAAACAGGTCACTTACTCCTCTCATGGTTCTTGCCATCGTGACGATTCCGAGTGGTAGACCAGCACATTCTTCTACGATTAACTTCATAACTGCTTCAATTTCCACACTAAGAGCTCCAGGTCCAAGTTCCTTAAAAAATAAGCTTTGTGCCTCATTATGAGACAAAGGTTCGACTTTTATCTTCTCCTGACAATGCATCTGGCAGCATACTTCAAAGGACCAAGTTGTTAACACCAACTTAAGTCCATCAGCTTCAACAGGGATACCCACCTCATCAAGATCAAATTGTTCCCATACATCGTCGAGGATAAGTATAGACTTCCCTCTTTTACTTAATTGATCAAACAACATTGCCGCCCGTTTCATCGCATCCTCTTCTTTTAGATCACCTAAGTTTAGCGCCTTCCAAATGTCACCTTGCAACTTATGTATGTTGAGATCTTGTGACACAGCAATCCACAATACATTAAAATGGTTTGCATTTTTTAGGAGCCTATTATATATGTGCACCATAATGGTTGTTTTCCCGACACCCCCCATACCGTAGATGCCTAATCGTGATATATGATTCTCTTTTAGGCACTGCAAGATATTCTTAGTATTTGTCTGAAATGCCCTACCTGCCTCCAACTTTCGTTCTAATAATATGTTGACTTTGGAATCTCCCACCTCAAACAATCCTTCTGGAAATTTGCTTTTTATGATAAGGTCTTCTGCTTCTTTCATCAACATATCCACCTGTTGTTGTGGTGGCAAATTTTCTGCGCTTGCTGGTTCAAGACTTTGGAAATTTTTCCTCAGCTTTTCCATGTTCGTCAACCAATTCACAACTTCTATTCTCTGCTTCTTCAGAGATAGAGATGCAGCGAACTCTAACTCATTCTTTATGTCAGCTTCTCTATTGTAGAGTTGTTCTACCTTTCTTTTCAAAGCGCCATTATTTTCAAAGTTGCCTGTGTTTGGATGACTCGTGATTGGAACGCCTCCGTATATAGCTAATTGTGAATCAAGAATTCTACGTGTTAGACCCTAATGTAAGCATTCATCCTTCTCCCTGACTAAGTAACATCAGGATACATAAAGATCAGTCTAGATGAATAAACATGTACCTTGCGATGATGATGGACTACTCGCATCTATGTCCATTGGAGCTTGTGGGAAACATGTAATCGAGAACTGGTTATTCTGTGATGATGATGACACACTTGGGTGATGCTCTGTGTTCATTGTCTCAAGATTATGAGGTTGATATGGAAAACATTGACGTGCTGGGTGCCTGGAAGCTGGTTGCAAAAGTAAAGCAGGTTAAAATCATAATTAACAATCCTGATCAATCAACCATTGAATTTGCAAAAGAAGCCACGAGTGCAAGTAGAGTCAAAATGTAGACTTAATCCCACAAAACATCTACACTGAAACTAACATTTACATCTGTTTGATATTCTCATATAACATATCACCATTAAAAGATGAGAGAAAGTGCACATATGAAACATTCAAGGATGTGCCTGTAATTGGGAAAACGTGGGTTATGTTAAACAAGGAGACAGTTAGTAGAAAAGAGAAGGATCACTTCAAGGCATACCTTGTGATGATAATGGGCCTTCTGTGTCAGTTCCGCCCTCTGGAACTTGGGAATCCACGTCCAGTTTCTCAAAAGTGTGAGGGTCAGTGGAAGGCTGTGATGCACTTGGCGGAGATATGTCCATTTAAGCTTGTGAGGGAAAGGAACTAGTCTCATTTCCACATTCTTCATCACATATAAGAAGTGTCTGTTGACTAGAATGCTGGACGGCATTGGTTACACCTGTAGCATTGGACAGGGGAACTGCTTCGGCAATAGGGATTTGATTGCAGTCTGGCAAACAATTTGAAGTGCCTACATGTAGGGATTGATCATTTTGTGATGACAACGGACCGTTCGATTCTGCAGGTCACTCATTTGCATTTCCTCAGAATAATAAGATGGAATGGAATACTGTGGCTGATAGGGCATATCAAGAAGATAAGACAGCCACTCTGCTGAATACATTTGCGGACATGAAGCACTATCACCTCTCCATTGTTCATCAAAGCCGGAATGTGTTTGATTGGGATGCTGGGGAGTGCCAATTGTACTTATGTCACTGAGACGGGGACCAGGCACAGCAACACCAGGTCTAGTTGACTGATGCAACCCATTTGTCACACTGTTATTAAGGGATCAATGCTTTTGCAATGGTGATGACCCTCTACTATTCTGTTGTTCATACCTCGTCTCGAGATCAATAGACTGATCAAAAAGCTCTGGTAGTTGACTTAGATCAAGAAAAATTGAAGCCGGCGAATCGGTTGAACGTTGCAGGAGAGATGAAGTTTTTTCGGTTCCATGTTCATCATCCGAGCGTTGAATTGACCCATTGGGTTGTGGGGGCATTTCTGGATCACCCACAGGCATGTCAGCGAGACAAAAGGACTCTTGATACTGACAATCTACCGAAGCCGCACCAGCAACAGTTCCATTCTGCCAATGGCAAGATGGTTGCTGGGGGACGTTTTGATTCGAGTTCTGCATGTCGTGGGGACTCGAACCATGGTCACTACCAAGGACTACAATTTGGTCCATACCGTCACTTCCTCGTCCCGTTACCTCAATAGATGCGCCTCCCCTGTGGGTTGCGTCCGCCACACTTTTACCTTTCATCGCCTTCGAAGCTTGTGATACATGATCATCAACTCTCTCGCATAGTTTAATACCGTAGCCTGGAACCCCAGCGAGGTGTGCCCTGATCCTCGTAGCACTTCCACCAAAATCCTTGCCACAAAACTTACACTTCCACTTGTTCGCCACAACCTCCACATGCCTCCGAAATGGATCAACCTCTCTAGGCATTACTTATTCTGAGCTACAAAAGAGAAGACAATTTAGAGCAGACTAGAGAAGAACGAAGTCAGACAAGATCTACATGTATAAAAAAAGGCCATACTAAAACCCTTTTCCAATCACCCAGTAAAGCTGAACCACCCGAGGATCCCTCAGAGTACGTAAATAGCAGACATAGAAAAGAACCGACAATATTTGAAATTCCAAAGTAGCAAAGATAGGTGAAAAGTAAGGATCGAAGCTGCTCTAGCTTCTGACCAAAAAAAAAGAAAGAAGCTGCTCTGGCAATCTGAACCACGGAAAGGGATTAGCATCAGGAATCCAAGAAGGTTGCCAGTTTAAGTTTTCAGGGGTTTAGGGATTCGTCAGGCTTTGGGGGTACTCGAAAAAGGTCAAAGGTCGGGCATTATATGAAATGGAAAAACAGAGTCAACAGCAGCCAGGAGGAGCAAAATTTCTTACATGCGCTGCAAGGAAAGTACGTTTTGCGGGCGTTATCGGACCGGACCACATCAAGGAGCTAGCCGCAGGAAAGATTACACGTGGTAAGTGACACTGGAAACCATAAAAAGAAAATAAAAACCAAATCCCGTAAATGCAAATCTTGTATTTAGATACAGTTTCGCTTTTTCATTTTGTGCTATTGAATCCTTCAACTTTTTAAAGCAGGCAATTAATTTCTTTAGCTCTTTTTTCTGGTTAGTAAGCGGGCATCTTCATTCCTCAACAAAAAAGTTTTGGATGGACTAAGCCTAATTACAAGCCGAAAACTTTCCACCATCGCCCCCACAAACACAACAGAACAAACATTCAGGGCCCAATACAAAAGTAATGTCCCTAAAGCCCAGAGAAGAAACAACAGAAAACACCCAAGCTCTCGAAACAATCTGAAATATTATACACGGAGCTTTATCTGCGATTCTGCATCATTCAAAGACGCTTTGTTTCCTGCAATAGCTTTGAATGCGGATTCTCACACCAAAGACGGCCATTTTAACAACACTAGTAGACTGAGGAACAACATGACTACGTAAAACTTCATTCCTATCAACCCAAATATGGTAGATGGCACCATTCCAGATGAGTTTCAATATGATTTTAGTCAAAGACCTCCCTCTAGCAGCTCCAAGATCCCATTCTATCCCAGTCTTTAACAATCCAACAAACTCCAAGCAAACCCCATTAGAGATCTCCATCCTTCGAGAAGGGACCCTCAGAAAACAAAGGTTTCCTAGACTCAGCAAGAAGAGCATAAGACACATATGTCATCAGTGGAGCAAGCCAAGCTATACAGCTGAATTGAGGCGAATTTGGATTAAACCAGATGACTTGATGTCAAGAGATATTCTGTTTTTTTATTACTCACCTACTCTCACCTACTCCCAAGCATCAGCCTGAGTGAAGAAGCATCCAGAGGTATGTCCTTTGAAAATTGCTATACCCTCAAGAGCAGAGCAGGGGAAAGATTGTTCCACATATGGCTGCTTGAATATGCACCGACAAATCTGATCTTGGTGGAATTCAAACCCACTCATCTCCATTAATGACACCAGCAACTAGAGAGTTAAGGCCTAATGCAGCAATATATATCAGTTTTTGAGGGTAAACATCCAACAACACCCCATGAGGCTGCCAAGGATCATTAATAAGAAACTACTATGTTCATTACCAATAATATATCTGACATGTGGCTTTTAAAACACACATTGTCTTATATATATATTAGTTATATTCAGTAAATAAGTCATAAATGGGTTTAAATATAATATGGGTGATAAATGAATCATAAATTAATCATAAATGGGTTTACAACTTACTTAAACTCAATCCACTTTTAGAACACTCTCTTCATTCTCTCTTGCCCTCTTTCGATCTTGCGCTTACTCACGCTACACTCTCACCTCAATCTGGATATGAATTTTCTTATATAGAGCTAAATATAAAAGTTTTTTAGCAATATGAATTGGATTAGGCATTGGTCAATAAATTTACATTGCACGAAAAACAGGATAAATAGATTTATTTGGGTTAGTCAATTTTTCAATCCGACCCAACCCACTCATTTAACGGATCTACCTTGAGGAGCTTCCTTCAAACGTTCGTGTTGTCATTCTTGAAAAAAACGGACCCAATAGAAACATGTCCTCTAGCTTTTCTCGTCAATGAAATCAAATCCCTCCATCAATCATTGTTAGTGACATCATCAACTTGCTGATGTGGCATAAACCAGACATTTGTATATCAACATGTACAAGTCCAGCGCCCTTCCATTTTTCTCTATCTTTAATGTTTCTTTTCTCTCTTTTTTAATATGTGCATTATAAATCCAAAAACTTATCATGAAAGTATAATTAAATTATAAACTAATCCAATCATGGCAATCAAGTTGTTAGACACGTTCGACTTAAGTAAAGAAAAATGTAGATATGACATTTTTAAAGATATTTTGAGGACACGCGGCTCTGAAGTAACATCTCAAAAAATAGGCCAAAAAATAAAAATAAAAATAATAATAATAAAGGCAAGAACCAAAAGAAAAACAAAAAAATTAGGAAAATGGAACCGAAGAGAAAGGGAGATGTGGGCCCCAGTCTCTTCAGGGGAGTGTTGACGCGGCTGCTCAAGGGTCGTCGGAGCTCACCAAGGTAGTCATGGCCACGGGCCGGTTTCGGCCCGGAACCGGACCGGAACCGGCCCTATCAAACCCGGGCCCGGCCCGTTGACCGGGCCCGCGGTTTGGAACCGGAACCGGCCCGTGCCCTACGGGCCCGGTTCCGGTTCAAGAAATTTTTGAACTGGCCCGGAACCGCCGGTTCCGAGCCCGGTTCAAAAAAAAAAAAAAAAAAAAGAAAAAGCTGCAGATCTAGCGAGGGTTCGACCTCGCCGGCGTCGGGCAAGGCCGGCCTCGCCAGTTGCAGGCGAGGTCGAGCCTCGCCGGCGTCGGGCAAGGCCGGCCTCGCCAGTTGCAGGCGAGGCCGGCCTCGCCCAGTTGCAGGCGAGGTCGGCCTCGCCCGACGCCGGCGAGGTCGAGCTCGCCCGACGCCGGCGAGGTCGAGCCTCGCCAGATCTGGCGAGGGTTCGACCTCGCCAGCCTTAGGAGAGGCCGGCCTCGCCAGTTGCCGGCTAGGTCGAGCCTCGGCTGGCGTCGGGCGAGGCCGGCCTCGCCGATTGCGGCGAGGTCGGCCTCGCCCGAGGTCGAGCCCTCGCCCGTCCGGGCGAGGCCGGCCTCGCCCGGCCCGAAGCGAGGCGGCCTCGCCCGAGGCCGGCGGAGGAAGAAAAGAAAAAAAAAAGAAAAAGAAAAAAAACAGAAAAGAAAAATTATGAACCGGCCCGGAACCGGAACCGGCCCGGAACCGTCCGGTTCATACTTGGCCACGAACCGAAACCGCCGGTTCCGAACCGGAACCGGTCGGTTCCGAACCGTGGCCATGACTACACCAAGGGCGTCGCCGTCTCTCTCCCCGGTTCTGGATTTCTTTTTTGCTATGTTTTGCTTTTTCTTTTTTCTTTTTAGGCTTCTTGGTGCCATGCATTTAGTGCCAACTAGTGCCACATTTTGTAAAATCACATGGAGTTGACAGAATTTTAATTGCACTAATTGAATAAGTTTCAAAAATTGATTACACCCTCGCGACAGATTTTAAGACTTCTAATGTTCATATCATTTTCTTTTCTTTTATTTATCTTGCTTGTATTTGCTGATGTGGTGCTTCTTCTTTGACTTCGTATCAACACCATACACCATTCGATTTTGATGAATAGATATACCTCGTAGACGATGTTTATGACTCAAATGCACTCCATACAAAACATTTGGATTAAACAGCACTGTCAAATTGTTTATGTGGATGTCCACCTTCGAGTCAGATCATCGTAGAAAAACGTGCATCTTGTCAACAAATAAATATTTTTATAGTCAATATCTCGTAACTAATTTATGATAGATTTGACGTTACCTTTCTAATCGAGAAAGTTACTGAACACTATGAATTACCTAATATAATAATTCATATGCTTAAGCTTTTTCTTTTATGAGCAAAAGTAATTCTTTTCAATGTAACAACTTCTAATGAAACTATTTAGTTTTTTCAATCGATTTATCGGTGAGTTTTCTTAAGGTAATGTGAACTTAAATCTATTCTGAAGTAGTAGCTTCTTTCTTAAAGTGTTAAGTAAGGGCCCGTTTGGTAACGTGCCAAATAGTGAAAATTTCTGTTTTTTTGTTCCCAGAAATAGTTTGGGAACAGAAATGCGTTTGGTAAACTTTTTGTTCCTGGGCACATTTTTGCAAAAATTTGTGCCGAGAAACAGTTTTGGAAGAGAAACAAGAAGTAAAAAAAAGTTGCTTCTTGTTTCTCGGCACAATTTTGAGAATCAGTTTTTTTTCTTCTTTTTCTTTTTTTTCTTTTCTTATTTTGTGGTGTTGTTCTTCCCCTGGCTGAGCCGGCCGCCGGCGACCGGCCACAGCCCAGGGCCGGCGAGGGCGTCACGGCCCTCGCCGACCGCCGGCGGAGGCGAAGGTCGCCCTCGCCGGCGAGGGCGAGGGCTGGACCCACACCGCCTGGGCGAGGCGGCCTCGCCCAGATCGAGCGAGGCCGAGCTTCGCTGTCGGTCGCGACGGCGAGGCTCGGCCTCGCCCAGAGATGGCGAGGGTCCAGCCCTCGCCCAGATCGAGCGAGGCCGAGCTTCGCTGTCGGTCTCTGGGCGAGGCCGCCTCGCCCAGGCGGCGAGGGTCCAGCCCTCGCCGGCCCTGGGCTGTGGCCGGTCGCCGGCGACCGGCCATGGCCAAAGAAAAAAATGGGTAAAAAGAAAAAAAAATTAAACAATTTAAAATATTATTAAAATATTATTTGGGAATAGAAATTTTGTGTAGTTACCAAACGCATTTCTGTTCTTTTCTACTCTAGGAATAGAAATTTTGGACAGTTTATCAAACGCCTTCAAATACTCAAAAATTGTTTCCGGGCACAGAATAAAAAAAAATCATTTCTGTTCAGGAATAGCACCCGGGCACAGAATGGTATTCATGCGCACCCTAATTCTCCATTAGATAAATAATTTTTTCACCATGTTAGTAACCTTTTATACTGAAAAAAGTTCTTAAATGTACCTTTTTTAGAAAAAGAAACCTATTGTCGACCCCTGCTCTGCATCCGACGCCCTTCCTTTGAAGCAAAAAGTATCTCTTATTGGACCATTAAGAGTCTTCTTTCTTCTTCATCCCATCTATGGACCTTGTGATCCTTTTGGTTTAGTAAATATGAAACTTTACAGTACAACATCCCTTTCGCAACAACGTATTGGCTCATGAAAAAAGTCAGTCATCTGCAACTTCAAATTTGCAGGAAAGCATGCTTAAGTAGCATAGCAGCTGAAGGCCTCGCAGCAGGCTGTCTTCGAAAGCAGCACTGCAGGAAATCCTTTCTCTCGGCGGATAAAGACTCGGGTATTGGTGGAGAACTTCGCATCACCTTAAAAATAGCCGCAGCCTGCATTAATGATCAAACATGAAACAGAAACTGAAGACACAGATCACTTGCCAAATGGTAATACGCACAGTCCCAAACTTCCAACAGAAAACAGTGACACAGATTTGGTCGGAAGCGTATCCTTGGAAGGACTAACAGAGAGAATGAAAAAGCAATGCAGCGTTCTTACCTGCTCATACTCACTCCAAGGAGGTTTCCCAGTTACCATTTCGATAATAGTACATCCCAAGCTCCAGATGTCAGCAGTATGATCGAGATCCGTGCTGTTATCATTCGCCATCAAGGATTGTATGAGCTGCAGGATATACCATTCCATCATTCGGCCACGACAAAAAAAAGAATGTAGCATTAACGTAAACAAAAGCAAAGTACCTGTGGAGCCATCCAGTTTAGACACTTCTTCAAAGAGCGGTAAGCTGCTTGTCCAGTTAGCTAAGAAACCGTAGGACATTAGTAAAGCCGAAGACTATTTGGTGTTCTCATGGAACACTGGATAAAATTGCAACATCTTCATAGACATAGATACATCAGATCGATGAAAGAACTAAATCAACCACTTTCGACTTATGTTAGCTTATTACCGAGAAAAAGGACCATGAAGCAATCAACAAAATGATTTCAGCATATGCTTCAGAACTTGAAAAGAGAGCAACAATACTTTGGCTACTGTCCAGATTTCCGTTCTATGGACAATTACACTTTTATTTACCCCGTGTTAGGAAGGAGGCGCTTCTTATTCCGACTAAATTCGATCCTTCTCTTGGAAGGCAGAGGAGCAGTAAAAACAACACAAGAAGAACCGTTCACCAAAGGTATTGCACTCTAGCGGGTACACCTCTTAGGAACTTTTCAGAAACCAGTAGAAAAGGAAAGAACTCTCATTTGGTTTCGGCATCTATTTACAGCAAGAAATATTTTCCCGTTTATGCAACATAGTATCTTTACCCAAAACGATGTGAAAAAAAGTAAAGAAAATTATTCAATAAGATTTCATCCATCTACGGTAGACTTTTGCACAGATGAAATGCCACAAACCCATAATGAAAGTATGCATTGATAGAGCGGAGATGAAGAATAACAAGCTTGCATGTTTTCTTTTTTTTCTTTTTTGCACTAACCTAATCTATCAGTCACCCTGACTTCACATTCGCCAGTAAATGCACCACAGATCAGCAAGGAATTTTTACATGCACTCGGTAGTCTTGCAGTGAAGTGGTCGAAACTCACATGTTTGGCAATCCCAAAGTCAGCAAGTTTGACTATCCCAGATGCATCCACAAATAAATTAGCTCCCTTTAAATCCCTGCACACGCCAAAGAGTTTTCACAGGTATGTAGGCACAATAAAGAAGGTCCTGTTGTCCTTAACCAATATGCAAGTCATCTCATGATGCTTGAGATCAATGGTTTAGAATTAACCATGTATGGAGTTGTTAGCGTGCAGGTAAGCCAATCCAGTCACAATATGGTGTGTAAAATTGCGGACAACCGATTCTGTTAGGGCCCCAAGATGCTCCTGGATATACTTGTCTATCGAACATTGATGTGCATATTCTAGATATATGTTAAGCCGATCCTCGACCTGAGTATGTATGAATATGTTGAAATTTTGGTGAGTCAAATTAGGAATGCCTGTTGAGCTGAGACGTGTAGATGCCATGGAAAGGTGACTCACAATTTCACTGCCATAATACTGCAGAATGTTTGGATGTCTAAGCTGGCTAAGTACGTCAATTTCCTGTGTAACAGGTTGAAAAACATAAAGGTAGCAAAGCAATCAATTACCTGGAAATGATAAAAGAAACTCTCTGCAGTATATTTAGATCAGATGGGAGAATAGATTGGATCCCAGAGCATTACAAAAAATTACCTGCTTTAACTGCCTCATGCACTCAGCCAAATTTGGATCGATAGGCAATAACTCAAATTCCTTCAATGCACACAGAGCTTCGGTTTCTCTGTCAGGAAACATGTCAAAGTTTAGCTAACTGGATGTCTAAAAATATGCAACATGTCGAAGTTTCCCAGAGCTAACTTACTGGTTGCTAGCAATGTAAACACTTCCAAAAGTGCCACGCCCAATAAGCTGGCCTTTTTGCCATTGACTTGCTAGTGGTAACTGCTCTGTTCTTTCAGCAACTTGAGCTGAAGCTGTAGGGTTCTCCATCTATCCACGACTCTGAGACGTCAAAACAGGGGTGATTACCGGGCAATTCTTTCTTCTTCCTCTTTTAACATCTTAGCTCAAAGTGGGGCTGAGGTGAATTTTTTTACAACAAAGGGCAAAAAGAAAACTTCCCAGCCTATGTTTCCATATATGATCCAACTACTAAGCAGATCAAGTATTATATACCCGAAAGTTTAATGTCGAAACAGTTTAATCGGGGTCAAGTTGCTCTGATCCAAAAGAGCGAAGCAGCGTATGTGGCACAACATTTTCGATCGACAAGTTCATGCAATATCATATTTGAAATCCTTTCTAAACACAAACAGATTAAAGGTAGTGTTGCCCAAAATTCTCTCTTTTTTGTAGTAGGCCTTATTCCAGGATGATCAATCCATAGTAATAAATTGTCCTTTCGGCTCTAAGACAAGATGTGAAGCAGACTCTGCTAGTCCCTCGGCTTCTCAAATATTCGGATCCATTGTTCTTCGACTAACCTGAAATATCGACCAGATTTTTTTTCTTTTTTCGGGCAAAAAGTTCTTGCCAGATCGAAATTGGACAATACGCATGCAAATCCCAAGAAGGCAATTTCAAGTGAAGTTGTGCAGCATCATTAGCAACTGAAACATGAAGCTAGGACATCGGTGATACATACCTGTATAACCCCAAAAGGAGGAACTCCGAGGCTGCTGTTACAATCTGAAGCACAAACCGCAATCACCATCCGAGAATCCACGGAACAGATTGATTTCCTCTGCTAAAAGCTACAAAGAAAGGAATGCTTTTTGGCGAAGAAACAACTGGCATTGCTCGAGTCAAAAAAAGACTTTGGAAGGATGGAAGTCTTTCCAGGGCCTCAATTGCTGACCTGTTGACCTGACTCTGAACAATTTGATCTCAGTCGGTGCTTACCGTGGTCTAAGCGCATGATTTCGGTTCATTCATGGAGTCAAGACTATGGGAGACTATAGAGACGTGTAGAATTGTCGAATTAAGCATTTTCGACAAATTGTTTAAATTAATCGTGCCAGGGGACGGCGACCTGCTCGGTTGTTGCCATGGCATCCGGCCCAGACATCGACGGATCTCAGGCGAATGAGCCCTGAAAGCGCTACCGAGCCCCACAATGTCGCACTGCCGGGCCCTGCCCGTTGCCCGACGGCGGCAACCCATTTGAATCAGAGAGGTTGCCGCGCACTCTTTAGTAATTCAAAACTATTGCTCGAACGTCTGGCCCCTTCAGTTTCTCTCAGATTCCCGAAAATCATCTCACGATTTCTGGATAAACTTGTACCCGCCGTACCAGATGCAGGTCCATTTCGCAACCCGGATCCGATTTCCAAACCCGTTCCTGAACCCTAAATCAATTCCTTTTCGATCCGCGTCCCTGAGCGTCATCCTCAACAAGCTCCATCCTTTCCCCAACCAGATCGCCGGCGTCCACCGGATATCCGCGGAAATGGCGGAAACGGCTCGCTCGAATCCGAAGCGACCCGTCTGCCCGTCCTGCTCCAAGCCCGCGCGCACCTGCCTCTGCGCTCGGATCCGATCTCCGGGCCTCGATCACCCCGTCAGCGTCACCGTTCTCCAGCACAGCCTGGAGCGGAGGCATTCCCTCAATTCCGCTCGGATCCTGAGGCTGGGGCTCAAGCACGTCGCCGTCGCCGCCGTTTCCGACGTCAACTTCGGCGCCGAGTTCTCGATCTCGCCGCTCGAGCGAGGCTCCGGAGTCGGCGCCGGTGGATTGGTCGGTGTGGATTTGGGTGCCCGAGACGGGGAGCAATCGAACGGAGCTCATTGTCCCGGGGATGGTAGGAACTGCGGTTTGATTGCCCCGAACAATGTCGAAGTTTCGGGGGATTCCCCGGTGCAGCAGAACTCGCGCTCCCGTGGAGTCGTGTCTGGAGGTACTACTAGCGAACCTGTTATCAGTTTTCGAATGGGCAAGAAGGGCATTATCAAATCGATAGACCATATCTGGATGTCTCGAATCGGTCATAAAGGAGATGATTTTGATGCCATATTAGATTGTGAGTTGGCTCGTGATGTTCTGTCGAATGGATTTGTGGTTAGGAAGTTGCAAAACCTTCCATTGAATCCGAGCTTGGAGCTCGAAGAATGTGAGGAATTCGTGCTCGAGGTGCCGCGCGGGTCGGTACTTCTGTTCCCGTCCGAGAATGCGCTCGGCATTGACGGACTCAAGGCAGCTGAGTTCGAAGTGAGGAACCTGATTGTGCTGGATGGCACGTGGATGAAGGCAAAGAGGATGTACAGCGAGAATCCTTGGTTGAAGCTGTTGCCTCATCTGAAGTTGGATTTGGAGGTGATGAGCTTGTACGGAGAAGTTAGAAGTCAGCCTAAGGCTGGATGTTTGTCCACTCTCGAGAGTGTCATCTACACGATGAAGGTGGTTGGGGGCAGTCCGGAGGGGCTGGATCAACTGTTGGATGTTTTCGAGTCGATGGTCGATGATCAGAGACGATGTAAAGACGAAAGATTGGGTAAATCCACTCCAGAGTAAGCCTCTTCCAGCTTGGCTTCCATGACGAGCTCTTCAGCAATTTTCTGTTCGAGTTCATATCGCATAATTGCATTGGTTATATGTGCCTGTTGAATCCTCATTCAATGAGGTCTTATCTGTCCCCTGTGTTTTGCACTTCTCAAGGTTTTCCAGAATCTCATGCATCGTAATCTCCTGCATTAGCATTTTCAATCTCTTCTCCAGTTCTTTCTAAGTTGAATTTGCCAAAAATGCACTGATTTTCTGCACTGTGATTCTCTCAGTTAACTTTGTGAATATTGACTTCCAGCAAGCACGTTGGGTTGAGTATCAAAATATCTACTTAAGCTTTTATGCTGTAATTCAATCTATTACTAGAATATGACCTGTGCGGTTCACAGATATACGTAACTACATTAAAGTTCAATGTATTGACAAGTCAGAATTCAGATAGAAATTGCCGTTTCTCAAATAACTCCCTATTATTTAGCTTAGTTAGTTACTTCTGTTAGATTTCAAATAAAAAGAGAATCAATATTCATTTTACAAAGAGAGTACAAATATGTTATGCCAAAGCGGGTTGTCGTACTAATGATAAATCACCACTCCATGTAAAAAATGATCCCTTTTCGCCAGCCCGATCATGATAATTAGGGATCTTTAGAATTTTAACACAGGAAAAGAGGCAGTCAAGGGTAATAGGAGGATTAGAGAATCTTGGCCTATCCACTGATCTAACTTTATAATCAAATTAGGTACCATATAGAGAATCATCATTCGTCCACTTATATTGATTAATTAATGAAGAAATAACGTAGTTTTCTTCATTGTATTTCATCATTCTATGATGAAAATGATGACTTAGCACCTTATTTCATCTTATATTATTGTGTTGGGAATATTATATATTATGCTCTAGAATGTAGAATATCTACTTGATAAAGTTAAAGAACAAAATCAATTCTCTTGTTTATTATCAGATCATATTGAAATTCCGTTAGTAGTTTTATTGCTATTTGTTGACACCTATTTTGATGGCAGTCGCGACACTATTGTCTTACCTATTTCATAGGATAAAAGAGAAATTATATATATTGTGCTGAAAAAGAAATAAATAATTTCAACTTCACTATAACATAGATTCAATCTATAGAATTGAATCTCCTTTTCACATGTTGATGCTCTGTCATCATTTTTTTTTGTTGAAATATTATGATGTGTTTAGGTCAAAAGCAAGAAAAAAGAAAAAAATTAAAAAAAGTATTAGAATCAGATTCAAACCAACCCAAAGAAATTAGAAGAGCAAAAGAAAATTTACGAGAGAGGCCACGTGTTCTTTTCCTATACAAACCCCATTTGTTTGTAGGTAATATAGAAAGCGTTGATAGTTTCTGGAGGAGCTAAGATAAGGAAGATTACATGGGTATTGGGGACTCAAGCTAAATGTCAAATTTGTACTGACAACATGCATATAGCATCATACAAAGTGAAAACATACAACATGACGGAGTGCTCTTGGTTATGTTATTTAGAAGAGCTTCTCAAATCACTGGCTTCTTTCTTGGGTTAAATGGTGTTTGAACTTTTACTTTACCAATGGGGATGTTTGCTGGAGCTAAGTCCTGAAAAGGTGGCACGGTGAAAGTCCTGGAGAGTCGAGGAAAGAATTGTACTTCATTTCTGTATCTTTGCCACAATCCGGAGCAATAGTCCTTGAGTAGGTACTGGCATGGGATCGAAAATGTAGTGATCATCTGAACATAACTCCCAAGAGTACTGAGTGACCAGATAATGGATTGCAGCAAGGGTTTCGATCCTCGCAAACTCGTTCCCAGGGCATACGCGAGGCCCTCCTCCAAAAGCGACAAAGCTGTAGGGTGGTACTGACATCTGGTTTTCAAATCTAGCAGGATCGAACTTTGATGGCTCTGGGAATATGCTCTCATCCATGTGTGTCATGCTTGATGCCCAGAAGATCTAAATCACACATTAAATTCCAAAAGTATGTTAATTGGCTGGTTTCACAGATAGAGAGAATAAATAGCAGATAGTTCAAACATTTGAAGAGATAGGAAACGCTATTAGCATCCTTACTTGCCAGCCTTTAGGAATGAGGTATCCACCATAGTCAATATCCTTTACGGCTACCCTGAAGCCAGCAAAAACAGGCGGAACCATCCTCAGAGTTTCCATCGCTACTCTCCATGTGTACCTCATCCTGGCAAGGTCTTCCCAAGTTAAAGGTTCTCCCAAAATTTTGCTTTTTGCTACCTCTTCTTGTTCTGCAAAAGCAAAACAGGCTTATGACTTGCAATAAGGGGGAAGGAACATGCTTCTAAGCTTTGTTATTTAAGTTGCCATCTGGCTTTGGAAACTCCATATAATTCGGTATTGATTTTCCTTACATATGGGAAGTCATTTATTTATCCATCAGCAAAATAGATTCATCATTATTAACAAATTCTTCTTCATTTAGTTTTATTTTCCTTCCTTTTTGGGCTTCAGGAATCTATGCAGATTGGGCAAATCTGAAAAGATGCCTGAAATAGAGGATGTGCACCTTGAAGGACTGCTTCATAAACAGCAGGATTCTTAGATAGAAGACGCAGCATAAAAGTTATAAGAACGGATGAGGTATCATGACCAGCAACCATGATTAGCATGATATTGTGCAGAATCTCCTTGTCAGTCACAACTCGTTTATTTTCTTCATCGCGCTTACTTAACAGGCACGTGATCAAGTCTTGATGGGGAGTTGCAGTGTGCTGCTCTAGTTTCGCTTTCTTCTCTCGTACAAGTTCCTTCAACAGATCTTGGACCTTGGAGCTTGCACAGAGGCTCCTACTGTAGCGCGTGAACGGCAGCTTTACTGGTATTGACCACATTCCCTCTATCATTTCTTGAAAACTTTGCAAGAATTTTTCTCTTTCAGCTCTTTCCTCCATACCGAAGAGAAGAGAGCATATAATGTTGAATGTAAGGTTTTTCATCAGGGGCAATGCCTACAGGAAAATTAAAACATTAGTATTATTTACTCTTCTTTCGTCTATTGAAGAGATTATGCGCACTTCTAGTCTATGCATTTATTCTCATAGTCAATATATGGGGAGGCCATACAGGTGTGAACACCAGTTATATGTGAGAATTGTGCATACACCATATGTCTCTTAAAATTGATTTTGTATTGAATATATCTCAAACTGATCAAAGCAACAGTGGGAGTTTTACAGAATATTAACATACCGCCACTTTTTCCTTGCCCTGCCAGTGCAACTCGATGTGCTTTCTGACTTCTTCATCCATTTTTCCCACGTACTGCTTCAGGGATTCTGGTCGCAAGAACGACATCAAAGAGTCTCTCACGCGTTTGTGATCTTGGCCAATGAGTTCCATCAGATTGCGGTCTCCCAGAATCGCGCGGATGGATGATGTTTGCTTGTTGGCAATCTTGCTGCCGTCTCCACTGAATACAAGCTTGTTTGCTGCTTGTCCGTGAATGAACACCGTCGGTTTGCCAAAGAGAGAGAGCTTCGAGATTGGTCCATACTTCCTCACTCTTTCTTGGAGCCATTCTTCTCCCGTGTTTGTCCTCATGGCTCGGAGCAGGCCTAAGCTTTGGCCTATTAGGGATATTCCTAATGATCCCGGAGGTAGCTTTCTTGATGATCCTCTTCTTCTCCAGCTTAACAGGAAGAGAACTGGTAGAAGAAAGAGAAGAAGAGTGATCAAATTGTTCATTGTTGTGTGTGTGGGTGTGTGATGAGCGGAAAGCAAGAGAATTATAGCTCTCTATTTTTGTCAGTTTCTGAACTAGCACTTTAGGTGGTCGATTCCTTCTGGAACGGGGGATGATGATTACTGTGTAGAAAACGCATCAACTTTTGAGACAGGTTATATTAAATATTTTAGCGATTTGTTTCATGTACCGGGTGCTCTATTCAAAATTGCGGTTGAGATAAACAAATAGCATGAGACTGACCTAACAGAGAAAAAATGGATGTGACCTCTTGTTTAGTTATGACAATGGAGTTGAGCCCGGATGTATACTGCTCTGGATCTGTTTCAGTCACTATCATAAATTCAACGGTAGAGAGCAAAACCGAGAACCCACTGTTAATTTGTCGCGTAAAATTCAATCAAACCTGTAGAATGAGAATTGGACTATGGTTTTCAGAATTTGAAGACCGGAAAAATTGAAAAGAAGAACATGATCAAACTCTGAATTCCACTCAATAAGCTTTATCATCCTCCGCGACAATTGATCAAACAAGTTAAATTGCCCGTGCTCAGGCCACTTCTGAATCTTTCAGATTCCCGAAAATCATCTCGCAATTTCTGGAAAAACTCTTACCCGGCATACCAGATGCAGGTCCATTTCACAACCCGAATCCGATTTCCACACTCGTTCTTGAATCCCAAGTCAATTCCGTTTCAAATACGCGTCCCTGACCATCCTCAAGCTCCATCCTTTCCCCAACCAGATCGCCAACGTCCACCCCTGTTCCATGAAAATGGAGAGAACGACTGACACCAATCCAAAGCCACCCGTTTGCCCCTCCTTTTCCAAGCCCGGTTGCACGTGCCTCTGCACTCGGATCCAATCTCCGGGTCTTGATCAACCCGTGAGCATCACCATTCTCCAGCAGTCTGGAACGTAAGCACCCTCTCAATTCCACTCGAATCTTGAGGCTAGGCCTCAAGAACATTGCCGTCGCCACTGTTTCCGACTTCAGCTTTGGTGCCAAGATTTCGATGAAATATAAGGCGCAAAATAAAATTTAGGAGAGAGGCCATGTATTCCCTTTTTGTTCAAACCCCATTTGTTTTAATCAATATGGAAAGCATTGATAGTGTCTGGAAGGGCTAAGATAACGAAGATTGCATGGATACTGCAGAGTTGAGCTAAATGTCAAATTTGTACTGACGACATGCATATAGCTTCATACAAAATGAAAATGTGCAACATTGGCAGAATGCTTTTGGTTATGTTATCCAGAAGAGTTTCTCAAAGCACCGGCTTCTTTCTTGGGTTAATGGTGTTTCGACTTTTATCCACCAATGGGGACGTTTGATGTAGCTAGTAAGTCCTGAAAAGGCAGCACGGTGAAAGTCCTGGATATTCAAGGAAAGAATTGTACTTCATTTCTGATTCTTTGGCACAATCCGGCGCAGTAGTCCTTGAGTAGGTACTGGCATGAGGTCCCTGAATTATGATCATCTGAACGTAACTCCCAAGAGTACTGAGTGACCAGATAATGGATTGCAACAAGGGTTTCGATCCTTGCAAATTCATTTCCTGGGCATATGCGAGGCCCTCCCCCAAAAGCAATAAAGCTGTAGGGTGGTACTGACTTGTGGTTTTCAAATCTAGCAGGACCAAACTTCGATGGCTCCGGGAAAATGCTCTCATCCATGTGTGTCATGTTTGATGCCCGGAAGATCTAAATCATACATTAAATTCCAAAAGTATATTAATAGACTGGTTTCACAAATGGAGAGAATAAATAGCAGATAGCGCAAGCAAGCATTTGAATAGATAGGAGAAGTTATTTGCATCCTTACTTGCCAGCCTTTAGGAATGAGGTACCCACAATAGTCAATATCCTTTAAGGCTACCCTGAAGCTACCAAAAATAGGCGGAACCATCCTTAGAATTTCCATCGCTACTCTCCATGTGTACTTCATCCTGGCAAGGTCTTCCCAAGTTAAAGGTTCTCCTGAAGTCTTGCTTTTTGCTATCTCTTCTTGTTCTGCAAAAGCAAAGCAGGCTCTTGTCGCAATAAAGGGCAAGGAACGTGCTTCTGAGCTTTGTTATTAAAGTTTACATCTGGCTTTGGAAACTCTGAATAATTTGTGTATTGATTTTCTTACATTTGGCAAGTCATCCGTTATCCATCGGCAAAATAGATTCGTTCTTATCAACAAATTCTTCTTCATTTAGTTTTATCTTCCTTCCTTTTTGTGCTGCAGGAATCTCTATGCAGATTCCGCAAATCTAAAAAGATGCTGGAAATAGAGGATGTGTACCTTGAAGAACTGCTTTATGAACAGCGGGATCCTTAGTTAGAAGACGCAGCATAAAAGTTATAAGAACGGATGAGGTATCATGTCCCGCAACCGTGATTAGCATGATGTTGTGAAGAATCTCCTTGTCGGTCACGACTCGTTTATTTTCTTCATCGCGCTTACTTAAAAGGCACGTGATCAAGTTTTGATGAGGAGTTGCAGTGTGCTGCTCTAGTTTCACCTTCTTCTCTTGTATAAGTTCATTCAACAGATCTTGGACCCTGCAGCTTGCACGGAGGCTCCTACTGTAGCGCATGAACGGCAGCTTTACTCGTATTGACCACAGTCCCTCCTATCATTTCTTGAAAATTTTGCAAGAATTTCTCTTTTTCAGCTCTTTCCTCCGTACCGAAGAGAAGAGAGCATATAAGGTTGAATGTAAGGTTTTTCATCAGGGGCAATGCCTATAGGAATATGAAAACAATGGTCGATGATCATGCAAAGATGAAAGATTGGGTAAATCCACTTCAGAGTATGCCTCTTCCAGCTTGGCTGCCATACCGAGCTCTTCAGCAATTTTTGGGTTCAAGTTCTTATCGCGTGATGGCATGGATTATGTGTGAAATAATATTTTGTGCCTGTTAAATTCTCATTCACCGAGGTCTTCGCCGTCCTCTGCCTCTTGCACTTCGGAATGTTTCAGAGTCTCATGCATCGTAACCACCTGCATTAACGTTTTCAAGCTCTTCTCCAATTCTATTAAGACTAAAGAGCCTATAGGTCCTTTCCCTCTTAATTATTTCTAAGTTTTGATCGTCTGCACTATGATTCTCTTGGTTAACTTTGTGAATATTGACTACCGGCAAGCACGCGGGGTTGAGCATCAAAATGTCCACTTAAGCTCTTGTACTGCAATTCAATCTGATACTAGATTATGACCCGTGCTATGCGCGGATATAGGTAATGGCATCAAAGTTCAATTTAGTGTCATTATCAAAATTTTAGATAGAAATTGCCATTTCTCAAAATACTCCCTATTATTTACCTTAGTTAATTACTTTCTCCATGTTAGATTTCAAACAGAAAGTAAAATTAACTACCACATAAAGAATCATCAATTTTGATGAAGAGATAACATAGAATATCTACTTGATTAAGTCAAAGGGCAAAATCAGTTCTCTTGTTTATTACCCGATCATATCAAAATTTCATTAGTACTTTTATTGCTATTGTCTTTACCTAATTTCATAGAATGAAAGAGAAATTAAATATATTGTGCCGAAAAAGATATAGTAATTTCAACTTCACTATAACATGAAGTCAATCTAAAAATTGAATCTCCTTTTCAAATGTTGATGCTCTCTATTCATCATTTTGTTGTTGAAATAGTATTGTGTGTTAGGCAGAAAGCAAGAAAGAAGAAAAAAATAAAAATAAAAATTAGAATCAGAGTCAAACCAACCCAAAGAAATTGGAAAAGCAAAAGGAAAATTTAGGAGAGAGGCCACGTATTCCCTTTCCTGTTCAAACCCAGTTGTCTTAAGTAATATAGAAAGCATTGATAATTTCTGGAGGGACTAAGATAAGGAAGATTGCATGGATACTGGAGAGTGGAGCTAAATGTCAAAATTTGTACTGACGACATGCATGGAGCATCATGCAAATTGAAAACTTACACCACTGGAAGAATGCTCTTGCTTCTGTTATTCAGAAGAGCTTCTCAAATCACTGGCTACTTTCTTGGGTAAATGGGATTTTAACGTTTATCCCACCGATGGGGATTGCTTGATGTAACTGATTCCTTAAAAGGGGGCACGGTGAAAGTCCTGGGGCAGCCAAGAAAAGAATTGTACTTCATTTCTGCTTCTTGGGCACAATCCGGAGCAGTAGTCCTTGAGTAGGTATTGGCATGGGGTCCCTAACGTAATGATCATCTGAACATAACTCCCAAGAGTACTGAGTGACCAGATAGTGGATTGCAACAAGGGTTTCGATCCTCGCAAATTCGTTTCCTGGGCATATGCGAGGCCCTCCTCCAAAAGCAATAAAGCTGTAGGGTGGTACTGACATCTGGTTTTCAAATCTGGCAGGATCGAACTTTGTTGGCTCCGGGAATATGCTCTCATCCATGTGTGTCATGTCTGATGCCCAGAAGATCTGAATCACACATTAAATACTAAATGAATGTTACTGGTTTCACAGACAGAGAATATATAGAGCAGATAGCGCAAAGATTTGAAGATATAGTAAAAGTTATTTTTATGCTTACTTGCCAGCCTTTAGGAATGAGGTATCCACCATAGTCGATGTCCTTTAAGGCTAGCCTGAAGCCACCAAAAATGGGCGGAACCATCCTCAGAGTTTCCATCGCCACTCTCCATGTGTACTTCATCCTGGCAAGGTCCTCCCAAGTTAAAGGTTCTCCTGAAATCTTGCCTTTTGCTATATCTTCTTGTTCTGCAAAAGCAAAACAAGTTTATGACTGGTCGCAATAAGGGGGAAGGAACATGCTTCTGAGCTTTGTTATTAGAGTTGACATCTGGCTTTGAAACTGATTTTTCTTACATTTGGCAAGTCTTCCATTATCCAACAGCAAATAGAGATAATATATTATCCATACGCAGCTTGGGTCATAGTTAAAGAGTGAACTGAGTTTGAACAAATTCTTCCTGGCTTCGTCTTAGTTTGTTCCTTTTTGGGCTGCAGGAATCTCTATGCAGATTCGACAAATTTTAAAAAAAATGCCGGAAATGGAGGATGGGTACCTTGAAGAACTGCTTCATAAACAGCGGGATTCCTAGATAGAAGACGCAGCATAAAAGTTATGAGAACCGATGAGGTATCATGTCCAGCAACCATGATAAGCATGATACTGTGCAGAATTTCTTTGTCAGTCACAACTCGTTCATTTTGTTCATTGCGCTTACTTAACAAGCATGTGATCAAGTCTTGATGAGGAGTTACAGCGCGCTGCTCTAGTTTCACCTTCTTCTTTTGTACAAGCTCCTTCAACATATTTTGGACCCTGGAGCTTGCACAGAGGCTCCGATTGTACCGCGTGAACGGCAGCTTTACTGGTATTGACCACATTCCCTCTATCATTTCTTGAAAATTTTTCAGGAATTTTTCTCTGTCAGTTCTTTCCTCTAAACCGAAGAGAAGAGAGCATATGATGTTGAATGTAAGGATTTTCATCAGGGGCAACACCTGTAGGGAAATCAAAACGTTGGTGTTATTTACTCTGCCTTCGTTTATTGAAGAGATTATGCGCGCTCCCAATCTATGCATTCATTCTTATAGTCCATACACGCAGAGGCCATACAAGTGTGAACCACAGTCATATGAGATTATGAGTGCATACACCGTGTATCTTATAACTTAATATGTATTGAATATATCTCAGACGGATTAAAGCAACACTGAGAATTTACAGAATATAGACATACCGCAACTTTTTCCTTGCCCTGCCAGTGCAACTCGACGTGCTTTCTGACTTCTTCATCCATTTTCCCCATGTACTGCTTCAGGGATTCTGGTCTCAAGAACGACATGAGAGAGTCTCTCACGCGTTTGTGATCTTGGTCACCAAGTTCCATCAGATTGCGGTCTCCCAGAATCGCGCGGAGGGATGATGGTTGCTTGTTGGCAAGCATGCTGCTGTCTCCGTAGAATATAAACTTGTTTGCTGCTTGCCCGTGAATGAACACCGTCCGTTTGCCGAAGAGAGTGAGCTTCGAGATAGATCCATACTTCCTCACTCTTTCTCGGAGCCATTTTTCTCCCGTGTTTGTCCTCATGGCTCGGAGCAGGCCAATGCTTTGGCCTACTATGGGGATTCCCAGTGATCCCGGAGGTAGCTTTCTTGATGATCCTCTTCTTCTCCAGCTCAACAGAAAGAGAACTGGTAGAAGGAAGAGAAGAAGAGTGATCAAAACGTTCATCGTTGTGGGTGTGGGTATGTGGGTGTGGGTGTGTGGGTGATGAAGGGAAAGCAAGAGCAAGAGAGATATAGCTCTAACTTTTGTCAGTCTGTGAGCTAATATTTTAGGTGGTAGATTCCTTTTGGAACGTGGGATGACGATTTCTATGTAGAAAAGGCACCCACGTTCACTTTAATACAAGTTCTTATTAAATATTCTGCCAATTTGTTTCGTTTAGCAGGCGCTTTATTGAAAATTGCGGATGAGATAAAACAATTAGCATTAGACTGACCTGAACAGAGGAAAAAGGTCACGTGACCTCTTGTTTTTTTTTCAACAACGGAGTTGAGGCCCGGATGTGTATTGCTTCGAATTTGTTTCTGTCACCATCAATAATTCAACGGGAGGTGAAACAAAATCTAGATCTAAAGATATACCCTGTATTCTTTGAAGTTCCAGGAAAAGACAAAAAACCATCACGCAAAAATCCAGCAAAATTGCATCCTCCCATGCCTTGGGAGCAAAACCAAACAAAACAAGAGAGAGGGCAAAGAAGGAAAAGAATGTGAAGAAACTGAGCTGGAGTTGGAGGTGGGTTTCTCGGAAAATTCAGTGAAAAATTAGTCCAACGGGAGCCTTGATAACTTTTGAACCCAGAAAGGAAAGAAAAGGTAATTCTACGATAAGCAAAAGAAATCTTATGTCCGGCAAAAGGTGGAATAGTTGTTCCTACGCAAGTGGGATGTTCCTAGTGATGAAAAGATGTCACTTCTCTGCATCATAACTCTAGCTCCATCCTAGTGCCTGGTTCTTTATGCCAAGAGTGGCCTTGTGTCATGTTTTGGTTGGATTTGGACCTTTGGTTGCATAGCTTTTGAGTGGATGATGGACTGCCATTCCAACAATCGGGAAAACTGATCTAAGTATCACAAATTATACATGTGCCACGCACTTGCACTATGAAAGGTGCTCATACCGTAAGCTCAGCGAGTGCTTGGAGATGCTGTGAATTTTACATGTGGTGCTCGAAGAATACGATGACTTCAGAGTATGGGTTCTGCATGGACTGGTACTTCTATTTCTGACTCATAATGCGCTCGGTATTGATGAGCTTGAGGTGGCTGAGTTCGAAGTGATGAGCTTGATTGTGCTGGGATGGAAGGTGGATGCAAACAAAGAGATTGTTACAGTGAGGATCCACGGTTGAAGTTGTTGCCCCATTTGAAATTTAGATGAATCTGGATCATGTGAGCCCGGCTCCCATTGTACCGTTGGATTAGGGGGGCAGTGATGTGAGCATGCGCTCACATGATCCGCATGCAAGCAATAATTGCTCCATTTGTTGGAGTTGGGGGCAATGAGAATCTATGGAGAAGTTAGAATTCAACCTAAGGCTGGATGTTCTTTTGTCCGCTCTCCGAAGTGTCATGTACACGGTGAAGGAGAGCGGTCCGTAGGAGCTGGATCAGCTGTTGGATGTTTTCGGGCCAATCATCGGCGATCGATGATCCGAGGCGATGTAAAGATGAGAGTTTGAGTAAAGCTACTTCGGAGTAAGCCTCTTCTGGTTTTTCCTACCGTTGTGAGCTCTTCAGCATCTCTTGCTTAAGCTTCCTACATGCAACATTCTGTTATGGGTGAACTTGTATGTCTATTTTTACACCTCATTGAACTCAAATTCACTGAGGTCTCCACTGTCCTCCAACTTTGGTTCTTACAGAAGGATCTCAGAATCTCGTGCATTTTCATCTCATCCATTAGTGTACTTGAACTCTTCTCCGGCTCTGCACCTCAAGGTCCTTTCTTTCTTATCAATTTATGAGTTGGAAGTCACCAAATGCATTGATTATTGGCAGTGTAGTCTTCTGTGGGATCAATTTTGTGATTACTGCGGCCACTAAGCATGTAGGATCGAGCATCAAAGATCCTGTATTGTAACTTCAAAAGCTTTGATAGGATCACTAGTAGGAGCTAAGATAAGATAAGGAAGATTGCATCGATTCTTGGGAGGCGATTACATGCGATATATGTACTTGCAACATGCAGATAAAATCATACAAAAACTAAAGCATACACCCTTGGCAGAATGCGCTTGGTTATGCAAAGCTTATATGAACCTCCTGAAATGCTAATTTTCTTTCTCAAGTTAGTGGCACTTTTCACAGCCACAAATGAAACTACAGCACACACCCCTAGCAAGGGAGAGTCTGAAGGCTTCTAAAAGGGCAAAGCTTCACCACCGAAGGCCTACTACACCCAGCAAGCAAGGCCCGGGTTCTCTGTGCGACGACAATAGGTAAAGAGCTATAGCTATCATCTGAACCTTTGATTATGTGGAACGCATGGTGAGAGCTCATATAATCGATGGTTTGAATGGGCTTCGATCGCGTTAAAAGTCGAGAACACTGAAGTGCATAGAGGCTCAAGAATAGAACACTCTTTGGAAACAACCAAAACCCAAGACCAGAAGGCCTCAATAACCAAAAGCCTAAAAAGGCCACGCGGCCTAAAGGGGTGATCGTGTCACTTCACATCCCCACTTTTACCAACAGAATAATCATGGCTTTACTAAGTCTAAGCAAGGAAGCCAGCGAGAAAGAGCAGACTGCTGCGGAGCAATCGGGCTTAGTGGAAGAAGACAACATTCCCCGACAACCAAAGGATAGTTGAAGTCTGTCATGGGACGAAAGATCCCGGATTTAGTACTGGTCCTGTGTATCTTCTCAGCTGCTGTCGCGGCCGATTACGTGCGACCGCAACCTCGTAAGACCCTCGATTTCCCATGGGAACGCAAGCCCTCCTCGTATCCCCAGCAGGTGAAGAACTTCGCAATTCTGGCCCCTTCTTTTTCTGTCGATCTTTCGTTTCGAGAGCCCTCTTCTTTGCTGGATGAAGTTTGTCGAGTTAGCGCGACTTCGTTACCTGGGTCGTCCTTTCTGTTGATATCTTTGCGGTGGGGGTTTGAATTTGGCTCGCTTTCTGCAATTTTTCTGCACTTTCTTAGTTATGAGAAAATTGGTCAATTTCTTGGAGCTTCTTGTTGTGTTTTTGAAGCTGCACTTTGCTTCGTGTTTCATCTTGTGGTGAAGAATGTTAGATGTGGAGTGTCAAATCACAGTAAAGAGGGACCTCAACTAATGGATGGCAAAAACGGGAAAATGGAAATGCCACTTTAACTTTGGTACTTCATATGGCACCAAACCAAGATTAGACGTTTGTTACTAAAGTTACTATCTTTATCTTTATCGGTGTGATGACTACAGTCGGTCTCGTCGCCCTGCACCGCCCTCGTAAACTATGTTGTTTCTGAGCAGTATCACCAATTTATGATGAAGGCCAAGGTGTCGAATGATCTGTTAGTGACCAATTTATGTGTCGATTAAGTTTGCTTGGTGGGAGAAGCTTGGTTGTCTTGTTCTCTTGTTGTGTTGACTTAGTTCGCTTAACGAGGAGTGGATTCGTCGGTAGTTGGTGATTTCAGTATTATTCTGAGATGATTTCCAGCTGCTTCACCAAGATCATATATTGATACGTTATGTGACTGTATCAAATACTCTTGCAGGTTCACATTTCTTTAGCTGGAGACAGATATATGCGCATCTCATGGGTCACTGATGGTAAATCTTCCCCTTCATACGTGGAATATGGAACATCGCCTGGTCGATATGACTCTACAGCTCAAGGAGAGAGCACTTCTTATAGTTATCTATTTTATAGCTCTGGAAAGATACACCATACGGTGATCGGGCCATTGGAGGGCAACACTGTTTACTTCTACAGATGTGGAGGAGAAGGTCCTGAGTTCCAGCTCAGGACTCCTCGCGCAGAATTTCCGGTTGCTTTCGCTGTGGCAGGAGATTTAGGCCAAACTGGCTGGACTAAATCAACACTAGACCACGTTGATCAATGCAAGTACGATGTGTATCTCCTTCCTGGAGATCTGTCCTATGCTGATTACATACAGCATCGCTGGGATACATTTGGTGAACTGGTGCAACCACTTGCAAGTGCAAGGCCTTGGATGGTAACACAAGGAAACCACGAGGACGAGAGCATTCCACTTATTAAAGATGGATTTCAGTCCTATAATGCTAGGTGGAAGATGCCATATGAGGAGAGTGGATCGAGTTCGAATCTATACTACTCTTTTGAGGTGGCAGGCATCCATGTCATCATGCTTGGCTCATACACAGACTATGATGAATACTCAGAGCAATATAACTGGTTGAAGGTTATTCTTCATTTCCTTTTTCTTTGTCATGCGAAAGTTGTTGCAATATTACAGATGTGGTAGTGAATCAATTAAATGCACTGATTACAAAGGAGGAAGTTTGTGCTGTTAGCCATCTGTAGAAGTTAGGATTCTAAGATTGAGGTAACAAGTCTCACAGATAGGAAAGATTAAGTTTGTAATTTATATCTTGATTATATTTTGTTAAGAGTAAGGAGATTTGAAATCAATTGTTAGCTACTATTTTGCTAATGAGGCAATTCAATCTTGACCTTGCTAAGGGGAATTAATCTTCATATTAGTTATCAAAGGCAAAGGTGTTCATTGTCAGCTATCATATCTCGCTCTTTGTTTTCTTATATTGATGCGGAGGAACTTATCCTGATATTTAGCACTCATTTGTGACTGATGCTTTAGAATTTTCTGCTAACATATATATGTTTTACTCTCAATCTACAGGCTGATCTTTCAAAGGTTGATCGCAGTAAAACTCCATGGCTGATCGTATTGACCCATGTACCTTGGTATAACAGTAACTATGCTCACCAAGGTGAAGGCGATGGGATGATGCAAACCATGGAACCATTGCTTTATGCAGCTGGGGTGGACATAGTATTTGCAGGACATGTGCATGCTTATGAGCGATCTGTATGACCCTATACCTATACTTTTTCATCTCTCATTATTATTTGATGTGCATGAGGCATGATTTTAAGTGGTCATCACTGAACAGAAACGTGTCAATAGTGGAAATCCCGATCCTTGCGGTGCTGTTCACATTACCATTGGCGATGGGGGGAACAGAGAAGGTTTGGCTCATAGGTATGTCCTCACTCTAAGAAAGCTATGGATTAGGGATTCGATAGGGCATTCTGTTGATGAATTTTCAATGGATGCATCGGGAAATGTTAATATAGCTACTGTGTATCATTACAGCTATAAGTACCCCCAGCCAGAGTGGTCTGTCTTCCGTGAAGCCAGCTTTGGTCACGGTGAGCTCGAGGTTGTGAATTCATCACATGCATTCTGGAGCTGGCACAGGAATGATGATGATGAGCCAGTGAGGTCCGACCAGCTGTGGATTACTTCTTTGAAGAGTTCAGGTTGTCTCACTCAAAAGCAGCACTCCTTGAGGAAAATTCTCATGGCTCCTTAGTATTGGCGGTATGAACGATGCCACGGCCAATACAGGATTGGTCATATGTTGATGTAACTAGGATGGGGTGATGTCTTGTCAATATGTATTTTTTTCTTTGGTCGATTGTCAACATGACAACATGTACCTTGAGACGTTGCAAAATTGAGTGTACCCTATGGGATTCAAAACATATGTTTTCTGGGAAAGTTTAGGGTCCTCAGGTCTCTATTGCGCTTGACGGCCAAGTTAAGTGCAACCTGTACCATCCGCTTCTATCAAATACATGTCCCATCTTTCAGATTTATGCTGCTTCTTTGTTAGTCAGGCCTGCCTACAACCCAGGGTCGGAGCAGAATCGGTGTTTCCCCTCACTAAGTGTGGTTCCGAGCATTAGACGAATCTTCACAGCTGCGGATACTCGCAAAATTTAAAATTCCTGGTATTGTGGTTATGACATTTCTTGCAGACTAACTATTAAAGGCACAGCAATTGTTAATAAAGAAGCGGCAACAAATGACCAACATGGTAAGAGTTGACTTGTAACATGCTTCTTCAAGTTTCAACTAACACAGCCTGTAAAAATGTATGCACACCGACAGATATTTGTGGGGGTTATAAATATGTACGATGCTCTCGCATAAAAAACATCCAGATGCAGTCTCTGCCTCAACTAAGCAATACATGTGCCGGATTAAGAGTTAAATAACAGGGACAAAACTTGGTAAAGCCAGTCGGAAGAAAATAATCTCACGACTAGATTCATCATTATAAAGTTAATTCATTAGTGCATTGAACTCAGCAGCTTAAGAGCCAATGCCTCTTGATCTGCCAAAGATATAGCGTCAGACTTCTTATCGATCTTATCGTTGGTTTCTTTTCGTGTGCCATCATCATCATCACTGTCAAAATATATCTTCGACTTCTTTCGGTTTCTGTTCTCCATAGCTTCACTGTCTGACCCGGAAAGCTCACTCTCACCCTCATCGTCATCGTCTTCAAGTTTCCCTCCCTTCAGTTTCATCTTTTGCTTGAGTCTTCTTTCCCTGCGGCGCTGTTGCTCTAGGAATTTGTCTTCTTTATCCACTTGCTTCATCTCCTCTCTCATCCTCTTATAGTACTCGTCTTTCTTCCCTGCAATAAATAATTAGAGAAATTTGCATGAGTGCAAACAGACAAAAACCATCCTCTGATATTCATTTTGTTCATAGAATCAGGAAGTAAGTATCCAGGCAGATGTAAAACAAAATGACAAGCACACCAACCCAATACCAAAAAAAACACACGCACACACATTCAGTCAATTCATTAACCGCAGACATTCTTCGCCATTGGCAAGATGCATCGAACACAAGAAATCCACAATTCAATTTTGAATAACATCAACACAACATTACTCTCTAAGAAAAACCTAAAAACACTAATAAACTTGAGTAGCGGTGCATACCTTTGTCAAGCAAAAGAGCACCATCTGAACTCTGAGTCTCTGCTATCCTAGCAAGCGGGGGTAGGGTATTGCCTTCATCATCGAAGACAACTCTAGTTCCCACTGGCCTATTGACATTGATTTTAAGCTTCTTTTTCTTCAAGACCCGAGTCGCCAGTCTACAGTAGAATAGCAAGTTAGATGTTTTATCTTTTTTCGCTAACATCAAATCAAGTTGCAACAGATGAGGATCTTGAAGATGCAGAAAAACAAGTAGCTTGTAGAATCCTAACCAACTTTTGATTGTTGATGCTCTTCGTAATCTACAAGAGATAATTCTACCACAGACAGAACATGCAGATTTCAATTTTCCTTTGATCTTTTTGTAGCCTACTCTGTGCATAATTGCATTCTGATCATTTCAACAAGGATGATGTCTAAACTATGACTATGCCCACACTGAAGAGTGCATAAACTATCTTTTGGTAACAATTTTCTAATATGAAAAGAAAAACATACATTACATCTTCAAGTTCATTAGCTTTTGGCTGAGCTTCATCCACATCATCATCAGTCAAAAGTAAATTGTTCTCTTCATCTTGTTTAGAGTCATTCACCAACAGAGTCCTTGTTGAGACCTTCAATTCACTTCTGCCCACAGCATCCTCTGGTTCATGTGGTAAAGATTCTTGTGGGACTGTTTTGGACTTAATTTTCTGGTTTAAGAAACGAATCTTAGGAGTCATCGGTAGACCAAATGATGCTGAGAAATCATCAACAGGGAGTTTCATCACATCAAAGATCTCTTTATCTTTCTGTATATGGATCGACCGCAGATATGTGATGAAGGCCCTTTGAGCAAGATACTGAATATTTGGATACTTGACAAGCAAGGCCGACAACAAGCCAGAAACTGGTTGGAACCTTTTTTCGTTTGCCTGGAATCAACCCGAATCAAAGCCATGTCAGCATCTGAGGTGTCAATGCCACATGGTAATCAATGAAGTGCACACACGATGTACTGCATAACCAACTTTATAGATGACTAGTAAGCTAAGCTCAACCATAAGCCAAAAGGCAAAACGGTCCAGAGAGAATGCATTACCTTAACAAGTTCTAAAGGAATTTTGGCAGCACTTAATTTTTCAAGCATTTTCATTTCTGATGGCATCAGAAACAAAACTGACCTTCCTCCAGACAAATATCGAGCTGTGCGACCGACTCGATGAATGTAAGATGCAACGTCTTCTGGACAATCGACCTACAAGTTCAAAAGGATCTAAGACATTTATAAAAAGGAATAGACTGCTCCTTCCCGAGAAAAAATAAGATGACAATCTGATCAACAAATCCACCTAAAGCACAGTGACAAAAAGAATCACCTGAACGACCCAGTCCACTGCCTTATTGAAATCAAGACCTCTAGAAGCCACGTCAGTTGAAAAAAGAACAGACCTCTTCTCACAAAATTCAGAATATATTCCCATCCTTTTCTCCTGCTTCATCCTTCCATGAAGACATTTCAAGGGAATTCCCGGACGAAGTTTCTTAAATGCTTCATAGACAAATTTCACCTAGGAAGATTGCAATTTAGTGGTAGCATTAAATATGAACAAAAGAATCAACCCAAACATGAAACAGTGAATGGAATATTGAATATATCAACCAGAATAAGAGGTTAAAAGACAGGAGTTGAGCTAAGCATTTGATCAAGCAAATACAACTAAATCAAGTATCTTGAAGCAAGTAATTCTCCCAAACATGTGATAGTTGATTGTTGAAACCAGCAATCTCTATAGAAAAAATGGGACCAGCCTCCGGTATGATTAGATTTATCTCTAAAATAGGAATCTGAACCTCCCATTTGTTTGGTCAAAACAACAATTCCCATTTTGTGGTTACACCAACTCACGAAGTAAATGGTCCACGATAGCAATTAAGCATTTGCAAGAGCTGTGCTAGTAAATACACCGGTGTATAAAAAAAATTTCTTCAATAAATGCATATAACAAACTAATGAGTGTTGGGAAGAAAGTATCCGAAGAATCAGCCACGGGTTTTAGCCAACAAATTCAACTAACCACCAAACAAATCTAAGTCAACAAAAACCTAAAACAATGCTAATAACACAAACAGAAAACGTCAGATAACACAAACTGTATTACACAATTTTAAGGATTCACAGAGAAGGCCAAATTATCTACTTATTCTATTAAGGCGAGGCCAATAAAAATGGCAAGTCTCAGTCAAGAGAGCTCAAAGGTTCTAAAATACCTGCTTACAACTCGAGAGAAACACAAGAATCCGGGATTTGAGATGTGTCTTAATAAAGCTCCACAACAAGTCCAGCTTCTGCTCAAGCGGAACAGCCATAGCAGTTTGCTGCAAGCGGTTTGGAGTCGCCGTCACAGACTCCTCGTGCACACTTACATACTCAGGGTCCTTCAAACTAAGCCTTGCAAGATCCTGGACTGACTTTGTCTGGGTTGCAGAATAAAGCATGGTTTGTCTATGTTTAGGTAGCTGCGAAATAATTGCATTTAGAGACTTCTTAAATCCAACGTCAAGAATACGATCTGCCTCATCAAGGACCAAGACCTGTTCCCTGACCAGAAATTTTAACTCAAATCAGCAACTATATATCAGCATTCAAATTGCTAATAAATTATTCCGTTGACCTTAAGCTGTGAGCAATCAAAGTTCGGAGTCTCGTCCATATGCTGGAGAAGCCGGCCCGGAGTACAGACCAATATGTTAAGGTCGTTTACGCTCTGCTTTTCCAGGTCAACATCCTTGCGGCCACCAATGAGAAGACCAGCGCTGAAGCCATGGTACTTCCCAACAGCTTTCAACACATCGAAAAGCTGACCAGCTAATTCCCTCGTAGGAGATATTATGATGCTTCCTACCCCGTCCTCGGGACCCCATCGTTCTCTGTACAATTTCTCCAATACCTGAGACAAGCTATATAATTTGAGTCTAAAAAAGGTTTCCTCGCTCAGACAGTGAAAATGCCTTAAGGGAAAAATTTTAAGAAGTATCTGAATGGGTAACTTATAAGAACTAACAAGGATTAGAAAGGGCAAAAAAAATAAAAAGGAGGGAGGGGGAGACTGGAGAGTTCTAGCAGCAAGCTGCAATGCGATTTGCCAATAGATGTAATAAGGTTCCAAAAACAAACTAAAATGTCACCGCCTCTAGGGACAAAGAATCAGCAATTCTCAGAAAGAGAAATCTGCAAAACTTGCAATTTCGACAGAAACATAGGAAAAGAGAAGCCCAATTCTGCACATTCTTACAATTCCAAACCAAAAAACGAGTCAATCAATCATTCGAATGAACAGACACTGACCGGAATGAGAAAAGCCAGAGTCTTCCCTGACCCAGTCTTCGCCGCGCCGAGAACATCTCTACCGCAGAGCGAGTGGGGCAGCGAAGCTCTCTGGATATCGGTCATCTTCACGTACTTGGCGTCGCGCAGGCCGTCCTTCGTCCTGTTCGATATCGGCAGCTGGTCGAACTTCGTGGACCCGGCGTAGGGAGGGAGCGAGGCGGTGGCGGCGGCGCCGTCGTCCCGCGGCGCGCCGGGAGGGGACGGCGGAGGCGGAGGCAGCGACAGGGGATTGGAGCCCGAATCGGGCTTGCGGGACTCGATCCACGCGTCCAGGAGCTCGATCTCCTGGACCTCCGAGAGGCGCTTCTGCTTGCGGGACTGCTTCGACTTGGGTGGCTTCATCGTCGGCGGCGATTGGGGGGGAGCGGCGAGCGGCGAGCCTCCGGCGACCTCCGGTGGAGATTTCGCGTGCTCTTCTGCCGAGGTCAGCGAGGGACGGCCATGGAGGGTTTAGGGTTTTTGCAGAGCGGTGCGATGTTTTAGGAGGAGGAAGAGGACAGGAGAGTACGTAGGGAATTTACGTATCTGCCCTTCCGCTCGGCGCCGCTTGTGGATTTTTCGAAGCGACTTATGATCCCTCGCGCCTTGACGGTTGATAATGTGGATTCAAGAAAAGGGAACGACGTCGGAATGAATTTGATCGCGGGCGACGGCGGTTTTGAATGATTGAATATTGTTATTAGGTCCGCCGGCGGTAGGAGTCGCGACAAGCGGAGGCGGCCCTCTTGGCCCCGAGAGGTCCGAAAGGCAAATGAGCCGACTCGATTAATGTCCTTAAATAAGCAGGCCTAGTCTGTTCAACTTTGGCTCGAATCTGGACCGAAACGAATCGAACATTGTCTATGTAGAATTCATATTGTGAGTAGGTTTGCAAAATTACGTTAGGCCCTTTTTATCGATGAGCGAGCTCGGCACGGTACAAAATTTACATATAAATCTTCGGATCGAGCGAGATTGAAGTTGGAGATATCCGGCTTTCTTGTATGAGGATGTTGCCTAAGCCGCTCATTTGCCTTTCACGCTCCGATGGACCACCGCCACGTTAATTACCTCTAATTTCATGCGACAATTTTAAAAATAACTCCGAGCTCATCCAATCTCTATTTTAATGTTAATACCACCGTTAATCCCCCTCTAATCCCAATACCAGGTTCCCCTTCTCAATCCTACAAATAACTTAACAAGTACCTTTTCGGATTTAGAAAAAATGCTGATTTGAATAGAGATAAATGTCTAAATTAGCAAAATAATATATTAAAAACTTAAGAGAACTATGTGATGATCAATTTTGAAAAGTAATATTTGCGAGATTTGTTTACGAGTATCCTGATCAATTTAGATTATAGAATTTTGCGTTTCAATAAAAGATATGAGCCTGATCATGAATTTTTTTTTTTTGAACAACAATTGGAGGTTAAAATTCTAGTTGAATTCGCACTCTATATAGTATTGATTCTATAGACTGTTGGAGCTTACTTAATTCATTTCACAATTGGTCAAAGCCACAGCCCCGCTTCTCCCCTAAACACACACACGTTCTGCTATCACTTCTTGCTTTTCCTCTTATCCGTTCGAAGTGCATGAATCAATATGGTCAAAATCAAAGTTCATAAAAAATCAAAGTGCATGAAAACAACATTACATGTTTTAAAGGGATTGTCCCATTGTTCGTGCGATGTAGCTTGTGTTTATACCATAACAATCAATGAATTTGTCTCGATGATTGAGTTCAAATCTTGCTAGTAAAGTACGGTCGAATTTTCATCATGATTGAAATATAAAATTTTAGAGTAAGCGTGTGGCTTTTTTGGCAATGAAAAAACAAAGCATTTTTCCATGACAACTTTGTTTTCCCTCTAAATCCCACAAGTAATTCGGTTATATACGAAGGAAATCATCAAGTCTTTGTTTGTGAATAACTTGACATTAAGTAGATTGTGCACTTTTCCGATTTTGGTCAGATTGGATCCCCACCTTCATAGCGGATTAAATTGAGTATTTGTGGGGCGTCTAAAAGCAACCCAGGACTTGCTGGTGCAGGGGTTCATTCATAAACGTAATTTGCTTTGTGGTTTTGCCATATTCATACATACGAATATATTCATCTACATGAGCAAAATTTTAGGCATTATACTTGTGACTCAACTTCGCCAAAAAGTTGAGAATTCACATGATCATCATTAAGATTGACTCTACAAACCATAATGGATCTTGTTAGTCTAGAGCTTATTATTGATAATGTCGGCCCTACTTTACTCAAAAATATCATAAGATTGTTGAGTTCTTATTTTGAGTTCCAAAGTGCAACATAACTTATCATAAGGAAATCGTCTTGCTGCCTGACTTGCTAACCTTTGAATTGGTAATCCATTGGACACTAGACTATTTTCATTACAGATAGTTATTCATGTTTTATCTGACGGTATAATAGGGGTAATAAATTTACAATCTTAAATTTTTGTATTCCGCTTTAATCTTTTATTTTTTGGGAAAATACCTCCAAAAACTCCAAACTACGCCGCCTGTGATAAATTTACCTTGAACTTTTTTTTGTGACACGAAAAATCCTAAACTATATCACTTGTGATAAATTTACCTTGAACTTTTTTTTGTGACACGAAAAACCCCAAACTATACCACTTGTGATACATTTACCACATAATACTTTGGCCCATAGACATTTTCATCTTTTTCCTTTTTCTGTTTTTTTTTCTTTTCTTTTCTTTTCTCTTCCCTTCGCCGGCCATGGCGGAGGGAAGCCGGCGAGGGCGGCCCTCGCCGGCGCTTGGGTTGGGCGAGGACTGCCCTCGCCTAGGCGAGTGAGGGCAACCCTCGCCTGAGTCGGGCGAGGGCGACTCTCGCTCGACGCCGGCGAGGGTCGCCCTCGCCTGGGTGAGCGAGGGCTGCCCTCACCGAATCTGGCAAGGGCAGCCCTCGCTGGCTTCCCTTCACCATGGCCAGCGGAGGGAAGAAAGAAGAAAAGAAAAAAAAACAGAAAAAGGAAAAACACGAAAATGTTCATGGGCCAAAATATTGTGAGGTAAATGTGTCACAAGTGGCATAGTTTGAAATTTTTCGTATCACAAAAAAAAGTTTAGGTAAATTTGTCACAAATGGCATAGTTTGGGATTTTTCGTATTACAAAAAAAGTTTAGGATAAATTTATCACGAGTGGTATAATTTGGAAGTTTTTGGTGGTATTTTCCTTTTATTTTTTCATAAAAATGAAGAGGAAAGAAGAAAAAGGTTCATGACCGACTGCGGCCTTGACCCAATAATTAGCCCATCCTTAAAACATGTAGAGCGTTGCTGCATCCTACGGTAGGACACATTGGACGACCAGACACCGAACAAACCGAGACGAAAGCTTCAACATTCCTCGCTCTCCTTCACTTACCTTCGACTGTAATATACAAGAGCGATTCCGAATCAGAAAGCGCAAAGACACGCAGGAGCAAACGATGGGCCGCCGGATCGGAGAGCTGTCGTGGAACGGGGACGCCGGAGCGCCGCTCGGCGAGCCGCTGCTGTACGCGACCGTGTGCATCGTCGGCCTCCCCGTCGACGTCCACGTCAAGAACGGCTCCGTCTATTCCGGAATCTTCCACACTGCTTCCGTCGAAGGTGCGTGTTGTGCGCGCGCGCGTGCGCGAATTCGCTTCTCTCGCGGTTTGATCTCGACGACGAACCTGTCGAAATCTTGAAACTTGGGCGCGGGGGGAGTCGATTGTATAGGACAATCACGCAGGGTTGATGCGGAGAGAAAGTTTCGATATTTCGTTTGGTTTTCCTGTCGCGATGCGGCGCTGCTTCATTGGGCTTGATTTCTTTTTAATTGCCTGCGTAATCCGTGCAATGGAGGGAACATTTCATATGAATTTGGTATTGAGGTGCTGGATGATTGGAGATCACGGTGATGGCGTCAATATTTTCCCTTTGTAGTGTCTGGAATGGAATGGAGATTGGGTGGAATGATATGGAATGGAGATTTAGGTTTGGAAAGAATGTAGAGAAGGCCCGGGAAAAGAATTCGAGGCGGAGTATAGAGGAAGAGAGCCTGCGAAAAGCTTAGGGCAGAAATCAATCTCAATCACTTGATACGGCGCCGTGTTATGCATCTCCTGCAGTAGAATGTAGATGGAACTGTCTGCATATAAGTGCCGGGCAACTTCCAGAACTAGTCTCTGACAACAACCAACTAATTCAGTTAACTGATTACACCAAAACATAGGATTCTGCTGACATGGAGATGCAACACGTGTTTCTTTATCGTCTGTTGAGGTGCTATTAGCTTGGTGCAGAAAGGAGGAGGCAATTTGAATCTTTATAGTCTTATTTGTTGTGCCGTCGAGGTTTTTCTTTGCCTCGTATTGTTTTCTCGCTGCTTCAAAGGGTTATGGTCAGATAGTTGCTGAAGCTTAATTCGCAAGAATCTAGCAGACATTTCTATGTCCCTGCAACAATCTGTGCTTACAAAATAACAAAAAGAGCTAAACTTAAGCTTGTCTTATTTAGGTGTTATTTTGAAGAAAGCAAGGATGACTAAGAAGGGGAGAAGCAATTCAAATGTGGCAAGTGGATGTATGATAGAAACGCTTGTGATTCTCTCGGAAGATCTTGTTCAGGTCATTGCCAAGGTATTGTCTAGCACTTCTTATAGGGTTGTTGAGTATTTTAATGAAGTACAAATTGATGCGCCAAAGTGACATTTCTGCTGTAGGGAGTAGAGCTTCCAGCTGATGGCGTTACTGGAACTATAGCTGGGGATGAATCAGAATCGGCAACTGGAACTGCTTCGCACAACGTCGCAAGAGTGGACAATAGGTTCGGTACTATTACCACTAGCAAGAGGAGACCCCATCAAAGAAAGTATGTATCATAACATGCTGTGAAAGCATACTTATAAACCAAGTACTGTTTCAGTAAAGGTATTATTGTTTGACTTTTTCATATGCTGCTGGAGATAACCGGAAAATAATGGAACTTTGAAAATACACTGGTGTTAGTTAAATAGAGTACCTTTATGTAATCTTAAGCTGATTTGACTTTTAGTGAAGAAATGCCTGGTTCTGCTAGTTCTACTTTCATTTACTGAATTTATCACGATAATAAGAATGGGGAAGCTATTTACTAATGTCGCGGGCTCTACTTTTACTTTGCTTAAGCAGGACTTCAGTTCCATCTGAAAATGGATTGACTGATGGAGATTCATGTCGAACCTTCAAAGTCAGTTCGCCAAGACAAGCAGAAAATGAGAATGAGGGAAAAAGTATGTCAATCGAAGTAGTCGAAAATGTCTCTGAAGAAGGAATTGAGAAAAGGGGCAGGAAAATCCCCATTATGGTATTGTTGGCCTGCAACTTTCCTCTGTTTGTTTTTGCGGAGATTCCGTTCAATGTTTCTATGCACTGGAGAAGCTAATGGTTATCCAGTTCTGTTACTGGCATGCAATAAGCTACTCCTTTTCACTGACCATTCTTACGCTTATTTCAGGGAGGAGGAGCTTTTGATGCATCAGCAAATGAAAGGTATTATCTCTGTGCTTCTTGACTTAGTCTGATTTTTAGCTTAATGCCTTTGGGGCATCCACGGTTCCTGGCATAGTCTGCATTATAATGAATTTTTATTTTATCACGTGGAGAAGAATAAAAGTATGGTTGGACAGTTATGCGGTAGCTCTGTGCCTTTGTTCCATTTCATTACACGTGTCTCTTTTGGATGCTTCTATCCATTCAGTTTTCTTTCAGTTTCTCTCTCTTCCTGAGGTCATTTCTGTCACTTCTTCCAGACAGGCTGATGAAAATCCACAAGTCAAACAGGATGATTCTAACAGGGTGTCTGAGAATCAAGGGGGCGATAAAGTATGTTTTGTCGAGATGAGGCACATGTCTTATTCAGTGGAATTGAGTTTATAATAATGACTTATGTATTTATACATGCGTTCGTATATTGCAGGCTTCTGCAATGCAAGGTTCAAGTCCAAGCTGTAAGTCCACTCTTGATGATTATTACTTAAAAGGATTTTGTTCTCTCTTTACTGGGCTAATTGAATGCAAATTAAGAGAAGTGTTTTTCCTCTTGGGCCCATGTTCCATTTTCTCCAGACTTGGGTGGAATTTGAAGGGAATCCATTTCCCATGCACGTGTCTACTATTGCCTTCACTTTACTTTTGAAAATGTATGAGACTAGGCGTGTTCAGTCCTGCTACTAACTGTGCATTATTTCTCTTCAATGGACACGCGGACAAGATAGGGACATTGTAATTTTATCTCTGTGTTCCTCCAACCTTAAATTGCCAAACATAGTATTGGGAAAGCCTAAATAGGCGTACAGTGGTTCACTAAGGGGCTTTTGTGGCTTATTTTGTATGAGACGCTGAAATGCTTCTCACTGGTTTTTAGGAACTCTTTTAGAAGCTGTTAGCTCTGCACAGCGTGCTGTTGGAAACGTTTTATAGTTTTGTCTGGATACCAACGAAGATGCACATGGATTTTTCTTGCACCTGTAGGTTTTTGCCATGATGCTCTCAGTAGATTAGCTCTGTGAGCTTACAATCTAGTTTTTTTAAGCTTTTCCTTGCTGAGAATTACTGAAGTTATTATTCTATTTCCTTTTAAAATCTCAATTTGATTTTTGTACAGTGGATGCTTGCCTTTCCCTAGTAAAACCTGTTGATGGAACACATTCAGAATTGCTGCCACCATTGCAACCTAATGAAGGATCCCATGTTACTGCTTCTGTACCTGCAAAATCAAATAATGAGACCTATTGTAGGCCAGTTTCAGCAGAGAATGCTGCTTCTGGCTGCGGTTTGGCTTCTACTCTATCTGTAGTTGGTACCTCCGGCAGAAGCCTTAGTTCAATGGCATCTCCAACTGACAAGGTTCATTTACAAGGTCCAGAATCAAACAAAAGGGCAAAGGTAAACCATATGTAACAGTGCGGTCTTGCAACTTGAGAGAAGATGAACTGAGGAAGTATGTAAAATAGAACTAATTATTACATTGAACAAAAAACTGGCGTCTGTGCCTGTAATTTGTTTAGTTGCTTGTTCCTCCTCGTTATTCTATCGTCTAACAAAGATTTTTATTTCATTTTATCAATTATCACAGGAATCTAAACTTAACCCTGGAGCAAAAATCTTTTCTCCTGCTCTCACAAAACCTGTACCAGCAACTCCACCCTTGGTACAAACAGGAATGTCCTATGTGCCTAGTGCCTCACCTTTGTTGCCTGTTGCAGCGGCTCAAGCAGAAGTGGGTACCAGCACTTATGTACCCCAGCCATCTGTGCCTGCTAAGGTTGTACAGTACAATAATTTCACTGCTGGAAACGGTGACATAGGTGCTATTTCGCAGGCTGTAAGTAATTTATAGTTTACAGTGAGTTGTCTTTCCTAACAGAGTTAAAGCAATTTTTTTTTCTGGCAGAGGATATGCATTACTTCAACTCTTAAAATATATGACAAACATTCTTTTTATGCTTCAACTTTTGAGCTCTATCCACCCAAAATTATTTGTAGAAATCTTTCTTTCTAGTTTTGGGGTGGGGCTGGAGAGAGAGAGAGAGAGGGAGAGAGAGAGAGAGAGAGAGAGAGAGAGAGAGAGAGAATCTTCTTTTGTAAATTGACTGGGCTTTTGGTTTTGCAGTTTGCTGGAAATATGGGGAGCAGGGCGCACCTACTTAGGTATGGCGGTCAGCATCATGCTCTTCCACTAGGTTCTACTTTTGTTCACCCTAATCCTCAAGCTGTAAGTAGTAGTTAGATGCTTTTCATGTCCAGTCGTTATGTTTTTTGCTTATAAATGCCCCATCTGGCTATTATATCCAAACTCATATCTTTCTTTTCAGGTCATGGTTGGACGAATGGGTCAGCTTGTATATATGCCTGTTTCCCAGGTAAGACACGTTCTGCAACAGAAACATTTTCCTTGTGATTCTTTGTCCGAGTCAGTTATTATCTATAGGGTTTGTGAATCTAGTTGCACAAGTTCTCTTCATTCTTATATTTAACAGAGTCTACCGGGTCATGCACTTAATCTGATGGGTTGTGCACATTTATCTGCTTGTTTTGTTAGGTGGTCTTTTTACCAAGACTTTGTACTACGTCAGTGCATCCCCCTTGTTTGAGAATATATGATGACGTGGTGTCCTATTTTTTTACATTTTTTAATTTCATTCTTGAAGGATCTGGTTCAGAGTGGAACTGCCATCTCTCCAGCTTTTCCGCGCCCTTTGCCGACCATAAGTCAAGTCCAGTTTCCAAAGCACCAAGGTAACGTGTGAATTTCAATGTAATTCATGTCTCTACATTCAAAGAACTGCAAATTGATATTTTGTGTTTCCGGAGGTTTTTGGAACATGCAAATTTGAGGTGTGTATGTGCAACGGTAGGGCATCATGTCATTGAAAATGTTGAACCTCACTTTATCTGCTGAAGATAATTAGAGGAACATAATATGCTCCTTTAGGTAATGGTTGCAGAATAGAAGTAGAGGATACATGGTAACTCTTTTCAGGCCAAATTATATGCTCAGCTCAAAGGGAAATGCCAGGGGAAAAACATGCAGTTGTTGAAGTGAACTTTACCAACGTCATCTACCTATTGTATCTTAAACAGATCTTTGAGTCGTGGCTTGCAAGATCTTTGCAACAATGGATTATCTAAACCGCAGTTTTTGGTTTTTATCTCCGTTGTGCTAGCCATATTCACTAAAGAGAGGATGAATACCAATGGGAGCTATCTTTTTGTCTGGGAAGATCGTATGGAGGAGCTACGCTGTTTATATTTCATTTTATTTTTACAACCTCATTTAAATCTTGAAGAGCTTTAAAAACTGTGATGGAAGCATCTCATCTTTGATTGCAGGAACTCTTCCTGGTCAACCGTTTGTGCATCAACCTACAGTTGGTGGGCAGCAACTATATGCAGCTGCAAGCCCCCCGCCGCTGTTGCAATCTCCCTTCCTCACTAACCGGCCCATTTCAGTCCCTGGAGCTAACGGGCTCTTTAACGCCAAGATTTTGTGAATGTAGTCCTCTTCCTTGAGATCAGCGTCAAACAAAGAAATTTTGTCCATTTTTCCCTCACTACGGAGGAGCTTTTTTTTTTTTTTTGGGTAGAAACTATGGAAGAGTTTGATTGGTCATTTTTCCTCTCGATTAATATTTTTTGTCGGGCTTCATCATATAGGTTTTTCTTTCTGTAAGTTTGAAAGTGAGTGCACTGTTGGGGAAATCGTTGTAAGACCTGGTCAAGGGATTATTATTTGATTATACAAGGTTCTTTGTTTCGATTGTGAGGTAGAATTTTTAGTTCTATGAACTCTTTATCTAAGCTTGTCATTCCTTTGGCTATGAGGAAAATCTCTCTCTCTCTCTCTCTCTCTCTCTAGCTGGAATGAAATGTCGCCGAGCCTATTGCCTGCCTAAAACATGGGCGTAATCCTTGTAAGAGGTATCTTGCGCCAAAAGTAATCTGCAAGCATCACTGATGCTCTCTGTGCAAATTCTTATGGTTGTCAGGCGGTATTAATTAACAGAACAGCAACTTCAGAGTAATATCCTTAGTTGAGCTGGGTTATTCTTGGTATTTCTAGTAATCCGCGGTTCATCTCTAATTGCCCGAATCATTCATGGTGCTCGTTCATAACTAAACCTCCTCCTCCAGCTTGCCGCCTTTGAGTATCTGGGCATCTGCCTGTATTGAGCTTAATCCAACCTGTGCTAGTCCTTTCCGAACTGATTCAGATTGAACCATAGTCTCGGGTTTGTTCCGAGAACGCATAGGTAAAACCAGATTGCACTATGCTTGAGTTCAATACGTTAGCCTTGGTCCTGAGGGCACCGAAGGTTTCCCCGTTTTAGGCAAAACTAGATGCACCAGATCAAGGTCGGGTATAGGGGCTCCATGGGACTTCATAGGTTGAGTGTAAAATATGAGGTCAAAGGGTGGATGTCTTCCTTGAATGACACTTAGAAGACGGGCGGGGGAGGGGGGGGTGGGGGGGGGGGTTGTTGGGTTGTGTGTGGATTCCGGAAGGCACCCTTGTCCCCTGGAACCGGGACAGTCTCGAAGCACACAAAGTGATACCCGGAAATCTAAGAGACTTCATCATCACCTCTTATTCGTAAATTTTGCATATAAATTGTGCTGACCTCCATTTTGAGCTAACTAATGCTGCATTCAACTCGACAAACTATGTTCCGCATGATCATTAAACTTCCATCAAATCTCCACTAGGAGGGAATTAATTCTGAGAAACTGCTACAATAAACGAGCCATGCAAGATGGAAGCAAAAGCCGAAATGACGCACAGCAAACTAAGATGCCGAGCTCGAGACTTGGAGAATACCAAGTAATGATGCATACCACAATCAGCACATGCTATAAAACCAATTTGAGCCTGGAGAGTACTGCTGCTATTGTTAAGCTACAGAAGGTCGGGCTTGAAGTACAAGTCGCACAACTTCCCCATAATGATGTTCAAAATCCAAAAGTTAGGATAAACACAACAGAGAAGCTAGAGCATAAAATGGATAGTTCCAACGACAATTACAATAAATGATCCAGCATGATTCAACCCAAGCATATAAAAACTATTTGCGACTTTAAAACGGTAAACAGGAAACTATCATTGCATCTGCATCCTTTCTAGCTCATGAAACAGAATATGTCCACGGATTGTTGGTTTTCATCCATTGCTCCGAGATTGCTGATGGAACTAAACAGTCCCTAAACAATAAAAGTTATCTTAGATCTCATGACATTTATGGTTGGTCGTTCTTCATCTATAAGTCATCCCACTCCCCAAGCTTCGTCTCCATCTTCAGTTAAATCTGCTCATGGTCACCACCAAGATCAGGTTCTTTGGCCTGAACCTCCTGGTTCTGCTTCTCTTCTTCCTGCACAGCCTTGGTAAAATAGTGTGCTCTTAGAGTAAAGGCATAAACAATGCAACCCAATAAAGTGAACACGACCATCTAATTAAGATTATAATACCTGCAACAATTCAGCCATCCTCCCCATTTCACCGTGCTCCGGATAGCCACGAGCAGAAGATGAGGGATTGTCGAGTTCAGGAGGTGGTGAAGGCTCAACAACAACTGGCTTGTACGCTTCAATAAGCATTTCCGACTTAAGATTTTTAGCGCCCCCGTTCACTGGCTTTGATTTGCCCAGAACACTCGAAATGACTTTCCTCAGCAGCTTCTTAGTAATTCCAGGCAGCAAGGTCATCGCACTGGCCTCCATCTCATGCCATTCCTCTTCCGAGAGCTCGTAAAAAGGCCCCCATACCCTTTGCATTTTCCACCACTGATCATACTCATGGCCGGCCTGGCAAACTCCATTTCCATGAGTCGTCACCCGATCCATGAACATTATCTCACTTGACGACGGAGGAGGTGGAGGAGGAGGAAAAGTTTTGGGTGCACCTGGTGAGGCCTGTTTACACTCGGAAACCATGTAGACATCCTTGACTGCTGGCGGAGCCACCTCTTTACCCTCAGCAGCCACACAGGAGGCCTCTGTCTTGGCTAGAGGCACCTTTTTGCCATTTGAGGGGCCTGAATCAGCAGAAACTGGTGCTGCATGGGTAGGACTAGCATTCTTCTCTCTTGAATTGGCTTCAGAGGCCCGAGTTCGGCGCTTTCTCTCTGGACGGGGAATCTCAACTCTTTGGATCATTGGCACACCAGGAGCCACGTCATTTTCAGCAGAAACAGGTTGATGGCATCCAGGCTTGAACACAACACCCCTTAAAGTTTTCTGGGGGTTGCCAAGTCTAACAGTCAGCAAATAACCGGCATCAAATTCTGCTTCAACAAGACCAGAAAACCTCTGGCCCAACATAACATTGTCTATGCCATCAACACGATCTACTTGATCTCTCTTCGAACCTCTATGCGCAGGTGGGTCAGAACTATTACCCTGAGGATCTTGATGTTGAACTTCAGGTACATTCGCAGCCTCACTGGGACTTGAATTCTGATCCTCTGGAATTGTAAGTTTTTGAGGGCGCCCCCTTTTGCGCTTACGCGAGTTTGCTGAGGGATCAGGGATGGTGTCTTGGTCTGCTTTCTTCATCTTGAGTGCTAGAATTATTCTCTAGCCCTCTCCACAGAAGGTGCTCTACTTTCACCTCTTGCTGCTAAAAGGAAAATCAGGTGTTTTGAATGATTTAGTCTGAAATGGACCATGACTAGAGAAACAACAAAGAGGTACCATATATAGAGCAACCATGTTACTTTGTGCCATGCATTGCCGGCACGTGGAGTTCATGCCGGGGGCTTAATAACTGATGCTAATCTGCTAATAAAGGAAAAGAATTCAATGCTCACGAGAGTTCTACTGCAATTCAAATATCAAGTTTAATTAACTCCGTTTATTGTTATCGGTACAACACCCCACACCCTCATACTTCGTCATTAGGATTAACATAAATTTTTTGTTGACTCTGCAACAGCTAGTAGCTCGTATCAAATACTATTGAGCAGAGAAATTAACAAACGAACCAGAAGTAGAAAGAAAATTAAATTAAAATTACTGGCAAATACAAATAATGACATAAGATGTGCACTCGACAAGTTTATGGCAAATCCAGATCACATAAACAACGTGAAGGCAGACAATCTGGTCCAGCGTGTTAGAGAATAGCAACGGAGAGCACCGACAAGTAAACGGCAACATGTTGTGATAAGCATGCTATAATACGACAAAACGGAAAAAGATAGGTTGGCGAGCTGAACGATGAAGAGGAAGCCTGCTAATACTTCCAAAGAGAAAAAACCCGTTACGGCTCTGAAGAACTCAACACATCAATGCGCTCACAAAGCTTATTGCAAACATTAACTAAAGGAGAAGAGGAGCAATCAAATGTGTGAGCTTCAATTTCTAGATTCTAGCAGTCCCAGTAATAGAAACAATAAAACTAAAAGCATTTAGGATGATAGACTCTCTCACCTTGATAAGTGAATGTTGATGCTGCCATCAGTTTTCCACGAATATTTCGCCTGCCAATATATGATAAAATTTTCCTACCATTAGCATAATAAGAAATGATCAGAAGACAAACTCACAAAGCTAGCGCAGGTCCTATAGAGTAAAAACCATGAGCATAAGAATGGTTCCTGACATGTTCTACTGAATTGAAGTCCTAAATTTGGCTCTATAGAATTATATTTGATAACTCAAAAGTTGAACCATCAATTACAAAACATTAGGGGAGTATAGTAAAATTCGTTCCTTGAGATTCTCCTTCTAACAAATGAAAGATAAAAGTAGATATGTAAATAGATCCTGCCTAGTGAATGCAGTAAATCGCCATTACAATATTTATGATGCAAAAGAGTGCTACAGCCTAAATATTCAAAGCAACATTGACAGGCTTATTTGTGTGCTGCCTGCGCGCAAGCACACATCCAAAACAAATTGGCAAAGAAATCATGTGCGTCCATGTTATACCTGACAGAACTCACTGGTATCATATATAGATACATGCCGACTTTTAGTGTTAATTGAAAAGTTCGTGATGGTTATGTCGAAGAATCTTGTTCAGGAAACTTCACCAATTACCCTTTCAGCAAAATTTCTTTGTTTTCAAGGATGCTCTGGTAAGGAACCAGAATGGTGACTCTCCAAGTTGTTCTCTTACACTGACATAGAAGTATACATTTTCTACCATTAGAACTATAAAAGATGACCACAAGACATAACCCCAAAGGCTAGTGGATGTCCTCTACAGTGTAAACCATGAGCACGGAGCTTTTTCATTATATTGTTCTGCTGAAGCAAAGTCCTGAACATGGCTCTGTAAGATCATACTTGAGAGCACAATATTCGTATCCCCGATTTGCTCAATTCTATTTTATGCTTTCAATGCAAAACACTATGAAAGTATATCGAGTTTTGTTCATCAAGATTCCTTATCCAACTAATGGAGGATATAATATATAGCTAAATCCTTCCCAATATATGCAAAAATCGCCATAATTTCCTCCATGATGCAAAATAGTGATAATCCTCCAAAAATTCCAACATTAGCACTTGCAATGCTTCTGTACACTAGCTCAAGGAACCAAACTAATGGGAAACTTTTTTTTTTATTACGTTCATTTTTAACATGACGAAAGTCGCCGATATTATATATAAACACGCATTGCCATCCACTGTCAATGAAAAAATTGTCATGGTTAAGTCGATGAATCTTGTTAATGAAAATGAAACTTCACCAACTTTTTCTTTGAGCAAAATCTTTTTAAACTTCAGCCTTCAAGGATTTTTTGGAAATGGAACACAGGCCTTGACCACCAAGTTGTTTTCTTACACACCACTTTTCTCCAACATCTTTAGTCCATGCCGCATTGTCTCTCTCTCTCTTGTATATTTTTAACATCCCACAAATCTTTGTCAAATCACTTGTAGATCAATTGTTCAGTGAGTCTTCATATCTGTAGCCACATTATTTTTCCAATAGACCTATGTTGGCATGTACTCTCTTTCTCTCTCCACATGTTTTAAGCTCTTTCTGTTTAATAATGTAAGACAGAAAGAGTCTATTTCCAATAATCTTTACCAATCTCGCCATAAAAAAAAAGATATCTTTTCATACTCAACGCATTAAATAATGCGCTGTTCGCGCTCGGACAGTAAGCAAACGGGCAAGCCTTCCATAACCCATACGAAGCCTGATCAACGCCCGCGACGGCCTCAAACGCATAGGATCAGGTGACCAAACAGGACAAATGGAAAGAAGAAAACAAGAAACGGTGACCAAGTGACCAAAAAACAACTACTCTGGACTGTCTTTAGTCTCACAACTCAAGTAGACATTAGCTCTACGCAAGCAGCAAATTCTTGAACATTCAACCAGTTCATCAGCTTTCCACGTCCATCCGAGAAAAAAGCAAAGAAAAACAGAGACACCCACATGATTTTCTTTCGACCCTGTGTTCATCCAGCTACAGCAAACGTTAAAGCTCGCAACTTTTTTAACTAAACTCAAGAATATGGCCGGAAATTTTCTGGGAAACTGCCAAATTGTCAAGAGCTCATTATTCAAATAAAAAAAAACACAAACACACAGCGAGAGAGATAGAGGGAGATAGAGAGAGAGAAGTACCTTTCATGGAAGAGGGCCCAGCGACCGCCATTGACGTCGGAAAAGTAGGGTAAAAAAAAAACAATTTTTTATTAACGAACAGGCTTTGATTTACTTTGGTGCTAATGATCGTGAGGGGGATGATTTACTACGGTGGTTGCGAGCACTAATTAAGGTTCCCCATTTGCGGATCCATCTCGACATGCAAAGAAATCGCAGCGCCGTGACATGAAACCTCGGCAATCGCTAATTGCCACGAGTGTGTCCAAACAATGCCCGACACGTGGATTTTGCTGACTCGGCACTGCTTTAAAAAAACTTGGGTGATTTTCCATTGGCCTAATCTTTTGTGGCTGTTCGAGAAAGAAGCTCAAGTGAGATGTATACACAAGTGCCATCAAAAGTGACAAGATCGATAACGACTTTATAAAATCGATCGATTGTATCGTTTAAAATTATTAATTAATAAAAAAAAATTCATTATTAATTATAATTTATATTTAAATATTTTCGTAAACTCATTTTTGTAAGTGATATAAATGATCATTTTTCAATAAATATCTTTCAAATCGTACTTTTCGCAAGAAAAAGATACCCTTGTAGTGTATTTAACGCATAAAATACTTTCTTCTTTAGTTAGGCTTATTTTGACTCGTGACTCATTCTAATAATTTAGTTTCAATTTTTTGAAATAATGAAAAATAAGATATGGATGTGTAAAAATTTTTGAATAAATTTGAGACGAGTGTTTAAAGATTTTAGGGGCTTACAACTGAAGTTTGCAGGGTAAAGAAAACTCGCTCGCGTACCCGAAGAGTCACATTCGGCCAAATTTTTCTATTGGCTCACTAATACGGTGACGTTTAGTTGTTCCCCAGCACTCACGATGCGTCACTAGCGTAGCACCCATGCATAACGCTGATATATTGCCACACTTCATGATGGTCTAAGATATGTTTGTGAACTCTTATATGTTGAAGAAGATTACAGCAAAATATAGTAGCAACATGTTGATTTAGGAGATCTTCGACATGGTTTTTTAGGCAAAAAACTCGGTCTAAGATAGAATACGAGAGGAATCTATCGAGCCGAATATGTTTATTTTGATCTATTTTAATTAGGACACATCAACAACATTGTTTTCCCCTAATAGTTCTTTGCTTTTGGGTGAACATCTTTTAGGGGTTAAACAAATTGATGCTGAGAAGGAATACAGACCCCCCTCCTCCAATAGCCATGCCATGTCAAGTTACATCATGGAAAAACTTGAAAAGTGAGGAGTCCACCTCTGTCCACTTCACTACACTACAAAAGTCGTGGCAGAGAAATGTTCATCTGAAACAAAGCATCCAATTATGTTGCTCAGATTCCAATCTGATCAGATAGTACAACATGACCCATAAAGACTAAAAGCCACCCCTATTTCCCAACTGGAAAAGAATATACGGGCCATTGGTTACTGTAGTACTTGATACGGCAACTCTCTAGCCAAAGTATTTACAAGAGAGACATTTTTCCCTCACGACTTATTACTAGGATCAGGGGCCACGAGAGGCCTCTGGGACTCTGGGAGGTGCCGAATGTATAGGTCATGCACCAATTTTACGTAGTCATCAATCTTGTCGGCCACCCATTCATCAGTTTTTATAGGAGGGAGATACTTTACAGTGAGAGGCGTAGATCGAACATGTAGGCTGCCCTTCGTCCACGCTCGATGAGTCCCGGTTAGGACCATAGGAACTATAGGGAGGCGGGTTTGCAATGCCAAGTGGACAAAACCCTGCATAGAAGAAGCAACTATATAAATGCTCTGTCGCAGAGCATAAACAAGGGAGTTTAGTATGATTAAGTTTAAGTAACCAAAGCTAGCAAAATCTTTTGTCATAAGAACCAGTCGAAAAGAAGCATCTACTGATAGTTCGATGATATCTCTCCTAATCTCCACAAAAAGCTATTCTTTGTACGTTGCAGAGCATTAACAATGAAGCTGTAACATAACTAAAATTACATAATCAAAGCTAGAAAGATCTTTATCACAGTAACCGATTGAACATAAGGAAGTGTCAACTTTCAGTTCAATGAAATTCTCCTAATCTCCACGAATCTGCACCCTTAAGAATGTTGGTCCAAATTATGATACCCATTATGATCCATATGGCATCTTTACCCTCTTCAAGTATAGTAAGCTATACACAGAACAGATTGTCTTATAAGTCCACCCTGGATAGTGGATACTGGCCAGGAAAGAAAAATATCACTTGCATTATATATCCTCATTGTGGTTGCATGATGTGAAATGAAAAAAGACAATCAGATCTGTACGCAGGCCTGAAAATAAAATTAAACTGAGGACTTAACCTTTTTGAAGGGAAGCAATCGTCCATTTTTCGACCTGGTCCCCTCAGGGAAAATGACTAGAGAGAGCTTGTTTTTTACCACAGCACAAGCTGCCTGAGAATAAGTATATTCACAAGTTAGGAATGAAGATTTATAAGCAGACTTAATGTTTATTAGTAAGGTTACCTCTTTCATTGACTTAATGGCAGCAGTTGGATTCGAACGATCTATGCGGAGGTGATTCGCCAACACATAAAGTTGTCCAAAGAGAGGGTACCAAATAATCTGGATAATTAATTTATAATAAGTAACAATCTGCGCAAACTTTGAAACAATAGAAGAAGATTGTTCATTTTTTAGAACTCAAGTTCACGTGAACAGTTAAATATAGCCCTCATGTTCTTTCTAGCATGAAGAGTTTCATATGCATTACCTTACTGGAAATTTAAATGTGAACCCATGCAAATTTGCAGCAAAAATGCAGTATTGTCATTCTTAAGCACCAAGGCAAAATTATCTTTAAAGCTCATAATGCAGAGGCATCTCCTATTAGATCTCATCACATTGATGTTCTCAGGAAGGTCAGTTACCATGTCTGAACAAACTGCAAAGTCAAAGTACCTCTTTCTTTGCAATGCCAACAGTTCCAGTGGGAGTCAACCACATTATAAGACAGACATCTACTGGAGATGCATGATTACTGATGTAAATAGCCCTCTCATCAGCAAACTCAGAACCTTCAATCTTCACAGGATTCCCTAAGATCCATATCTGCAACCATAATTTGAGTTTATTAATCACAACATATGTCATCCATGTACATAGCAACTACAAAAGTAGAACAAACTGAAGGATTCTCACACGAACATTGAACAAGAAGCTTATCAACAATGTCACACAAATATTTATTACATTTATCTGAGCACATGTAATCAAAGATCTACTTGATTTTCCGTGCGCTTTAATGGAGACTGCAGTGAAGCACTTTCTTGACAAACTCTGCCCTAATTCTAAAGTGAAAACAATGGTTTTGTTTTGGAATCCAAAAGACAAAAGTCAGTGCATTACACGTAACTAACCAGCGGAGAAAACCAGATTTAATAAGCCGATGACCTCGCCTAAAGATTAACCAAACAAGGTTTACATGAACTACAAAGTGACACGAAACTTACCAGCAATCTACCAGTCACATGGCCGTAAACATTCCCTTGCCGAACCCTTTCGTATGGCCACGGAATCAGCACAAGCATGATTAGTGCCCAGATGATTGTTGTCACCATCATCGTCATAAAGCACGCAATAATTTTTAACCATGATATCACTATAGACACCCATCCATCATCACCCAAGAACATGTCAGCCCGCCGCCCCACCTCTTCCCTTACCGCAACCTTTGATGGTGCTCCTATATCTTCGGAAGTGCTAGGACTGAAGAAGCCCTCCAATTTTCTGTACCTCAACAAATGACTGGCCCCAGGAGTCTCCATGAATCAATGAGCAAGCCCCAACGGATTTTACTATACAGTTTTCACCTGGGGTGTTTTACGTTCAAGAATTAGGAATAACACCAGAACACAAGCAGAATCCTTGAAATTCCAATTGCTTCTTAATTCCTTATCCATGGTCAACACTTACAGCTCAACATGACAGAACTTGGATGTTACAATAGACAAAAGATGAGAAGTTCTCCTACAACCAAGAAGCTTACTCATTTACCTAATCCAACTTTTAACACAGTACACTCTATACAGGAGCGCTAAGTAAGAGCAGAGTCGGTATCAACAAGCAACTCCCTTTTTCAGTTTCTCAGCAACGAGAGGGAGACTGGCTCTGGCTTAACAAGCTCAAAAAATGGTCAGTGCGTAAAAACTGGCAGAACAAGTCATAAAGATAGAGCTTCATCACTCAAAGGGCGTTCATAACCAAGAAGGAGCATATGGCTTGGAACTAAATCTGAACTTCTATCCGTATTAAAAATAACTAAAGCCCAAAAAAAAGAAACAGAGAGAACAAGACATGTAACAAAACAAGAACAGTAAAACAAGAATCATCATGTCGATAGCTTTGCAGAGGAAAAAAGAGGAGTCAAACAAGGAAATCGACCTCCAAGGTTGTTCTCGGCGACAAAATAAACCCAAGCATCGAAAAAGAGCTTCATCGACGAGGTACCTGACAAAATGCCCAGCAAGAATCGCTACTTCCTCCGCGAGGTGTTGGTCAAAGTAAGGACCGAATCAGAGAACCCAACTGGGAGCTCAGACAAGGCGGGCAAAAGACAAGTCCTAGAGAGAGATACAGAGAGAGCAAAGGAGAACCCAAAAGCGAGAAGCTTTACAGTGCAAAGAACGCGAAGCAAGTCAAGGTAGACTTACAAAGCGCCTGTATTTGGCTGGCGCTAAAATGAACGAATGAGCTCAGACGGACCCGATTCAATACTATACGACGCGGCCCATTTGATCATATGATAATCAAAAGGGTCGCATTATCTTCTGCGAGATTACAAATTCCAATCGTGCCGTGAACAAAACATTGGCCAACTCATGTCTTGGGCATTTGCTACTTCACGTGGGGGAGTTCCGTAACTTCTTAGCGTACGAGTGGAGCTGCGGTGATGTACTTGTATACGTGATAGATTCTGAGGCCATAATCAAGCAGACAGAATATTACTAGGATTTATGCTTTTTGGACAGAGCATATTCTGTCCCATCCCATGAATCATCGTCATCCATCTCCAGTCTCTCTGCCCCTCGGCGCCTTGCTGCTCCGCTCAACTTGTCCTCGTTTCATTGCTTCTCCAAGAAGTCGCATTCCGTCACGTCTTGTTCACGGCTCAGGGAATAAAATTTGTGGCTGCATTTCGTGGTTTTATCTTCTAATTGACTTATGAACTACAGCATTGAACAATTAGAATAATACCAATGGATATTCTATATATTTTCGGTTAATTTGACCGACGAAAGAATTTATAAAACCTGTCTGAAACATCTCATTAGAAGTCAGGATTTGAGGATCGGTCCCATTCAATCGGGAATCAAAGAACTAAGAAGTGTTTGAAAAAGTAAGGAAAAATTATCCAAAAAGTCTTACACCTATTATAATTTTGCCAATTCAGTCATAAACTAATTTTGTCAATTGAATCCTACATATTTTCACTTTTTGTCAATTTAGTCCATCCTACCAATTTTAGTCGGAAATTGCTAACGTAGACGACGACCGTCTTACATGGCACGGGCGACGCTGACCTTGAGCTTCTTTAATAAAATTTAAATTTGTTTCGACACTTTTATTTATTTTTTTTATTTTTTCCTTTTATTTTTTCTTTTCTCTTCTTTTCTTGCTTTTTTTTCCAAACCCTGCCCGATGATGTCGCCGACCACAGGCAAGGGCATCATGGCCCTCGCCTCTGGCCAATCAGGGTTTGGAAAAAATAAAGGAAGGAAAGAAAAAAAAAAGAAAATTAAAAATTCGAAAAATATTTAAAATATTATTTAAAATTATCTACGTTAATGCTGGTCGTACCACGTAAAATGGCTAACATCCATTAGTAATTTCCGGCCATAATTGGGCAGATGGACTCAATTGGCAAAACATGAAAAGGTTTAGGATTCAATTAGCAAAATTGAAAGGTTTAGAACTTAATTGGCAAAAGTGCGATAGATTTAGGACTTTTTGGAAAATTTTCCTGAAAAAGTAAGATTTGTCCAATGCCTATCGAAAATTCCCATTTAAGCTCTGTTTCTTCCACGAAAAATGCATATTTTAAAATTTATTTTCATAAAATTGATTGTTTATATTGTTTAAATAAGGGTAAAAGCCACCAAAGACCCTAAATTATGTCCACTGTGACACGTTTGCTCTAAAAAAATTTCTGTGACACCAAAAATCTCAAATTTGTACCCGTGTGATACATTTACCCTATGGACGGCAGAAAGCAAATAGTGTTAACATGGCGCCCATGTAGCTTAAGTGAAATAAAAACGACATTGTTTTGGATGAAAATTCATACAACAAAACATTGACGGATGGTAAATGTGTCAAATAAGTACAAATTTGGGGTTTTTTATGTCACAAAATTTTTTTTATGGTGCATGTGTTACAATGGACATAGTTTCAGATTTTTTATGTCACAAAAAAAATTTCAATATAAATATGTCACAGTTGGCATAATTTAGATTTTGTGGCCTTTTCCCTTAAAATAATTAGTTCAAGAAAAATATTTTCATTATTGACCACAAATTATGTGTAAACATTGTCGTGAACGCTAACAATATTTTTCATTCATTCATTTTATAAGCGACACAAGCAATCATTTCTTGCAAAATGTTTTCCAAATTATTTATTTTCCACGAAACAAGCGGACCCTTAGTTCATGAGAGTTTTCGTTGTCATAAGTTTATGAGAATTTAATTATTTGAAAAAATACCAGCAACATACCCCATCTCTCACCTCCCCACTGACCATCCAAAGATACAAATATTTTCTAATGCCGGACCTCCTAGAAATGACTTGCTTCATTAGATTTCTCAAATGAAACTGTAAAGTATATGGTGTTGTCATCATTATATTTATGCTATGATTTCGAAAAAGGTATGAATGAAATATGCAATTAAAAAATGATAGCGCACAGCGAGGCACGGGCATATATTGCTGGTGAAAAGCGAGAGTTGGGTGCATTTTCTGCGGTCACCCTTTTTCCATCACCTGCTCTCACCTTTTAAATGTTTTCCCTTTTTCGTCCTTTTGAATCACTAATTCGTCTTTTAGCAAAAAAATATCAATAATTCATCCATTTATCTATTTTATATATGCTAATGGAGATTTTTAGTTGGGCATATCAAATCACATATGTCGCTTCCTCCCTCCCTTTCTTCTCTCTTTATTCCTTTTAACTTTCACTTCGCTAACTTTATATCAACTTTCCATCTTTTCCCCTTTATTTCTCTCCCTTTTTTTTTTAGGATTGATATTACAAAAAAACCTCAAAATTATATCCACTGTGACATAAACACTCCAATTTTTTTTCGTATCACTTGAAACCCTAAACTTACCCATTGTAACACAAACTCCCCAAACTTTTTTGTGTCATAAAGAAACCCCGAACTTATACCAGTGCGACAGATATACCTTGGATGGAACTGAAATAGTGGGTATATATGTCACATATGTACAAGTTTTGATTATTTTGTGACAAAAGAAATTTTGGGGATATTTGTATCACAGTAGGCAAGTTTAGGGTTTTTTGTGATGCAAAAAAAGTTTTGAGTATTTATGTCACAATGGATATAATATAGGTTTTTTTGTGGTATTTTCCCTTGATATCAAGTTTATTTTACTTTAATTTGCAAGCTATATTATATAATTCCTTTAATTCATCGTATATTTGCATGGTCCTGAATTCACAAAACTTAAAGTGCAATTACGAACTTTGATGTTGATAATTTACAAGTGCCGATAAATAAAATGGATAATAATACAAAAAATCTCAAACTTTTGGCATAATGTGCAATATGGTCCCTGAATATTTAATTTGTTCAATGTGGATCCTCAACTCTAACCCGATGTACAATGTCGTCCTTGAAATTTTAATTTGTTCAATATGGTCCCTAAATTTTTTATGCATATTATTAATTCTAGTTCATGGACAACATTGAACATCTCCATATAGTCCAAGAACTAAATTGAATATGTATCAAAAGTTCATGGATTACGTTGAATAAATTGAAAATTAAAATACAAAATTATAGATTAGGCTAAAGTTCAGAGAACACATTGAACAAATTAAAAGTTCAAGAACCACATTGCATATTGGATCAAAGTTCAGGGAGCATTTGTGTCATTTTCTTTATATAAACGAGTTTACACTATTGATATAAACCTTTGTAATATTAATAATAATAAATGCACATGAAAATGTCTTATACATTATCTTGAATTCACTATCTATAAAGGAGACGCATACTTTACTAATTTTCTATTTTTTTATACTAATCGAGCCATCAAAACATTTAGAGTTAATATAGGGCATCATTATAAAAATTCATCCCTTTGGTTTTATTAAAAAAAAAATACTAAGGCCGAGGAATTTATCATGTTAATAAGTCTCCCACTTCCAAATTTGACACATATTATAGCATATAAAGATAATTTTGGAGTCACTTTTTTGTTTGTTGATAGAAGGGTCCTCAAATATCTTGACATAAATGTTAAATATAAATGTTGAGTTCATAACGAGTGCTATAAATGCCAAAAAATTAAAAAACGATTAAGTAAGCCACAACGTCAAATTTTTAGTGTACCGAAAAGATTAATAATGTTAGTGATTGTTAATTTTCTCTTTGTTATGCAGCAACGTGCGAGTCAAATGTTCTAGTATGGTATGAAGCACGGTAATAAGTCCAAACCCTACCAAGGATAATTTTTCTAAAGTTACTCTTGAACCGATTCTCTTCTCGTGTATTACAATGTAAAAGCCATTAATGAATGAAATCAATTGGTCGTTTTGACAGCTTCCTGCTAAATAGAGTACTAGCCTTAATAATTACGAGTTGCTGTTAGAGCAGTAAAACGAAGGGCTTTGTGATTAGATGTGATTAATGCACTGTTTTGAGAGATTATGCACGGAATCTAATGACATTAACAATAATAACAATAATAATATTATTATTATAATAAATGGCTCTTTCGCCGTTGTGGAATGGATGGGTCAAACGTGTTTTTTCTTTTTTATTTTACGCGGACTTTCTTACACAAAAAAAATTTTGCAATTTCCGTATTTTCCTGATACGGCAAAACTCTGCGCGAGCAAAGCGCAGATTTTCTCTCTCTACCACCGCTAATTTCATCGCCCCCTCTTCAACTCCCTGAAGCTTCTTGCATCTTCAATGGAGTCAAGACTCCATTTTGATTGCGACCCACGAAAATTCGCTCGCTTGTAATCCAGGGTAAGCTCAATGCCTGCACTCTCTCGTTCAGTCAATGGTCGACAGCTTCTCGCATCGGATTGCACCCCATTACGTCTAATTTCCATGTGTTTCCCCAGTTCTTGATCCAAGAGCTTGTCGATTGTTTCGATCGGGGTGCAAATTTTGTTGTCGTTGTTGGTCTTGCCGTCGTGCAATTCAGCTTGCGGAATTTGTTTCTCTGTTTCCCCCGTTTCTAGCTTTGCGATTGTAGTGATTTGCCGAATTTTTCGGTTTCGTGTCTGTGAATCAGGTGTATCTTTGCAAGTTGTGCTGGCGTAGGTTTCGGTTCGGAGGGACGCAAAACGGAATTAATTGGTGCCATCTTTTGTTAATGTTTGGATAAGTGGAGCTGTTGGGTTAAGAAGGCTTGTGTATGTTTTGTCTGTTGTGGGTTCCAGAATGAGTGTGGTGGGCTTTGATATAGGAAATGAGAACTGCGTGATCGCCGTGGTGAAGCAGCGGGGCATCGACGTTCTGTTGAATGATGAGTCGAATCGCGAGACCCTGGCTGTTGTGTGTTTTGGGGAGAAGCAGAGATTTTTGGGTTCTGCTGGGGCTGCTTCAGCAATGATGCACCCGAAATCGACCGTGTCTCAGGTGAAGAGACTGATCGGTAGAAAATTTACGGATCCTGATGTTCAAAAGGAGCTTAAAATGCTGCCTGTAGAAACTTGTGAAGGTCCGGACGGAGGCATTTTGATTCGAATACAATATGCTGGAGAAAAGCACACGTTCTCGCCGACTCAGGTTATGGCAATGCTCTTTGCGCATTTGAAAGAAATTTCCGAGAAGAATCTGGAAATCCCTGTTTCAGATTGCGTTATTGGCATTCCCTCATACTTTACAGACCTGCAAAGACGAGCATATCTGAATGCTGCCACAATTGCTGGATTGAAGCCTTTGAGGTTGATGCATGACTGTACTGCAACTGCCCTTAGTTATGGGATTTACAAGACAGACTTCTCCAGCAGAGGCCCCACTTATGTTGCATTTGTGGACATTGGCCACTGTGATACTCAGGTTTGCATTGCATCATTTGAGGCCGGGCATATGAAAATCCTTTCGCATGCTTTCGATAGAAGCTTGGGTGGTAGAGAATTTGATGAGGTCTTGTTTGGTCATTTTGCTGCACAATTCAAAGACCAGTACGACATTGATGTGTATTCGAATGTGAAGGCCTGTATCAGGCTGAGGGCAGCATGTGAGAAGCTGAAGAAAGTTTTGAGTGCCAATGCAGAGGCTCCATTAAATATTGAGTGTTTAATGGATGAGAAAGATGTCAAGGGGCACATCAAAAGGGACGAGTTTGAGAAACTCGCATCTGGGTTACTGGAGAGAATCGGTATCCCTTGCAAAATGGCGTTAGCTGATGCAGCGTTGCCTACTGAGAGGCTTCATTCAGTTGAACTTGTTGGATCAGGGTCTAGGATACCGGCTATTACTAAATTGTTAACATCTATTTTCAGAAGAGAACCTAGGAGGTCATTGAATGCAAGTGAATGTGTAGCTCGTGGATGTGCTCTACAGTGCGCAATGCTTAGTCCAGTTTTCCGAGTCCGAGAATACGAGGTATGTTAAAATATCTTACATCGTTTTCCTACAAGGTTTGTCATGGCTATTGGTGCACTCTTCCTCAACCAAATGACTTAGGCTTTTGAGTTGGACTTTCTAGTCTGGTATCAAACCCGTTCTGTTTTTCTTGATGTGTTCTGGCTTCTCTTATTTTCATTTACATTCCTGACAAGCATAGTCAATGTGGCATAGGAATTTGTTTTGTCCAACCTGGGAGGTTTGTACTTTCCGTTTTGCATTTGCACCAAACCTGAGTACCATAAGACCAACTGTACAACAGGTAGGGTTGTGTCATCCCACCTGCAAGTTTTTATGGCACAAATTGATCCACTCCTGTCCCAGTTGCTTGAATCAAGGATAGTCAGTCTCTCAAACGTGCTGGCATAAATACCAGCGTACGTGTATCATGCATGAATCTGTCTTGGGATTCTAATCAATTTACTGAAGTTTAGGCCAATCTTCTCTAGCACAATCTTATGTTTTTGCATTGCTGGTTACTGATCGATTTTGTCTTTCTTTTTTGCCAGTGATATTGAGCGAAACTAATTTTTGCCTTGTTTTATGCAGGTACAGGATTCAATACCATTCTCCATAGGGTTCTCATCTGATGGAGGCCCAATTTGTGCAGGGTCAAATGTCGTGTTGTTTCCAAAAGGGCACCCTGTCCCAAGTGTTAAAGTACTGACGCTTCAAAGGAGTAGCTCAATCCAGTTGGAAGCATTTTATCCTAATCCCGATGAGCTCCCTTCAGGCATGTCTTCAAAAATAAGTTGCTTCATGGTGAGTACAGGATATGAACTTGACAAATCTTATAGCTCCTTTTTTAGGAGTTTGTAAGAAATTTACTTAAATTTTAGAATGATTAGACATGCAAGATTTTCAAGCATCAAATCACTTTTTTAAAGTCATTTCATTATTAGTTGTTCCTCAAATCTTCTATGATCAGTCCCTTTCCTCATCCAGAGATGTGATAAGTAGATATGGTTGTAGATGGGCATTTGTAGTGGGACTGTCTGTGTTGGTGATAGTAACTTAGCTCTCTTGTTGATACGCTCCTGTTCATTCAGGTTGGCCCCTTCAAAGGTTTGCACGGAGAAAAGTCAAAGGTTAAAGTTAGAGTTCAATTAAACCTTCATGGCATCGTCACTGTTGATTCAGCCACGGTCAGTTTGCTATTGCTATATATTAACATGTTATTTCATCTGCGGACTTTGTGAGTTTTCTTTTCAATTATCATGATGTTGATGCCCATATTGTTGCAGATGATAGAGGACGGTGTAGATGGTTCAGTTATCAATGATGACACTCAAGCCTGTATTGACAAAATGGATTCCGAGAGTGCTTCATTTGCCGGACATAATGGTGTTGAAGATGGGACCTATTCACATTCTCAATCCTCACATGCCTCTGTATGTTATTATGCAGTAATATTGTTTCTATAATTACTGGTGTTTATTTTTGGTCCAACTAGATTAATGGTAGCTTTTGGTGAACGAATAATGGTAGTTAACTTTATGTTTCTCTCACTATGGAACTTCTTAAATTTGACTAGTCTTGGTTGTAAGCTTAAAATATGTGTGAGAGTGCAAGAATAAGATTCATTGACACGCGTGGAATGGAATTCTTTTACACCTGATCTTTCTATGGCAGGATCATCACATCAGAAAACATAAAGCAACCAAAAAGCATGAGATACCAGTTCATCTGAAAATATATGGTGGGATGACAGAAGCTGAGGTTTTAGAAGCTCAAGAGAAAGAATTTCAGTTGGCTCAGCAAGATAAGATAGCTGAACAAACGAAAGAGAAGAAAAATGCTTTGGAGTCGTATGTTTATGAGACGCGGAACAAGGTATTGCTTTGATTTCTGCCGATAATATTTCTTGTTGGATCTTGTAAATGAGTGCCTTTTGAGTATTGATTGAGCTATCTCTTAAAACTAGTAGAGATTAAAAATGAGTTAAGTGTCAGAAACGCCATTAGGAAATTAAACATGCATACACTCCCCTTTTACATTTTCTAACCACATTATCCATAAAGTGGGTTTGTTTGTTTGGTTCATCAAATTTGTAGCTATTAGTTTGTTGCATTGGATATTGCGAACTCTATTAAAGCCTTGAAAGAGTCTATGCATTAACAGTTGATTCATATGGATATAGTGCCTAAAGTTGATAGGACTGGAATCTTTCTTCGTCCCTCTTCTCTGGCTCAGTAGGGAAAGATTTGAAGATTTTGAAGAGTTCTACTCTCTGTTAGACCAAAGCTGGATGCCCATAGTCTGTTTCTAGCATCTGTAAGACCTTCTGATATTACTGTGAACTTCTTCCTCCTGCAGAGGAGAAAGTTCCCTCGCCCTTTTGCGAAATCATAACCTACAGCAGATCTAGTTTCATCTTATGGTGCTAGAAGCCCTCCTATCTCTGGGTTTAATCATCCATCCCTACTTCTGGCATCTTCTGCATATTTTCCTTTATTTGGTTAGATGGTTCATTCAAGTCTTGTCTTCTATCTGTGCTCCCATATTTCCCTGTATCATCTCAGAATAACGAGTGAATGCTCATTGTAATAGCTTTTGAACATGTACCGGAGCTTTGCAAGTGATCGGGAGAAGGAGGGGATTTCCGGAAGTCTACAACAGACGGAGGATTGGCTTTATGATGAAGGCGACGATGAAACTGAAAATGCTTATATTTTGAAGCTGGAGGACCTACACAAGGTGATTTTCTTTCTAAATTCTAGAGTCTGTCTTGCCACTTTCGTCTCGGTGCTCAATTTCCTTTTGCTTTTCAGCTGGTTGATCCAATTGAGAGTCGGTATAAGGATGAAGAAGCTAGAGCGCAAGCTACAAGAGACCTATTGAACTGCATTGTGGAGTATAGAATGTCTGTAAAGTCACTTCCGCCAAAGGACAGAGAATTGGTATGATTAAGAAACTTAAATGGTAAGTTTTTATGCAGTATGGACTTTCTTTGAGTTTTTGGCTTTTCATATTTCAGATAGTGGATGAGTGCAATAAAGCTGAACAGTGGCTGAGAGAGAAGACCCAGCAACAGGATTCCTTGCCTAAGAATACTGATCCAGTACTATGGTCTAGCGATATCAAGAGCAGGGCTGAGGACCTTGAAATGTAATGCTCTTTATTTACTGCAGTACCATGAGAAAGATCTCTCTCTCTCTCTCTCTCTCTCTCTCTCTCAGGTGTAACTATCTTCATTGCATGTAGTCAAATGAACCATGCATGCTAGTTTGATTTTGGCTTGTAGATTGTTATAGAGACACCCTTGGTGCCTCTGTGATGAAGTTTATTACTTTTTATTGGTAAGCAAAGTTCTTCTGCGACTGGATATTCGGAGGCATGATGTCTCCTCCCAATGACATGGTGGAACTTTAACGCTGGAGTTTTTCTCCTTCTGTGGAACCTAACTCTTTCAACGGATTATGACATTTGCTTTTGTGAATTTCAGGAAATGCAAGCACATGCTCAAGCAAAGGACGTCTAGCCCAACTTCAGGAGAGTCTGGGGGCCCAGATCATCACCATTCCAGTGATGCATGAACAGATTGTGGGAAGGTCACTTCACTTCTTTTTGCCCTTTTACTGGTGAGCTCATGTCCTACAGTTTACAGGGTTTAGTTTTCGAGAGATGTAAATCTTTTAGGTTTTCCTTTTTGACAATTTTAGATTTAGATCTAGCAAGCAAAGGTGTGGAAATGAGAGAAGAAATTATAGAAGCTGACAGAACCTGAGAGTCTTGGTCAAGTGATTTTTGTTATATGAGTTTGATTCTGAATTCTTTTCCCTTGAGAATTGTGAAAATTGTTGAAATGAATGATCCACTCATCTAATGCTGATTTCCCTGCTATGAGGGAGACTGTGAAACTAGTCTTTTTTGTCGGTAAATTCTTTTAATGTGGTCTTCACTTATACAATGAGCACTGTTTTCTATACTCTGCCATGGCAATGGTAAATGCCAGCTTGCGCAAGTAGTTGTAACCGACAAAGAGGGCAAGAGCCTTAGATGGTTTAGTGGCTTCTTACGCAGCATATAGAAGCTCTTTTGCAACAAAAGAGAATGAGGATGATGACACAATCGAGTGAGGATTCGTCGCATCTCTAAAGATCATGTAAAATTTGATTTTGTTGGTCTGTGCTCCAGAAGTCAGGAGGATGGTTGCGTTTGGTTGCGTGGATTAAAGTTTAGATAGGATATGATAAGGCGGAGTTTCTTATATTATATCCTTTGATTGGAAAATCACCGAATATAAGACCCAAAATCAAAATAAAATAGGTTAATAAGGAATAGAAGAGAACTTCCAAAAAGGAGTTCCTAGCTGGGTCCTTGACCATCGTCAGCCACCACCGGACACTGTTTGCGTGAAGGCCTGCGATCGCCCCACGGCGATCAGACAAGAAGCTACTGATTCGAGTAAATTCCCAGATTCATGGTAATCGTACCTGGTTGTTTTGGCGGATCATTACCCATAAACCAGATACTTGACTCAGTTACATAGAAACAAAACGAGCTCGCTAACAGAAGCGAAAGGAGGAACGTCCATCTAAGGTACAGTCCAAGAAGCTATTCGTACACTGTCTAGGGATCAACAAAGGATCTACTTTAGATAGCATAGACTATCCAAGGCATTCAATTAAGGGTGCGAATGGTAACCATTCTATTTCAGAAATCAAATTCTTGCCAGAAATTAATTTCTGAAATTTTTGCTAGAAATTGATTTCTGGAGGAGAAATCTGTTTGGTAAAACATGACTAATTCTGCTTCAGAAATTAATTTCTGGAAGAGAAATCTATATGATAAAACAGGAGGAAATTTTCTTGTGGAGAAAGTCCTTTTTTCCAAAAATGATAGCCCCATGTTAACTGGCTTAAGTAGCTATCTACATTTGTGAAGATTTGTCTTCTCAGCTTCACAAATATGTCTATATTTAATGTCGAATCTAAATACATCTTGGAGGCATATCACTTTGTTTCTAAGAAACATGCCTTGGCAGGGTTTGTTGAATTTGGTTCGTTGTGTTCTTGAAATCTAATACAAGAAACAACACTTGAAAGTTAAGTTGTGAACGGATAATCACCAAATCTTATGAAGTATTTTAAGCCTTTCGCACATGATCTCCAGCAGGTATGCTACTGCCATCCTAGATTGCAATGCCGGGATAATAAACTTCGTATATGGAGAAGATAAAACTCGATTAGATAGATCAGAGAAGGAAAATACAGTTATATGGTAAGGGCTTAGATTATGTGATTCCTATTATCTCATTTTCCTGTTACTTTAGACGCTATGAGGGCTTTGTGTGGGAAATTTTTTGCTTCTGCTCGCATTTCCTTTCTACTGAATTCTCCAAGAATAGTCAACAGAGGGAAGATTAACTAAGTTGAGTTGGTAATTGAACTCAGACCATTCTCCAAAACTTCAGCAAATAATTAAGGAAAAAAGAAAGGTAATGATAAACTTGAGATTCGCATGTGCAAAATAAATAGATTTGTGGTACTTTTAAGCAGCAGATGGTAGATCCAAGCATTTGTAAAGTCTCAACAGCTGAAGATGGCAAATTTCTTAGAATTTTTCTGTCATTCACAAGCCCAACAAGAGAAGACCTAATGAGAGACTAAGAGTACTAGCACCCCAATTCGCCAGTCCCCTCTTCAAAAAATGCTTCCTCAAATCAAGAAAAGCTTTCTAGCTTCAGTTGCTCTAACATTGTTTCCAACAGTCCCTCGCTTTGCACATCTTACCTGCTCAAAATTGATAAAAATAATAAGAAACTGATATTACTCTAAATTCAACAGCAGAGGAACGCGAATAACACACCAATTACAGCAACTTTAGACCATTCAATTCCCCGAAGAGACATTACATGAAAGCAAAGCAAACGATGTCTGTCATGAGTCACTGGGCATTCAGTTTTTTTGGGAGCACACATTGCAAACCTAAAGCTTGGAGAGTATCCTGCAATTCCCAAGCCATCACAAAATACCAGCAAACCGGTCATCTATTGAAACACAACCAAGTCTTCTTATTTTAGATTAATTGAGTGCCTGGTAGCAAACAGTCATGGAACAGCAATAAGTAGTTAGAAGCAACAGGCAAAGCTCGCAAAACAAATAGCCACCCCTATTCCACTGCTACCTTGGTTAGCCATAGACAAATTAACGAGTCCAAATGACTATAGAACATGACCCAAAAATTTTTTTTGACTATAGAAAGTAACAATAACAACATCCACAAAATCTATAGGGTGATCTGGACGTCCAGATTAGGACCAGAAGATACAGGGAGAATCAACACAGATTAAACTTGGAATAAAATACGACACGCACTATATTTACCTTTTGTATAGCTCCAGATAAGCTTTATGGATTAACAAAGATCAGTATATATATGAGACTTCACTATAATTGAAAAGCATGCAGGAAAATTAACTGAATATCTATATCAAAAAATTCACTCATTTCAAAGAACTAAGTGCCATGAGAGTTCAAACACCCTATGAGTATCAGGTACTCAAAGATGGACTAGGAAATTTATGTATTTGGTTGATCAAGCGCTCTTATCGGGATTGAGCTGAATCACTCTCATAGTTTGTTGGAAATATTAGAAAGTCTTTTGTGCATAATTTTGTATATAGGTGGCTTCTACCTGAAGTCATTTTGTGTAAAGGTGGTACCCCTGGTACCTTCTTAATGAAACCTTATTTATCATTCAGAAAAGGAAAAGGATTTTTCTTAAACTTCAGACCGAAAAAGACCCTTAAAGGATTTCTTCCCTATTTAATACACACTCACATCATAGGAGGAAAACAATGGCCATAAACCACGACCAGCGACAATGAGATCAAAAAAGACGTTTTACTAGGCAATGCGATCACAGAAGACTAAAACCATCCTTTGCTTAAATAAGAAGAAAAAAGGATGGAGATTTTTGTTCTTCCGACTGCTCTTGAGCATATAACTGGATGTCAAAGCACATTGTATCAAGATTGGACGAACAATCGCATACCCAGAGAAGCTAATGACCACGGCTCAAACTCTAAACTGTACAGAATGATCTGCATTCTGCCAATCTCTACACCTAAAGATTTCAAGATCCCTGAAACACATCTATGGCTCATTCTTCAGGCATTACATGAACATTCAACAAAGAATCAGCTACAACCTATGACAAATATCTTCCTTTCTGACCTCAAAACAGCACATGGAACACGTCAGCTAAACATAGTTCATAACTTCATACAGAAACCAATTCACCTAAAACAACAAAAAGCTCTAACCTTTAATCACGGCCTTCATCCAAAATCATCTAAGCTTCTCCTTGGCCGAGCTCTTCCTCGCAGCGTCCTTGACCTTCTCAATGTACCCTTCAATTGGCGGCATGAGTGTCGCCATGAAGCGGTTTGCAGGGAAAGGTGTCAAATCTGGCAGCAGCGCCGCCTCTCGCAGCTTCTCCGGCAGCGCCTCGATGCCTCCTTCATCCGCAACAAATTACTCTCCACAGCCTGCCTCGCCATATGCCTCCTCATCAAAACCCTAGAATACTCCTTCGCGAGCCGCCTTCCATCCTCGACCGTGAGCCCATACTTCGGAATCTTATCCGCATCGACCAGTCCCAACGAGATCAAATCCAAGCCCGGGGTCCCGATTATCTCTGGCTTCTCGGAGACGCCCAGTTTCGACTTCCCTTTCTTCAGCATGTCGATCTCTCGCTGCCGGTCCCTTGCTGATCAGCCCCATCTTCTCGCGCTCGGCCTCGCGGGCCCGCCGCTTCTTGGTCAAGTAGCGGAGCGGGGTGGGCGCGTTGAGGCACGCCTCGACGAGGGCCTCGGCCTCGGAGGGGCCGCAAATCACAGAGCTAGACACGAATGACGAAACAAACCGATTCAACCACAACCCACACATCATAGCCCTTTCGAAACAGAAACCCCGCGGCTCAACTTCAACCTCAACCTCAATCCGCAGCATGCTAATCAAGTTCTCGCCAGACCGCTCCGCGACGTCTCTTTCCCTTGATTCCGACTCGATCGAGCGAGATTCGCGCAGGCCGCGTGTCCCAAAATGGGCGGCCGCGTCGCGCACCGTGGATTGCAGCGAAGGGAAAAGCTAACGACGAGAGAGGAGATGAAACAGTTGGAGGAATCGAAGACTCACGAGCTACGCATGAAGAAACGGAAGCGGCGGAGAGAGAGTGAGGGCCAAAATCGATCGCCGCCGCGTGCGGTGGCTGTTCCGGTGCAGTCGCGAGGAGGGAAGGAGGGCACGAAACTGAAGAGAGTCGAACGTCTCTTGAAGAGAGTAAAGAAGGAAATTTGGCCAGAAGCTACAAAAACTAGCTTCTTTTTTTTTTGCCCAAAACACGTACCGGAAGCAAAAACTCATTCTAGAACAAAAAAGAAATGTATTTTTACCAAACGCGTTTTGTTCCAGAATGCAAAAATTGCTCCAGAATGTATTCCGGAAATTTTTTAACAAACGCATTTACGTTCCGGAATGCATTCTAGAGCAAAATTTTTGCTCCAAAATGGATTCCATGCGCGTCCTAAGAATCTACGGTAGACTCGGATGGACATTCATCTCGGGCTTATGAAGGTTAATCTGTGGTTGAAATGTTGCTACATTTGATCAATGCCATCTTCACTTGGTTCATCATTTGCTGCTCGTACATAAGCAGGATGACCAAGCAGACGCTTGTTCAGCTATAATCAGACATCATTTTGAGCTTGCCGGCCTGGAAAACAGAGGCAGATATGGTCGCTGCACTGCATTTTTTAAGACTTGATCTTTCTCTTCAGAACCACTAGTTTATTGCTGGATGGACATATGGACTGACCTTAAAATTGGAAGAGAAAATGTGTATGAAGAATACATTGCTTCTTAATACAAGCAACACCGACGAAGCTTGACGGTAATCCAAGCGTCAACCCTTCTTGCCTTTCTTGGCCTTGGATTTCTTTTTTGACTTTCTAAATGCCGTTCCATTCTCCTGTCAGCAACACACACACATGAAGCATATATCACCTGTATTGAACCTTACTTCTTTAAGATGACAAACTTTTGAGTGTTACCTTTCTGTAATGTCTATAGGCACCTGAACCTGTCAACTCCTCCCCAGTTGCAGTGACGTAAACCTGAAGGATAGAAATCTTGATCAAGACATGAAACTCCTTAACATCTAAATCAGAAATAGTTCATTCAAAGAGATCAATAGAAGCAGACGCTAGATCAAAAAAGAAGTGCACTCAACTTAGGATTTTTGGCTGACTTCATTGTGGCAAAGTATTTGAGAGTTTGCTAATACACATCAGGTCAGAGTGAAGCAATCCAAAGGGTTTTAAATGTTTAAAGAAATAGGAGACATCAAATTAGGAAACCTATTTATATTAGGAAACAACCCTCCAGCCTTTGTGCTTATCCTGACTTGTTATACTGCAAGTTTAGCTTAATTTAAACGTGCAATGTCAATGGCAAAGTACTCATCCACAAGAATTGCTATTTAGGCAAAAAGAAAAAAAAAACAACACCCAGGCAGGAGCAATGACCATGAAAATATTTCTCAGGGTGCTTCCGTGAGTCTTGAAAGGACGGAATTATGGCAACTGAAAGTTGCAACCACTGCAAATATTGTTCTCGCACACTAACTAAGAACTGGATACATTAAATTCTTCTGAGACAACTGCACAAAGTAGAATCTGCAATATCATCTCTTAGACACTCACACGAATGCATGTCTAAAAATACTGAGAGTCAATAGATCTAGTGAAAACAAAACTTCAATTAGTAGCATTACGACCGGAGGTTATTAGCAGGCAGTAAGTTCTTGATGCTGATCAGATAGATTTAAGCATGTCCCAGCACAAAATTCTGAATAAAGGTAAGAAAACGCTTAAGTCTATCTGACGTAAGTGATACACACATCAAGCAATTATCACTTTCTCCTTCTAGATCCACTACAAACAATTTAATGAATTTAACAAGATGAGATTGCTCGAAAAAAGTACAAACAGAAGTTTCACCAACCTTCTTCCCATCAGCTGCAGTATACCAATGACCTGTGGATTTTCCATTAGCATGAACTCGTCTTTTCCCAGCATTCTGCGTAGTGATTGAAGTGTCTTTGGGGTTCATCCAGCTTCCGGTGCTTGTGATTCCTTCAGCACTCTGAGCTTTTGATTTATTTCTCCACCTTGAGCTTTTCTTAGAGTCAGTTTTTTGTATTGCTTGCTTTTGAGAAGATTCTCCATTTGCAAACTGACCCCTGGGAAAAAAAAATAGTTTTGATGTAGTTACGATTATATGAAGCATTAAGATGGATACAGGTGTTCAAGCGGCTGTTTTCAGTGGATAAGGATGAGGTGAAATACATGTAATCGATGAGTGATGGCTGTTTGCTACTATTGGCACCACCAAGAGGGAAAAAGTGAGGTAGACGACTGTGGACTAAGTTCCGAATACTTGGATCATCATGAAAAAAGTATCGATGAGCAGGAGGTAGGTTGTCATTTGAATCACAGCGAGGCTCAATATTTTGGCTGCTATTTCTTGTCGGTTGATGGCTTTTATTATCAATGTTTAAATGAGCCACCGGTTGCTGAGGTTTATTCCCACTATTCAGAGAGTGGAAATATTCTTCACAAACCTCATCCAGAGCTGGGGTTGGGATGTGAAGGCTCTTTGTTGGACGAAAATCTCTCCATAGATCCTCATTCTTAGGAACACAGTAAGATGGGAGTTTTCTCCTCTCTTGACTTCCGAGTATATGATCAGCAACTTCACTTTTCTCTTTGGACAATAACTTCGCCTTATCAGCTTCTTCATTGGCATGTTCACTAGTGGATGGACTATCAGAATCCGAATCGATTAAGTGGAACCTTCGAAGAGGACTTAAAGTAGTTTGTTTCAACATGGGCTTATCATAGCTCCTTTTCAAGCTGGCAGAGTGGTCAATTGAAGCTTGTTCCCCTTTTATGGCTTTCAAGGGGCTTGAGGAAGGCGCATTGTTAACCCAACGTCCGCACAGTGGGACCTTCGAACTGCTGCCCACTGAATGAATCTGGATGGATGCCTTTTCATCTGCTACAACAGAAATACAGTAGTAACATTCACGCTGGGAATTGATTAACACACCAAAATAACTGGCTTCTAAGTAATCTCAGTCTTGAAACATTAAGCATGCTCCTACAGATGAGATGAATAGATAACATTTAAATATGCATCACCGAGAGCCCTTCCACTAGAAGAAAACGGAGGCGTTTATAAGGCACAGCAGCTGATCTCTATTTACTTGTCCAATGAACATCACATCTGAGAAGGGCCATGATTTATCAACCAGAACTTGCATGGATGTATAGTAACACAAATTGGTTGGACTAAATCCAGTGAGAAAACAAAAAGTTCATTGAAGTTTTTACTCCTTGTGCATCCACAAGGTCAAGCACAATAATGTAAACTGATTGCTTCATCACTAACCAACATATATGGGATTCTATTAGCTCTAAAAAGATTCTAGTTAAATGAGATTGCAATGACATAACAGACTAATTTGCAACTCCGACACTGCAAGTCAGTTGGGAATCAGATGAGGGCAAACAATAAAATATGCAATTTATTCTCTGCTTGAGCCATGTTTGCAGTAGTTGCAGAGTTCATGCTTTCCAAGAGCCAATTTTTAACCACCCAGATAAAAAAAACCCAGCAGAGACTAGTTATACAAACTTAAATCAGATGGAACACTAAAACTCCAAAAGGCCCTTCGACATGAACTCCTAAACGGAAAAGGTAAACTACTAAGTAATCAACCAGACAACGGTGGAAACATACAGGATGCCGCATTTCTTATAGCCATGCCATCATCGAACAGATTCCAGTACATAAAACGCATGAAGCCTTGTCTTTCAAAATGTCAAATCTTCGGTAAACCCTCCCTGCTTTGATCAACACTTGCAATTTTCCGAATCACTCAACCGGTACTGCCATCATAATGCAAAATTTCACAGCACTTAAACATAAACACAGCTCTAGCTGAATACAACCCCTGAATTTGATCGATGTGATCAAAGACTTCAATTTATCTTCATCAGCAGATACACTCATACACGCAATGAATCAAATCAAAGCCGAAACATGCAACTCCTAAGAACGTTCTGGACAACACACTCCATCTAACAACGCTGACTCGGAAATCTGCAGGAGCAAAACTAACTCGAGCAAAGTAACAAATGTGTAGTTTCTACGGTAACATCACCGTCACTCAATTATGCTCGTACCTCTGCTTGTTTCATCGGACGAGAACTCTTCGATGTCGTCGTCCACGTAGGCGTCGGGAGACGGGCGAGCGGAGCTCTGTTTCGGCTCGGCGGGCAGGCCGCGCCTGAGCCGCTTCAAGGCTCGCGGCGGGTCGGCCCCGATCTCGCGACCCGGGTCCTCGGTTCGCGGTTCCGGCTCCTCCCCGCCGCCGCCGGCCGGAGACATCCCGTCGCGGACAGCATCACTTCGGGGTGGGTCAGGGTTCGGAGGCTCCGAATCGGAGTCCGAATCGAGCCCGAGAGAGAAGGAGGGAAGCTCGAAAGAGCTCATTTTTTCCGGCGGCTCTGTATGTGAGATCGATCGAGAGAGAGAGAGAGGATGAAGGTGGCGGTGGCGGTGGCGGTGACGGTGAGAGAGAGGTGGATCCGATGCGGCGGCTTGGGCGGTCGAACCGGGTCAATATGGCGCGACTACGAAACGAAAGGAGACTTCAAAATCAATTTCCTTTTGGCGCTGGAGGGAACAAAATTTGAAACGCTAATGGGCTTTTAGGCTCTTGGTCCAAAGCCTATAACCCAAAAGAGCAATCAATTTGAGTTTAGTGTCTCGTTTGAGTTTTTTTCAATTCTTTGTAGTTTGATCAATAGATGTGCAATGTGTGTATATATGCACATACGTCGAACCGATTCGTACAATTAGTGGTTGCTATCGTCATTTGCGTCATCGGATAGATTTTCGCGACTGTGGCAACTTTCTTTTTCGATCCTGATGTACCCATCTCTGTTAACTCCAGTGAGTGGTGTTCGATTTTTCCGAAGGCCAATGCTTGGGCTTTCAAATCATCTATAGCGTCCACCTAAATAATGATTCGCGTCAAGCAAAGGGCCCCCCGAGAAATTGAGATTGATGTTTCTTTTGATTTACCTGTTTGCATCGAGTGATCTACTAGTGTCTTGCTAATCCAGAAAAAGCGGTGGCATAATTATCGTGGTAGCTAATCTATAATCATTTCTACACATGCACGCTATTGGAGCTCGCATTGGATCACGCGTGATAAGTTTGATTGAACATAAACTTATGCATGCCACAAATGAATACCATCAAGGATAAACAGACCAATCTGAAAAGTGAATGTAATTTCTAATGCACAGTCTCTCTTATGTTATGCGTAATCAATGCATTGAAAATCAAAACATTTCTTTATTAAGCATGCTTAACCAATGTCTCAGGAGCACTCGTTAACAACAACCGTTAACTAAACCCATCTTAAAAATCTGTTTCTTTTAAAAAAAACCCAAAACGTCGCTCAAGCTGCACAGGCAATTAGGTTAGCTGTTGAAGGCCGAAGACATTATAGGGTCATTGCTCCATATAATGTCTCCCTCAGCGAGGATGAGAACAGGAGCATGTGGGTACTCTTAAGAAGCCATCCTAGAAAGACGCACTAGCGATTGAATAACTTGTTGACTTGCTTTTTAGCCCTTTACGTCCATCTCACCCAATTGGTGTTTCCTAATCTTTCACTTAATTGACATGTAGAGAGTAAGCCACTGCTTCTAGACCACGTGCACCTTCTTAATTAATGCTATGGTGCTGCCAGAAATTTATTGGCTTTTGCTGCATGTTCATTGAATTTGACAGTGTTTGCGCTAAATAATAAGCCTATGTAGGTAGACTAGATTGTCAAACATGGCGGATATTGAATACCATTAGACATTGAGATGAATTATATGTGGGGCATTGAGTTGCCGGGAGAGTGCCCGAGTCTGTTCATGGAAAGCGAGATTGGAAGCGAAGGTGTACCGGGTGAATGGATTCGTGTTATGTAGTGTCATATGTCGCAATCAAGAGGATTTGATGGAGAACTTAGCTGGCATTGGCACTCATGTACTCTTCTCTTACTTGTACGATTGAACGAAGAGACTCCATTCGACCACGTCACGTAATTCGATTTGCTTGTCAATTCGCCCTTCGAACCGTTCTGCTCTACATTTGCTTTGGTGGCGATTCTTCACATCACACCCTTTCATCTTATAATCCAAGGGTATCGATGTGAACATTCGATCGGCTAAAGTGTTACGAGATACCCTATATATCTCGTGAATCGATTAAGTTTACATCATTGACCTACGCAGGTGATGCAAGGCAGGCAAAACGACCGACCGTTCTCTTCCCGAGCACGAGCAGGTACACATAAACGTGTACAAAACGTGGTCATGAGTCGTGAAATCGAGAGTAGTTGGGCCCATGATCTTGTCCATTCTCTCGACAAGGTGTGCAGACGCTTTAGATTTCGTGGTCTCAATCAATTGAGCTACCGACCCAAAAGAAAAGAAAAAATCACTTGAGCTAAGTTCCAAGTTCCAAGAATGCACGAGCTCTCCTGTCACTTCCTATGGTCAGACTGCTTGGATTATTATTAATTGGCCTAATCTAAAGAGGCACATGGATTGATGAGGTCTTTGCTTAGCAACTCTTTCGAACTCTAATAACTAAGCGACCCCTAAGCGACCCCCAAGCTTCGGATACTCGCGTTATGGGGAAAAATATAATTATTTCATGAGAATGAGATAGCCCAACATTTTAATGTGAAAAAAAAAAGCAGTCTTCGAATAAACTTTAATTGAAGAGGATTAGGGTTATGTTATTTTAACTTACTAGATCTGAATTGGGTTCTTCATAGACTTAAAAGACAATGGAGATTTCGAGGTTTGCATTCACATTACATTTGTTTGCTCCATACTATCCAAATTCTTCATTTTCGATCTTTCGATGTTACTAAACTGACTAAAGAAATAAATCACAGAAAACCTGATACCGAGGAAGTCCACTTTCTATTGATCTCGTTAAGATAAATAGGTTCATGCTTTCCCTTCATTGCAAACCGTGGGTTTTCTATATAATAAAAGGGATTTTGCTAATGTAACAGTCTTTTCTTTAGACCACTGTGAGAATAATCGAATGTTGTGAGCCACAAATTCGTAAAGGGGTAAACCCTAAGACAATTTATAATTATTTGTTATTTATTTATTTAGCTCGGAACAGATTGTTAATCTCGCAACAGATTAAGAACTGTCACTTAATCATTTTTCTAATAAAAGAAGAGAGCATAGATCAAGGTAAATTGCACTTATTAATGTCTCTTTTGACTTGTTTATGTAAAATTCAATTCAATCGCTTTTGACATAGGGTAATAGTCATGTAACACATTGGTATACGTTATATACATCTATTCTCATATTTACTTTATTTTGTAACATATGAAGACCTTGCTGTATTATTGTATGTTTGAGGCTATTGCATTATTTGCGATGTTGAGGACCCCTAGACTTTGCAAAAGGAAAAAACCATCTCTAATACGACCAAAAAATAGTACAAGTCTCAACATCAAAGGAATCCAATCCCCCGCGCCAAGACATTGCCGATTCCGAGGATCCATCCAAATGGAGCTATTCTAAATAACTGGACCTTTTCGACCCAAAAAAAATAAAATAAGTGGGCCCACGCATAAAATCCCTATTGCGAACCTGTGTTAAAAGTCTTTATATGGTACAAACATTTTGCGGGTAATATTTACGTTAGTCTTTTTTTTTTTCTGTTAATAACCATTCATTTATTCAATCATCCTCGTCTATCGTTGACTAGACCTGTCAAATGGATGAGTCGGGTCGGGTCCAAAATGATTAGATCCAAATCGACCCATTTAACCTATTTTGACTCATTTCCATTCAAAACAAATCTAGTGACCCATATTTAACTCAAAATATACCTAACATGACTCATATTACTAAAACATTTCAATATTTAACCTAATTTAAAAAAACTCATATCCAAACTGAGTTGAGAACGCGGGGTGAGCAAGCGCAATATTAGAGGACGAGAGAGTCACAGAAGTTGGTTAGGCTAAGTAAGTAATGAACTCATTTAACACCCTTGTTATTTTGGACTTTACCATTTCAAACCTACGTATGACCCATTTACCGAATATAAATAATTCATATGATAACTCAATTCATCAAATATAGGTTAAGAAATTGATCCATGATCCATCATAACAGGTTTGCCATTGACCTTTTTGGCCAAGCTAAATATCTCCAACAATACAAGCATAACAAATAGCGATGTTTGCTAAGTACCCACGAGCTGCACTCTCGCGACTATCATTATCTAATTTAGCTACTCTCTCACCCGTCTTTGATAACATATAGGTCTTTATCATGAGAGGACAACTTAGAGCCTAAAAGCTAAAGAGTTTTAGCTGCAAGATGCCGCGGACCCAATCCGTATATTCAATTTATGGATCCATCTTCAACGGTCAAATGTGGGAGCTTGCTGAAAAAGATAAATAATGTGGGTTCGACATGGCACATTCAATAAATAAACTAGAGAAGAATAGATTAAGATTAGATCTAAGTCCTAGTCCCGCGGGGGAGCTTTAACAATAATGGAGGACCTCCTTGGGCTTGCCGACCGAGCCGGACCATACTCCACTGCTGTATGCGACGCCCCCATGTGGGCACGATTCGTCGGCTTGCGGGGGCAATGCATGCATCATCATGGGAACTGCATAGGATTCGTGCTGATGTGTCGACTCATCAGGTGCCACGTGGTTGCCTCCTCGGATGCCCCCCTCTCTCGTGCGGCCGTCGACGGACGGGCCAAGAGAGAATCGTGCAATACGAGATATGTCGTAGAAGCCTCCTGCATTTGGGAAAAATGTCGTGGTCGTGACACGACCGCGGCTCTAGAAGTCACAGGTGGACTTGCCGAATGAGTGGGTCGGGTCAAAAAAATAGCGGACTCATCTTATGCAATATAAATCTTGTGATCCATACTTAATCCGATTCATATTGTTAAAACGTTTCTATATTTAATTCAATATGGAAAAACTTATATCCAAATTAAAGTGAAAACATGAAGTGAACAAACGCGAAATCGACTGAAGGTGAGAGAGGGTGAGGGAAAGAGTCATAGAGATGGGTTAGGTCTAAATAAGCTGTGAGCCAATTTAAAACCCGTATTAAATCTACTTATGACATATAGTGTTCAGTCTAAACTCATTTACTAAATATAATTATCTTGTATAACAACCTACCCTATTGAATATAGATTAAAATTTAAAAGATGAGTTTATGATCTATTTTGGCAAGTTTAGTTATAGATTTGAGGTTGCACCATGCTCGGTTTGGTGGTACAATAGATGAACTGAGGCATGCAAGAAATTTTGCGGTCAAGGAGATTTGGCGTATGAGTAGTTTGAAGAGAATTGCTTTTCTGTTGAGGAGAAGAAAATTTTCAGCCACGAAACACACTCACTAGTAAAGAAACGAAAAAAAAATACAAATATCCACCACCACCACCAGCACCACCACCATACACCGGCATCGAGATCATTACTTGCCTCACCCTTGCCTCGCCTCTGTCCGAGCCCATGGTGTCCCGGTGACCCTAGTACCTCCCCTCCAAGCTCAACAATGCCACTAATGGCCACTCCATCTCAGCCGTGACCCCCCCAGCCCGTCTCTCCCTTTCCCACTATTTTGAAACTCCTTAGCTAGGGGTTGACGATGGTTAGCACCTCCATAAAACCGAGTGGCTGTCACCAACCACACTTGTCCTTAGATCGATCCACATTCGAGGCTGGGCTTAGATCTTGGCTCGTCAGCAACTAGCCCTCGATTTTTGAATGACGCGATGATGATGGAGTGATGGGGCGGGGGGGGGGGGGGGTGACACGCATTGGAGAGGGGTGATTAGTGATCCGAGAGCCACAAATAATGACGAAATGGAGGGTGAGTGACCGTTGCATTCGCTGACTAGACGAGAGGTTGATTGTGGTGGTAGCAGCGACCCTTGCACAATGGCCGATAGTTCTATCATTATAGTAGACATAGATAACATATGGTAGCGCCCCGCGATTGGCAGCACGCGGATTGCATCATCTACAAGCTAGACAAGTGTCGTCCATCGAATGTGATGATAGTATGAGGTATTGTCTAGGAGAATAGTAACTCCGCACCTCCACTTTTACTCTCTCCCACTTACCGAAATATATATTTAACCAGTAATAAAAATGATCATTGGGCAAGCTCGGGCCACGCCGGGCCTTAAGGTCGAGCTCATAAATTTTTATACAAAAACTCAAGCTCCTAGTCAGGATATCTCACCTCGACCAAAAACAAAAAGTTACGATTTCTCATTAAATACCGCTATCCAAACTTGCCCCGAAAGGTCGTACCATAAGTCCAGTTGACAGAACGGGAAGATCTTAGGAGTTAAAAAGGACGATACAAAGGGATCACGCACGAGAACGACGTTGACCATACACACACACGCGCACGTACGTACATACACATACGCAGTTCAGTTCCCATCCACCCTCTACGTCCACATCTACATCTACACGTCCTGGACCATCTTCAGCTCCGCGTGTTGCATATGGAGTAGCGTATCTCCGTACTTCCCTCTCTTCATCCACTCCTCTCTCTCTCACTCTCACGCACGCGCACGCGGAGCAGAGGTGGAAAGCGGGTCGCGCTCGACGCTCCAAATGGGCCAATCCAGCCTCCCGCAATGAAGATCACCGGAAGATCCCTGCACCGGTCGAGCGCCCCGGCCGCCGCTTCCCCGAGGGCCCCGTACCCGCCGCCCCCGCGCCGCCCAGATCTGCCGCCGCAGGCGAAGACCCCCCGCAGGACGCCCCGCCGGAAGGCCCGCCTGAGGAAGGCCGGGACCCCCGCCGGCAGCAGGCGGAGCAGCCGGCCCGAGACGCCCCTCCTCGAGTGGAAGACGACCGAGGACAAGGAGGAGCGGAGCGTCCTCCCCGTCGACGGCGGCGGCTGCGGCGGCGAGGGCGGCGGGTCGCTGCCGCAGGCCCGCCGGAGGAGCCGGCGGAGGGATGCCTCGGTGTCGTCGAGGAAGCTCGCCGCCGTGCTCTGGCGGCTGCAGCTGACGGAGGCCGAGGGTGGCGGTCGCGGCGGAGACAGAGGCGGTGGCGTTCGGGATGAGGTCGGGTTCCAGGTAGTGTTTGATTTGTCATTCAGTGCTTATGATTTTGACAGCTTGTAAGGATGTAAAATCGGAAAGATTTCGGTATTGAAGAGCAGTGAGTGATTGAGTCCAGGCTTTGCCGCATTTATAAGCCCTAGTGCGAGAGGGTATTGATGAAGAAGTGATTCCGAAGCAAAAGGCAATGAGTCTGAGAATCTTGTTTGACGCTTCGCCGTTGGCGGAATTCCATCTTCGATTGCTTCATTTTGCAATTAAGAGCTTGGCTTTTCAGCAGTATTGATTGCGGTTGCAAATCTATGCTCGCCAAGTCATTGCTCTTTTGATGTGCTTTATCTACAGTGAAGCGTTATTGTGCAGAAAAGGCCTCATCTTGACTAGTAGTAGTTCATCATCTTAGAATCTCTGAATGAGCTCGAAGTTCGCGTGCATTTCTCAAGCTCGGCTTTAGATTATTACGCATTCTTGAAGATTCTTGATATTATTCGAGGGCTTGTGCTGGTCTTCTGAAGTGGTCTTGGGTTTTTTGTATTTTTTTTTTCTTGCTAGTGCACATGTAATGGAACTCGAGTAAAATTCATGGTTTCGCGACTTTAAAAGTCGATTGGTCTTTTGGAGCAGGCATACTGTGCCCTATATGCTTTTGCTCGCTTCCTTGTGTCTATGCTATTAATCGGCTGCTTTGATGCAGTGTAAGCTTGCTGATTGGTACCTTTTGTGTTCGTTCTGTGCAGTCTGGTGCTGGACACATAGAATCTCCTTTTGTTTTTAATAGAACCGGGAAGGTGTACAACTCAGATGCAAAGGATCTTGATAGTCCTCGATCAGTATATGGCACGAGGAATGGCTTTTCGCATAAGGTAAGACTCTTTGCTTAGCATAAATTGGGTTTTGATTATGACATTAGGATTGGTTTATTTGTATCTAAGTTAAGAGAAACTGGAAATGTGGCATAAGGTATTCGAATATTGAAGACAAGGATATACCGCAGATAATTAAACAGCTGGAGGCTTGAATCCGACTAGCAATCATCATCATGAATATTAAGGCGTTACTTGAGAGATCTGCATGTTCTTATGCCAGTATGGAGCATAAATTCCTACTATCTCGCAGATCAGTAAGAAACTGGTGAATGGTGACCAGCACCCAGATCTTTTCGCTGTTAAAAAACCTTTTTATTTAGTCCCCTAAGGGATGGGGAGAACTTACGGTTCCTGGTAACTTCCCAGATTCATCAAATCTTTTTAGCTGAATGGATAGCTGAAAGTAACAATGAAAATGAGTTGTTTCATCCATTAAATCTCTTTGCGGACTACCAGTCATCAAATCTCTCTCTCTCTCTCTCTCTCTCTCTCTCTCTCTCTCTCTGATTCTTGTTCGGGGACCGGTCATCAAATCTCTTTATCTTGAAAATTTGGCCAGATGATCGACTCTCTGGAACTTTTGACTGCTCAAGAAGCCTTAGAACAAACTGAGTAGAGGTTTTCGTGTCCAAGTGAATGAATTGTTTGTTAGTATAAATAAGTTGCTTGATGTATCCACTCAGATGAGATAATCGTTCCTAATTTCCTCATTGGCGAAACTTGTAAAAAGACGATACCACTATCTGTTGGTTTTATGTGTGAAAGTAGGAAAGCCTGAATTCTTGTTGTGTATTTTAGTCGCTTTGAAGTAGTAAAGGCAGGGAGGTGCTGCTCTGGTCCTGTCTGCCTTTCTCACTTTCTTTTCTTTCTGCACCTAATACTAGATCCGTTTTCCTTTTCAGCTCGAGCCTTCTTTTCAATTTACAAGTTCTGCGATGGAGGGTGTAACTAAGTGGGACCCAGTCTCTTTTAGAGTACCTGAGGATGTACGTCAGATTCACAGCCACACGAAGCTTCTCAATCAACAAGTGAGTGCCGTATCAGCGATTTCTTCACTTGAAGCTGAACTTGAACAAGCTCGGGCGCGCATTCTAGAGTTGGAAACTGAGCGTCATTCCTCGAAGAAAAAGCTGGAGCACTTTCTAAAGAAAGTCAGTGAGGAGAAGGCCGCATGGCGGAGAAGGGAGCATGAGAAGATTCGTGCCTTTGTTGATGATATTAAATTGGATCTGAATCGAGAAAGGAAAAATCGCCAGCGCATGGAAATTGTCAATTCCAAATTGGTTGACGAACTTGCCGAGGCCAAGCTATCAGTGAAGCGATGGATGCAGGATTATGAAAAAGAAATAAAGACCAGAGAACTAATCGAAGAAGTATGTGATGAGCTGGCAAAGGAGATTGGGGAAGACAAGGCTGAAATGGAGGCATTGAAGACAGAGTCCATGAAACTACGGGAAGAAGTAGAAGAGGAAAGAAAGATGTTGCAGATGGCGGAGGTCTGGCGTGAAGAACGAGTTCAGATGAAACTTGTGGATGCGAAGGTGGCACTTGATCGAAAATATTCTCAGATGAACAGTTTAGTAGCTGATCTGGAGAATTTCTTAAAATCAAGAAACCATACCCCAGATGTGAAGGACATAAGAGAAGCAGAGTTACTTAGGCAGGCAGCTGCTTCCATGAGTATTCAAGATATGAAAGAATTCTCTTATGAGCCTCCCAATCCTGATGATTTATTCGCTGTTCTTGAAGAAGTTAATAATTTTGGCGAAAACAATGAGAGGGAGATTGAACAATGCATAGCTTACAGTCCCGCAAGTCGTGCCTCAAAAATTCACACGGTGAGCCCCGAAGTAAACATGTTGAAAAATGACAACATCATCAGATATCCTAAGGCTTTCCCTGGTCATAATGGTGATATAGAAGAAGATGAGAGCGGATGGGAAACTGTGAGCAACCTTGAAGACCAGGGATCAAGCTGTTCCCCGGATGGGAGTGCCCCATCCGTGAACAATATACAGCAAAATGGGAATGTCTCAGCTAGCGGCGGTGAAACCCCAGTAACTGAAATCAGCGAAGTGTGCTCGGTTCCTACGAGGCAATGGTCCTCATCCATAGCAAGACTCTGGAAATCATGTCCAAATAACGGGGAGAACTACAATATAGTCTCGGTGGAGGGCACGAATGGGAGGCTGTCCAATGGGAGGATACCCAATGGGGCCGTCATGTCTCCTGATCACGGTTCGGGTAAGGATGGTTTTAGCCCATCTGATATTGTTAGCCAGCGGAGTTCCCCTGATACAGGGAATCCTCACATAACTCGAGGTATGAAAGGCTGCATTGAATGGCCTCGTGGTGCGCAGAAGACCAGTCTGAAGGCGAAGCTTCTTGAGGCAAGGATGGAAAGTCAAAAGATCCAGTTACGGCATGTATTGAAACAGAAAATGTAGCTGTGAATTTCCCGTACGGCCAAGCAAGGCGGTCCTCTTCACATTGACAAGCTGGAGTCTGGTCAAATACACATTCCTGGATGTGCGAAGAGCATGGGGGGGTCTTCACCAGCGCTCCTGCACCCACCTTGGTTCGTGAATGATTTTCAATAATAGTTGAATTTTTTCTAGTTAGGAAAAATCGGTTAGGAGTTATGATCTTCGTCTCGATATTGCTCGAGATTCTTGGTCCGGCATCGGCAATGTATATCTGGAATTGGAACTGGGACAGAAACAATCTTGTAATGTCTAGTATTTTATAGCTGGCTAGTTTCCAGATGCTATATATTGGACCACGATTTCGGGTTTTGTTGTAAACTATGTGATCATAATCATAATATCTCTGGAGATTTCTGCATATCTCAGGTAATTTTAAACAAAATGGGACTTGATCAACATCATGAGGGCTGAAAAGCCAGTGAAGATCAGCAAAAACCTAGACAGGTCTTATCGTTGAGATGGGTTTTCGTGATTTCATGCGTGCACGGCGGTGGCAGACAGATTTTGTGCGGTGTGTCGAGCATAAGATCTCTTCCAGGACTTTGCCGGTGCATCTCTTTTGGAAGATAAAGCAGCAACTAGCTGATAGAAAAATTTCAATGGGAAAAGAATCTTTTTGCGTTGCTTTGTTTAATCTTCTTACATAAATTTTGATAATTGGTCTCTTGGTACCTTTCCTTTTGGATACGCATCTCTTATCATTCCAAGGCGATTCCATGTTATCCGATCAATGTTACTCTCGCCTTTGAAGATGCTTGCCACCGACAGCGCACCTCAGAGTGTTCACATCAACTATCATGCGGGGTGACTTCATTTAGGACTTGAATCCATGATCATGTCGCAACGTTGAATATCACGTTAATGGCGAGTGTTGCCACCTTAGAACATGTGCTATGATGCTCGATGTAAGTAGGCAAATGTACCAATAACATGCGGAAGAATGACCCTAATTTGGCGAATTAAGTTTTGTAATCCTGGAATTAATGCTTAAGCGAATTCTTAATTAGCTTTCCAAAAATAAGTTTCACGAGCTACCAAAAAAGGAAATTTCTTATTATTCGGGATGACGTTTTATTGCCGAAAATTTAAACGGTCAATATTCGACATCATTATTTTTTAATTCAATAAAGTTGGGGCGTGAGTTAACCGTTTTTGGAAACACATATCTAAGTAACTAAGTGAATTTTCATTGTTCACACCCGCGTCGAACAAAATCGACTATTATTCTATCCAAAATTGGAAAAAAAAAATTTAAAAAACCGAATCTATCTAACATCAATTTTCTTTCATTTGGCTTTGTATAAAATCCCAAGTGACCAATCCTTCTTTGCTGTTAGCCATATAAATCTCGAAACTCCCCACAATTCACGAACAGTAGAGGAGGTAAAAAAATGTTCTCATCCACGGAGCGAGAGTTCTTCACTGGGCACTAGCGCCATAAGATCGAAACATCGGAGCGGCAACGCCGGACCATTTCTCTCGCAAATTCTTGCATTTGATCACCACCTCATTCGCGTGAGAGTTTTCTTGTTCGATCCCATATTTCTTCTTCTAAACTTGTTCTCGGGTCGGGCGAAAATTGCGTGTACAACACAAGCATGTCACCGTATGCGAAAGTAGCTGACGTTTGCGTCAAGATAATGTTGTGGGTCCGGCGGTGTTTGTTTTCTTTTTCAGCGGAATCCCACTGTTTTAGATCTAGAGCTTTCCCCATGATCTTTATCTTTCTTGTTGGATAACGTCCGTGTTCTTCCTCCTGTCATGATTCGCGATAAATATCGCCTGAACTGGTTGGTGGGTCGCCTTCTTTTTGTTTCTGGCGAGGTCTCGTTTTGAGGTTCCATTGGAATTATATCTCGTTGCACGTCAATCAGGTGCCTGCTAGGTGGGTTTTGGATCTTGGTTTTTATTTGGGGTTTTCTTGCTTTTGCGTTTCTTCTCCTTTCCCCTTTGATGTGAATTGCCCCTTTTGATTTCTGTTCTGTTATAAAGATTGCTTTCGAGACTCATTTCAGTCGTCTTTTTTAGTTTCCACGGGGGTTTTTGTAACCCGGCACATGGTATTAGGTTGTTGTTGGGATCGTAGTTAATCTAAATTGAAACTGGGTTGTGCGAGGCTAAAGCTTCTCAACTGATGGTGTTGTGCCATCATTTGAATCCATTGGATGTCTGTTGTGTTCTAATGATTATTCTTCAAGATTGATTCCGTTAGGTTATGAATAAACCAGCTCATGTTACAGGTCATCGTAGGAATTGTAGTAAGTCTGAATAGAGAGACTGGGTGGTGGGAAGCAAAAGCATCTCACTTGAAAGAAGCTATAATTCGTCTTCATTCGATGTCTGCTCTGTTCTCATGATTATTATCTGTGATTGATCTTGGTGGTCTTTCTTGTTCTATGAGCTTATTAATTGACCCAGCACAAGTTTTTTGTTATTGCAAGTATTGTAGTCAATCTGAATTGATCTGGATGGTGTATCTTAGTTGATATGATTGTTCTATCATTCCGGTCCATTGGATACTTCCAATTTAATTGTTTCTGATGATGCTGTGATTCGAGAGTTCATTTTGGAATATTTAAGTTATATGAACTGTGGATATGCATCTCTAGTATTATGAAGGTAGTTCTTGCACAGATTTTGCTTTTTCTGCATGTGCTAGCTTTTAGTTTTCTTATGCAGAAGTTCTTCATTACTTTAGGCAGTTAAACTTCTGGACCATTTTCTGCTTTTGTGGATATGAGATGATGCACTCATATGGCTCTCTCAGACAGCAGGTATCAATCTTGATATTTAATGATTCTCATGGTTATTTCCAGCTGGACATATATATCTGCTATGGAAGGTATCGTCACTAGAAGGGTCATTCCCTCAGACAACAGTTGCCTTTTTAATGCTGTCGGGTAAATGTTATTTCTAGAATCTCTTTTGCCTTTAAGTTTTCTCGTCGAAGTATAGAATTTGCAGATTGGGGCCTTCATCTTTCTTTTTCCGATACAGGTATGTCATGGACCACGACAAAACCAAGGCTCCTGAGTTAAGAAAGGTTTGTCTAACATACTTTTTCTGTTTTTCACCCATCGTCTAGTAATTTAATATTGGTCGGTAATGGTAAAATAGAGAAAAAAGACAGTTATCTGTCCCCTGCGGTGCTTATGTGCTTGTACTCTCTAGTCTGCTTGTGCCTTTTGATTCCTCGTATGTGAGTGTGATATCCAACGTGTCTTTTTTCTCTTCAAACTTGTTAAATTAAATAAAGTGTCTTTCCGGGTCAGTTTGACCAGCTTGACCATATTCCGTCATGAAGCTCAATAAAAAGAAATACATTGTTCCCATTTTGGATGGTCATGCCTTTTCGAACCTCTAGCTCTAGTTGGCTGCCTGCCTGAACCCTTTGCATGCTCAAGCAATTTAAGATATCAGCCTAAGTTTGATAGTGCCAGCTTATTGCTGAGTATGTTGTATATTCTTCAACCCACATATGTGATGCATGTTACAATTTTATATGAAAGAAGAGGAGAGGGAGGGATGGAAAGTATGGATTCTATCCATTCGTGAGGACTTGATACCATCTATCATCTGATATTATACATTTTGAACATTATTTGATCATTGATTTGATTTATTTCTCATGTTTCTGGCATCTGCAATAGTCAATTCATAATGAGTTGTTTATTGCCCGCTTGATACATGAGCTAGCATTTACATCAAGATGTGTACTTCTACGCTTTCTTCTTTTCACGTGTCATTCATTTCTTAACATCTCATCTCTATGTTTCTGAAGGTCATTGCTGCTACTGTAGCAAGTTGTCCCGAGAAATATTCAGAAGCATTTCTGGGAAAGCCAAACGAAGAATATTGTGCTTGGATTCAAGAATCAGAGAAGTGGGGAGGTTTGTTGACGAAAAGCAGGCATATTAATTTCTGTTCTGTTAATGATTGGAAAAGGTAGATAGAAATCGCGATGATACAGTAAACAGAAGAGGTCAAGATTGCTGTTTGCTGTCTTTTTTAAGGTTACGTACAGTGATAGATAGACTTCTCAAGTACTTCAAACATGATCTTTATCTCTATCACTTCGTGCCATATGTGACTTAATCTTTGCACATGAGTTGGTAGTGAATGATAAACCTTATGCAAGTAGTTGTTTCTTCCAGGTCTTTGAATCTTATCCTACCGCGCTAACTCTGACAATGCATATCGTCCTTGATAGGTGCTATTGAACTTTCAATACTAGCAGACTACTATGGACGCGAAATAGCAGCATATGACATCCAGACAGCACGTTGTGATCTGTATGGTCAGGTAGGTAGCATTAAAGAAACTATATCTTAGAAAGAAGAGCATGAACTATCTTATGGGAAAATTGGTCCTTCTTTTCTGAATGTTGGACTTGACTGAACGTTTTTTACTTGCTCTCTGACAGGAAATGAGGTACACTGAGAGGGTCATGCTGATTTATGATGGGCTTCATTACGATGCATTAGTAGTATGCTATTTCTCTGTGCAATTACGCTTTATCTGTTAAATATTTAATCTTCGCGTTTTTATCTTTAAGGAAATAGCGTCGTAGTTGGGAAAGTAGTGCAGATCTGATGGTACTTTTGATAGGGTCTAGTTGCAAAATGGATTAGTCTTCTTCTGCACCATAATAGAGAAGTTGAAAAGATTTGGACAATGAGATTTTTTTTTTGGGGGGGGTGGGATTGGGAAAAGTATGAAGATTTAGTGGGGAGTGGAATGATGTGTAGGATGGGCTCTTTTTGCCAGCAAACTCATTTTGCTTTTTCGGGACTGCATGATCAAGGGCACTTAAACTGTTCTTCTTTTGTTAGTTGTTGAATTTCTAAGCATGCATTCTCTTCGTGCAGATATCACCATTTGAGGGAGCTCCGGAGGACTTCGATCTGACTATATTTGAGGTGCGGAAAGATAGGACAATCGGGCCAATAGAGGGACTTGCCCTTAATTTTGCCAGGGAGCAGCAGAGGTAGTTTTTCTTAGCAACTATATCTCCCCACATCTTAGTCTGGGATTTTTTATGTACTTTGAGAAGCAAATTGGAGCTTCTGTGTGCGAGATACAATCTCAGATAGATTGGCAAAGATTGTGTGGCTAAAGGTACTCAACTTGAGGTTTTGCACACCTCAAGTCAAGAGACAATAGGACTGCCATGCTGGCCGTGGAGTCCTTTAACATTAATCACGGCGGGCCAAGTTAAACTGCCATTAACACTTAGAATAGGGTTGCTGATGACACATGCAAGCTCAGTGTTGTTGCATTGGGGTAATTTGGATTGGCATCTTATAGCTTTTGCACTTCTATTTGCAATATATAAACCTTCCTGGCATTATACTGAGAAGCTATAGAAGCGCACCATTCTCCGTGGAGGTTATGCACAGTCACAATAGGCTATGCAGTCGGTTATGCTCAAATATCTAGATGGATTAGGTGAAAGCGCTTAATACAAATCTGAGTTGACTATGTTGATAGAGCACGCTCTAGTTCTGTTTTCTTGGATAACAAGGGTTTTACGACCTTTGATGCAGGAAAAGGAAGTATACTGATACCGCCAACTTCACTCTCCGCTGTGGAGTATGCCAAATCGGAGTCATCGGCCAGAAGGTCACTTCTTCGTGACAGAGCACAATTTTATGTTTGTTTAATCTTTTCTCAGGTTCTTACTTGTCTTCTTGTTCCAGGAGGCTGTGGAGCACGCTCAAGCGACAGGGCATGTCAATTTTCAGGAATACCGGTGACAAGTTGCTGATGAACATGTATTGCTTTTGTTTGAGGGAGCTCCTCTTGGACTTGACTTACAGATCTGTTGTATGTTTTTTCATCATGATACAATCAAAGCAACAACTAAAATCATCTTGAAATGTTACTGGAATTGACTTGTACCAAGGAGAAAAGAATGAAATTCATGATTCAATCATAATGTTTTCCAAAGTTTTCTACTGTGAATACCTCCCAATATCATCAGGTTTTACACGGTGGCGCTATCGCGTACTTCCCATGAGTTCCATTTCTGAATATTGGCTGCACTAAGGTGCAGTGTATTAAAGGGGCATTTTCCTTGAAGAAAGTTATTGCTAAATGCAAGCAAACTGAGTTTTGTCAAAAAGGTCGAGCATCAGGCTTCAGTCACATGCCGATGTGTCGTTCAAGTAATGACTGTCAAATATCATTTTCCCGCAACGCAAAAAGTACATCTGAACATCACACAATACTTGCTTAGGGCGATTAAAAAACACATTGACATTACTCTTGGCAAAGTTGCATAACTGAGTTGGCTGATACTGATTATAGGATAACGAATTCTTTGTGTTGCGCTGCTGACCAGGATAGTTATTATGCATCACGTTTAGTGACTGCAGAAGAACCTTATAAATAAGGTGGCTCAGCATCTTATGAGTCGCTTGATAAACAACTCTTCATTCTGCTTCCAGCCTCTCTCAACAGATAGGGAAAGAGGAAAGGAACTGCCGCTACGATCAACCTCATGTTATTCGGTCAACACTGCATGTCAGAGATTCTGAGTCCTCGGTCCAACAAAAAGTGCCGCATCATTGATTTAGATTGTTGCAACAATTACAAAAAATTCATCCAGTTATACTTCCCTTAAATCTCATAAACGGGATTCATTCAAGAAGTTTGTATCCAATTGTGCAGAAGCCCATTAAAGTGCTGCAATGCACTCGATCTCAATCCTCGCATTCAGCGGCAGAGCAGCGACCTGATATGTTGAGCGCGCTGGGGAAGGTGCCGGAAAATCTGCAACATAAAGACATCCAGTCACTTTAAAGGAGTCTAACATTTAGTATTGAAGAATCTAACTTGAGAGACAGGATAGATGAGTCCTATAGGTCCAAGCATCCACTGGTTAAATATGAATCTATTTTGCATCGAGCTATCCCGGTAAACGAGTTCAAGCACAATGCAGAATGTGTTACTGTAGTCCTGTCGCATGGCACAGTGAAAGTGAGACAACCCACAAACGTTCGTTCAGATAATCAAGTTTGATCAAAACACCATTCTGAAAAATCTCTTATTATGTTCTTCAGCTTATGAAGATATATATACTTCTCATTGCATACATGACTTCTTTAAGTATTGAAGTAATGCCATCGAACCACGTGACTTAATAATTTGATATGCCTCGCCTCAAGGAACCAAAAGACTCATAAATTTGTGTGTCCAATTGGCTACACTAGTACAGAACTCACATTTTGCATAGATCTCATTCACTTTTTTGAAGTCTTGCAAGTCAGCCAACCTGCAAAACAGGAGATAGGCAAATCCAATGTCTTTAATTCTGTTTCAACCATACAAAAAATAAATTCAGCAGTCCAACAAAAACTATGATTTCTTACATAATCGTTGTCTTGACCACAGAAGAATAGCTGGCACCCCCAGCTTTAAGTATTTCCCCCATATTTTTTAGAAGCTACACAGTTTCATAACACCACTTCTGTTAGCAAATGGACAAATCAAGTGCATCTAAGCAATGGTAAATACTACTCAGCAAGGAGCAATAAGTCATGGGTGGCAGATAGATCGAACCCTGGCCCCATTATTGTCACTATTGAAATAACAAATAGGAATATATTTCCAAGCACACTAAGTATAACAGCATCCTTCATGCAGTGGATGAATTGCTTAATAAATCTCAACATCTTTCTCTCGGAGATGCCGAGAGAATGGTTATCAAAGTCCCAATGCAGGTAGGTCATGTATCTTACCTGTTCTGTCTGGTCTTCCACACTGTCAGAGATAAATTTTCCAGTCTGCATCAATGTATCCAACACACAACATTACACTTGGATGTGTCAATCCCACAGTAAAAAATGCGTTTCCATGCAATTTTTAAGCAGGCAACTCTGTTTAGTGTCCCATTATATAGCCATGATCATACTAAAACAATTGATGATGCATATAAGAATACTCGAACTGCTTACCTCTGGAACAAGACCAAGAACACCAGATACAAACAGAAGGTTGTTGGCTTTGATAGCCTGAGAATAGGGTCCTAAAGCAGCTGGAGCTTTGTCTGTTTGAACAGCTTCCTTTAAACCTAAAAAAATTGCTCCGGTTAGGACTCCCACTGTATTTGATACAACAGTAAAATATGGTAACGCCAAGCCGCTCTTGTCTCTCCCCTTGATTCGATGGTTTTGGTACAGGAGTTGCGAGATTAAAAGAGTACGCTCCATTCAGATGGCAGTAACCAAAAGGCCATCCGGTAATGCGACCACCGTCAGGTGGCATCTGTAAGCAGTTTCCAAGCCTTTTGCCCATTCTCATCTAACTCTCAACAATTCTCTAAAGCAAAGGCTCAACAACACATACAAAATTCGAACTTTTTGCAAGTCCAACGTAAGACGGTTGATTATAAGCATACTTTGACAATGAAAATTAAGGTGTCAATTTGTCATGCAACTCTAAGATCTCAAATGTTTGAAAGTATGTCAGAGAAACTCGGGCCTCAATCAACCATTACAATTTGAGTAATGAGCCGCCAAGTAAACTAGCAGCTCCGATTTTGCGAATTTCGTGAAACCATATCCTTAAGCACCCTGCATCAAGAACGTATTCCGCTATTCACATCATCCACTCCAGTGCCCACTACTGAAACGAACAGCAAAATACGCAAACGACAGAGGGACAACAATCCACGCCAATGCAATCATTTCAGCCCAAAAAACAACCGCAAAAAGCTTGCAAAGATGATTAAGTCAGAAAGTAACAGACTTTCGGAGGAAGCTGTAAACATAACCCATTCAGAAATCAAATCGACTCCATATCGATCAAAACGCACGTCACGAAGCATAACACCCAAATTCTAGCATTCTTTAAAAATCGCTCGATTGCATCAATCACTGACGGAATCAACACAACAAAATGTCCAAAATTCGACTCGGATTACTTCCCTCTCTAAGCCCTGCCTCGTGGAATAAGAGATGCGGGGCAGTGAGACGCACAGACGGAGAGAGGAACAAGAAGAAGAGGGGGGGGGGGGACTCACGAGCATCGGTCGAAATGCCCAAGCAAGCAAACGGCACGGCCGCTCGCCCCGAAGGCGGCGCCGCCGCCGCCGACGACGACCGCCACAGGCTCGTGCCGACCACGGAGGCGCAGCCGACGCCCATGGCCGCGGGGCAACGGGCGCGCAGCGCCCTCAAGTCGATGGGCGGCGCGTGGAACGCCCTCGAAGCAAGCCACGACATCCTCTCTCTTCTGTCTCTCTCTCTCTCTCTCTCACGCCGAGTCTCTCTCCCCACCGCGCTGCGAAGTCGAGAGAGATTTGGTGCTCGACTGCTGCTAGGTTTGGTGGAGTGAAGTGAACAAGAGTCGCGGTTCCGGCAGTAGAAAATTGGTGGAGGTACTCTTCGCTTTTCTTTGTCTTTTTCTCGGTTTATTTTCTTATTAGAAAATGATAAGCTAACGTGATTCATGAAATTTTAATTTATTCACATCGATCCTTGAAATTTTATTACATATTCAATTTAGTCCTTAATCTATTCTCGAGTTTAAATTAATGAAAATACGATATTGAACGTTTTCATATAACTCAGGAGCCGGATTGAATATGTATGAAAAATTTAGAGATTCCATTGCACATTAAAGTAAGATTTAAGGACTGTATTGAATAAGTTAAAAGCTTATAGATTATTTTATACGTTGGGCTAAAATTTAGGAATCCCTTTCCTATTCCTTGTCTCTAAATATCTTTGGTGTTGCTTGTTAAAAAGCAATGGAATGGACTTTGGCTTCTCGGGTTGAAGATGAAATGGATGAGCCCAGCGCAGGATGCAAGGTAAGCTTTTTGTTCAACACAAATTGTTCCTCTTTTTTGATACATTTTTTTTCTTTTTGATAGCACAAGTATCGAAATGGGAGGCATAGTCCCCGATATAACTCTTAAGTGGAAGATGCCGTGATTTGATTTGAATGTTTTTGATGCATCAAAATCCAGTTCTAATCGATCTCTTGGAGATTCTCTTTTAGATGTACTAATTTTGGCCCCTCTCCTTAATTCAAGAAGCATTTTTTCTATTTATTGTGTAATCGTCAAAAGTGATATCCCGTGTCAACATCAAACTGACCCGAGGAAGACATCTCCTTTGGATGCACTAAATTCTGTCCACCTCCTTTGATCCGACAAATTATTTTTCTATGTGCAATAATTTGACAATCTTTCGCTTGTAGTAAATTTGGCAATCTCTTCTTCTCCACGTGATTGGGTACTAGAAACGGTGGATTTCATACGCAGTCCATTTGGTCTTGAGGTCTTAATTGGTGACATGATGAGCTCATTCCCACTTCTGGAAGCAGCTCGCATGTCACAACTCACAAGTAGAATCACTCAGCGGGCACTCGAAGTCGACTGCTAACTAAAATTGGTCGCTAGCGTACGTACCAGATCGCTGCTGTTAGATTAAGATATTGCTTCTAGGACTCGTATTATTCGATGATTGAAATCGAATATGACCAATGAAGTCGGTCTCTGTCTATGTGCCCTACGATGCAGATTGCGAATTTCGTCGACACGAATACAAAGCATCTGAAACTTAGCAAAGACCAGTTTTCAAGAGGGTTTCATAACCATGGAAATGAATCGAGAACTCTATTTTTTTGACGGTGAGATATATCTCTGTCAAGGCTTCATAAACTTCTTGATGTTGCAGCATGCGCATATAGTACAGTTTGTCAAAAGAAACTCAAGTCATCTCACGGCTCAAACTCAATAGCAATTTATGAAGCAGTCGGCGTTCTCGTGATCACATATACTATCTCTACACATAGGGCAAGAGCCTCGCCGAACGAGCCATGCGTCCAAGCACTCCAAATGGAAAATATGCCCGCACTTGGGAAGCCTTCTTCCAGTTTCTCCTTCCTTGAAGTCCTGAAGAATCGAAAATGCATGCACTCATTTGTTAAGCATAAGCTGATACCACTTGTGCAAGCATGCACACGAGAACAACTTACATGGTCTTTTTTTAGCAATCAAAAGCACCAAGAACATTGTGTCAGAAAGAAGAAAAAGTCATGCATATTAGGACTAATTAACTAGATTGGTAAACCAAATTATGTAGTAAACTGTATAGTACATTGAATATGACCTGCTTTCTTGAATTCCCATCTAGAGCCTATTGCGTTACTCAAGTATGCCAATTTTGCAGACCAGTCTTAATATACTTAGAAGGTACTAGGCAGGTCAATCCAATGAGCAACATAGCTGTTATATTGTATACTTGGACTACAGCCAAATTCTACAGCAATTCCCTTCGATAATTATCCTTCTTCAGTTATAAAATTCCAGGGACACCTTAAGGTATTATCGCGGTTTCAAGCTGAAGGTCACCTGGAGGCAGATTGAGCAGCAGAGTCCATCATCAGTTATCTTGGCCATCTCACTAGACTGGAAATGGTATTCAGGAAGCCTCTGAATGCAATCCTGGGACAGCCCTTCATCTCCTGCTGTGTCATAAATGTCTGAAATTTCTCTATGAGGTGTTTCCAGATTGCTCACCTGCATTCCCACAAATTCATTTCACATTTCATTAGGGTTTTTGTTCAAAAGAAGACACAGTGCATTAGGACTAGATCATATAATGTAAGTCATAATTATCTGCCAGATGAATCAGTTAATTGTTTGGATAAACAGCTTCTGGGGTTGGGTTACTTGCCTGCCATTGATAGGCTTTGAGCACTGCAGGGCCTACCCATTCCATGAATACTTTTCCATCCACTAAGCTGCGCAGGAGTGCAACCTGCAAAAGGAAGTGAATTTGAGAAGACATTACAATTGATATTTTTATTTTTGCCTCAGAAAAGAAGAAGAAAAGGAGAATCCTTGAACTAGTAGAATTATAGAGTTGTCAGGATCCAAAACGGAAATCCTCGTACGAACCATCCAATCGCAAAACTTTGAATCTCCACATAGAAATACTGCTTATACTTTGTTTTGCATATTTTACCTGATGGGGGTCAAATTAGTGTTCCCTTTACCTCTCATACCAGATACTACGTCTCTATATTCGAAAAAGAAAATATCTAGAATGAAGAATATCAAGTCAATGTCACTTTGCACCTATCACTCCAGACAACAGGAGGGAGGGTAAAGTTAAGCTTATACAGCAAGACATTTATGAAGTCAGGAACAAAGTCTCATGACCAGCATATGCGACAAAAGGGTAAATGAATCACGTGAACAACAAATATCATATGATCTGTATAAGCCAAGAAATAATAATTAATGTTCCAAAAGAAAAAGGTGGCATATAAAGTTAGTACCTTAGAAAGTGACTCCCCATCTACCGTTAGCTCCAGCAACTGAACTGCGGTGACGGCCCCAGTCACTGCTCCAATTCCTGCTCCTCTCACAAACCCTGTCTCCGTTGTCTGTCCCTTTAGCGCTCCTGTGATCATTCCCACAATAGCTCCACCTACAGAAATTAGCACTTGCCTCATAAATATGTGATATCATCATCCTAGTGCATCACTATACCTATGTCAAAGTCCTGGTTGTGAAGGCAATAAGTTGGCCATATTGCCAAGGTTTCGTGCTGACTTACCGAAGAATTATCTCATAGACTCGTTCTATCTCTCGGAGGGAAAGCAGGCCAGTCACAAGTAGACTATCGTGTGTGAAATTTGTGATTTGGCATGTTTTATTATTGGCGATGGACTGAGTTTATATGCATTACCTCTTTTCTAGTTAGAAGTTAGGAATAGTGTTTGAGCCTCTCATTGTCCTATCATCCCTCTAGCTCGAGAAAGAGCAGGACTGTAAATTCCACATAAGTGAATTTAATTCATCTTTTTCACTGGCGAAGGCAGATGACACCTAGTGAACCAATAAATAAGTTATTGGTGGTAATAAAACTGCGAAGCATTTGAAAAAGGTACCACCTACTCTGGCTAATAATTTTGTGAAAGAAGAGACAGAGAATTATGAGGATGCAATAATGTGATGATGCTTCTCTGTACCAGGAACTTGCATTGAATTGGAAATATGCAATGACGACTCTGTTGTACTTGGTTTTTGCCCCAGCACATGCAAGCAGTTGAATGACAACATTCGGATAAGTTCAAAGCTCAAGGCTCAACACAATGAACCACTTCTCTAGTATTTGCATTATGGCGTTGCAGGTTGGTTGATGGCCTCATAGTGAGTTTGAGTTTGCTATGTGGCCTCTCTGAACTGAAGTTCACTGCTAGCGAAAATTTGTGTAAAGCTAAATGGTGCATGACTTGGACTGACAGAAACTTAGAAAGGAGCTGCAAAAATGTTGGGGAAGTGGAAAATAGAACTCACCTAAAGCAAAAGCGCAGGTGAAAGCAGCAAGGAAAGATCCCTTCAAGAATCTGCAGAAACACCCAGTCCTTGAAGCACCAGCTCCGTCACCCACCCACAAAGAAGAAGCAGCTAGTTCTTCGAGCCTGAGCTGAACATGTTTTAGCACTCCACAGACCCACCTCTTCATCATCATCCTTAACCTTGAGACTGGCGGAGATCAGCTCAGAGCTATGTCAAGGTGAGTCTGAATCAGAACACTCTCTTGAATTGTATTAAGTGCGAGAGAGAGAGAGAGAGGAGCTGCCTAGGGAATGCGTGAAGTAATAAGAGCGCATTTAAAGGGAGAGGGAGAGGGAGGAAGAGCGAGCGAGAGAGATTAATGTCAGGGAGCATTTAAGAGGATGAGATGAGAGCCACCTCACTAATGGTCACGACACTACATGTATGCATTGCAGGTTCATGCACGAGTATCCATAAAAGGGCGATATGGCTGCATAATATGAAGATAACCATATGAAGTATTACAACTATACATAGAAGAAAGTAATTTGTGCTCCCACACTTGGCTAGTGGATTATGCAACTTGTATCTCCATTGGCCAAAATGCAATCCATGACCACAAATCGGCAATGCACGCAGGTGATTATCATGTAGTGATTATCAGTTTTGTGTTCGATCGTAGTTATTACTATCACGGTCTAGACAGAGATTTAATTTCAGATGGGGATGGCTTCAATTATTATTCCGCATACGTAAAAGCATGAACATAAATGGATGATTGGTGAAGATAGTATTACACTCTTGATAGGGATATATTGCTTCTAGTACTCAGAAAGATCTTGATATACGAAACTTTAAAAAGCATTTATTATAAACGTTACGGCAGCAACGCAATTATATTTCCCTTATGATTTTACTCTTTTTAACGGTGAGATTTACCTATGTTTCGTCATCTTACTTTAATCAATGAATTTGCTCGTAAGAGACGATAACATCAGTTAAGCTGTCATTTCTCAAATTCATTTTGTTTGCTGGGACATCATGTCGCAATCTTGACGGAAAAAAAGAAGAAGAGGGAGAAGAATAAAGAGAGAATGAGAAACCCTAAAAACTCTCTTTCTCTGTCATCATTGAATTCGATGGGACGTCGTCCTTGTCACCAATCTGCCAAGTTGTGAATGCATGACGCCTGTTCGACAGTACTCGTCAATCTTCTTCGAAGTTGGGCTGGAACAAAGTACAAGAAATAAGAACCAAAAAAGAAAAAAAAAACTGTAATAGTAAAAAGAAGAAGCTGAGGCCATAGTCGCTGGACGTTGGACACAAAGTAATGGAATCTATTTGTTTTAGAGGATACAAATTCCAAGCTGCATGAAAGCCAAAAAGCACAAATGAAAGAACCACAACGAAAAAATAGTTTCGTACTCGTTTATATCTAAAATATACTTGTTATATTATTCTTAATCTTGGTTTATGACATGAATTTTCGTAAGAGTAATAACACAAAATTATATCGAAATAAATACTCATGTCAATCGAATTCTCCATACATAGATATTTATTTAAAGTGGATTAGAATCCCACGATGCAGGTTTAATTTATCGATTAGTAGAAAGCACGAGACATAAAATTGCACAATGTATTGAGTATACTATCGGATACGATGAATGTCGATCGGTATTGTTTGGATTACTTCGTAAGTTCCTCGAAATTGCCTTATTTTTCCTTCACGAGCCCAAGCACATACCCATTTATATGATATTTCTTAGAGAAACAATACGCATGTTGATAATTAACGTAAAGTCTTAGTTATCATCACCCAATGTAGTCAAGTTTATTAGATGCCAGTATAATATTCATTTATTTGTGAAGCATGTAATTTCAAAAAATCATCATATTCCTTAATTTAAAATATCAATGGAGAAGAACTAAAGTGATCTCGAAAATTGATTTGGTAAAGTGCAAAATGGAAATGCTATTTACACAGACAATATATGCTTAAGAGTCGTAGATATGCTAAAATGCAAAACAGAATCAATACATACATAAACAATATAAGCATTATGATTTGAGATTTGCTTAAGTGCAAAATTGAATCGACATATACACAAGCAATATATGCTTAAAAAAATAATATTTTTTATATATGTATTTTGTTCGCACTCTTTCTCCTATGCTTTCAAAATCTACATCGGGATTTAACGTTACGATAAAAAGCCATTATAGAGACATAATTATCTGCCTCTATAAGCATTTTGAATTTGCCTGCAAACATTTTAAAGGCGGACACATAACTTGTCGCGTTTACTACCGTCCCTAATTCTATTCCACTTAGTGGTGAATTTGCGACAATTTTGTATTTGTCTCTAATTCTACTCTAAAGTTTCTCCACGTCATCATTGTTTGTGAATTTTGTATTGGAATTACTCGCATCTAAAGGAAACATGACTCAGCCTTACGGAAATTAGCTGTGTCCCAGGAGATTATCTCATAGTAATCTCAACCACCAAAACATTGGACATGTGAAGGCTAGACAGGATCTTTTGCCATGACCTTCGTCTTTTATGCTTCGATCTTTTTTTTTTTTAATCTTTTTGTCCATCTTCCGTCCTAATGCATTAGGATTAGGATGGTTTCAACTGCTCGTCGAGCAAAACCAAATTGCGGAACAAAATTCGCGTGTGAACGTACTACGTGACTCAACCTCACGTGAGTTTTACCCACTTTTATATGCATAGACAGTTGCATGTAGTTGTCCATAGCTTAATTTGGTCCATTCAATCTGGAATCTGTCACGTATGAGCCATAGCACTTCGATGTCCACAACCCATTAAAAGAGCACTTCCAATCTGTACTTTTGATGGTGAGAAACAAATGAAGCACTTAAACGATGATTTCTAATCAAGTAGTAATAGTAATTGAGAGACCCAGCTCGATTCTGGACATACCCCAAAAGGGAAAATTCGACTCTATCAATGGAGGCAGACCAAATTCATGCGACATACAATAATGTAATGGAAATCAGATTACATAGGTGGATCAATGAATGTGGTGGGCCCAAGAGATAAGCTTGTCTAAGGAGAATTGCTAAAAACCAGGGGCTGCGATGGCGGTTCCGAGCTTTCTCTATGGGCTGGATGTATAAGAAGAATCTGCTTGTTGAAGTCATTAATTGAAGCCCTTTATTTCTCTATGCTTGTCTTGTCTACTTGGAAAATCCTCCTTCACTCGTATTATCGTATACATGTGTACGTACTTGCACAATGTGCAATCAATACCCGTAATAAACTGCGTTACCCTCCGTCAGTTTGACTTTCTACGCTTGCACCCATGTACCACGCTCATAGTTTTTTTTTAAGCCTGTAGTGATCTATCTTATTCTCTTCGAATTTGGTCCGTCATTTTATGTTGCTTTCGCATATAAGAGAAGATCATAATCACCTGCGCTAGATAATTGTTTTAGATTACTGATTGCGTAAAAAGAAAACTACAATGTCGTTAGTGAGTGGGCTACATCTACCTATATCTAGCCGGTTAATTACTTAGCTGAATTCTTACATATGTCAATCATAAGACCCTGCAAATCATATTTTACATTGTCAGTAGACTTAATAGAACTCCTAGTTTCTTTTTATCACTTCCTTTCCTAGCTAAAAACACTTCATCCCTTGCTCACTAGCTGGCTAGCCCATTTGGGTCTGAGCTTTAATGACCCTTTTATTATCGAAGATGAGATTGACAATCATTTCTCCAAAGTACAGAAACGTAGGTGCAATCAACAACTCACTATTATAATTTGCCAAGATAAGAAAAAATTAAATTGACGAAGTGATGACTATTAGACCAACTACCCTATGCATCAATGTCCTTCTGATTGGCCAAAGAGAGCTTACGTTTGTTTACATAAGTTTCCTTTCAATTTTTCCCTTCGAAATTCAGAAACTGAAAATATATACGTATTCCGAATGTAAACAAAATCGGGAAATTTTGAAATTTAAATAATTTTATCTTTTGGAAAATTTCACATATTCAATATCAACACAAGTCGAAGTATATGTGTCATTAGAGAAGTAAAGAAGCAGAAATAAATAAGTAAAAGGCGATCCATGCAGATGCTCCGACCCCATGCATTATTGACTGGAAAAGAACGAAGAAAAACGTAGTTTAAATGATATTTTGTGGTGTGGTGCCTCGTGGATGTCTCGCCAAACGTCATGTTTTATTATTCAGTCGGCTACCTCATGTTTTGACGAGATATTTATGCACCTTATGGAGCTGACATTTCTGGAGAGTGTTATTAAGGATGGGAAGCTTTTAAGCTGTCGTACTATTGTTTAATCTTCTCGCATAAGATCCTGTCTCCTCGTCGTCATTGCAGGTGCACATAGGGTATACATGACGACCGGAGCAATAGATTGAATCTTCATATACTGAGTACCACGCCTCTGGTTAGCTTGAAAGCCAACTTGCCTTGTTATATAATGAATTCTGCGAGCTGGTATCATTTGATGGACATTAACCTGGCAACGTGTTCATGCAAATTGAGTATAACTTTTATAACGTGATTAATGAGGCAGAATTAGAGATGGTTAGATCTAGCTTGGAGCAGTTTGATCTTCATATAGATGAACATTTTGTATTATTCAATTAAGGATTCTGTATTCGAACGTATTGGAATTTAGGTTAACTGTGACTTTGATCTTTTGCATAGTTGTATCTTTCTACAATCCAACATGATTATATTTTACATATATACTCACGGAAATAAAATGCACTAGTTAATTCATGTGTTTAAATGCCTTGAATACAAGTTCAATGCTCCAACTTGCGATTATATGTTCCATGGTAGTTATCTAGTTGATTTGTGATTAACCATGTAAACTACTTAACTAATTAAGTCGAGTTTGGACAACATGTAGCTCAGTGTAAGGAGTGAGCATAGTTGAAGTATAAAATATAGGAAAGTTTACCCCCAATTTAACCAAATTCTGAATTCTTCTTGTTGTCAGACCTGACTTTAACAAGAATAGGAGAATGACGTGATTGTCCTTCCACCCGATGCACGCAACCTCAAACTCAAACCAACATAAACCTGTTATTCAAATATAAATCCATCTATACATATGATAAAACAATACCATAACTCATTTATCCCAAATCTAGTATATAATATACATACAATATCAAAATGAGTTATATTATTTGGATAAAACTTTATACGTATCAGAAATACTCATTTAAATCAACAATATTGAATCAGAGATCAATGGTCCATTTCATTGATTAATCCCATACTCAATGTTAATGTTATTTGTTTGTGTAATAGAGCAAAATGCTTTGTCATGCGTGCTCTCATACGTTATTCTACTTACTTTATTCATATCAAGTGTAAAGTGGTACGAATGATACAAAATAGAAAATAATCGAAATCCTACCATATGTTGGGTTTTAATTCAATATTAATATTTAAAAAAAGGGTCGACGTATGGACTCACTCAATCCAAGGGTAAATTGTCCAAAAAGTTCTAAATATATTGCACGTTTGCCAATTCAATCATAAACCTTTCAATTTTGTTAATTGAATCCTAAACCTTTTCACTTTTTGCCAATTGAGTCCATTTGACCATTTTTTATGAAAATTCGCTAACGTGGATGCCGACAGTCCTATGTGGCATAGCCACGTGCCAATTTTAATAGTTTATTAATATTTTGTCAATTTTTTTTTATTTTCCTTTTTCTCTCTCTTCCTTTTTTTTTTCGACTATAGCCGGCGAGAGTCGTCGGCTGCTAGCGAGGGCCGCTGAAACCTCGCTGGCCGCTAGTGAGGGTCACCGAAACCTTGCCGACCGTGAGCGAGGCCTCCTCACCTAGACTTGGGCAAGGCCAACCTCTTTATGGCCTTGCCGGTCGAGGGCGAAGGCAGCCTTGCTCGCGGCCACAATGGTTGTCTAGGTGCGGTTCGCAGGCGAGGCCACCTTGCCTAGATCTGGGCGTGGCCAAGGATGGTTCCATGGCCCTAGCTAGCGGCTGGTGAGGCCCCGGCAACTCTCACTGGGCAAAGTTGAAAAAAAATAGAGAAGGACAAGAAAAAAAGAAAAAAGAAAAGAAAAAAGAAAAAAGAAAAAAAATAAAAATATTATTAAAAATTCTCTACGTTAGCATCAATTGTGCCACATAAAATGGCCGTTGTCCACGGCAGCGAATTTAAGCCAAAATTAGCTGGATGGACTCAATTGACGAAATGTGAAAATGATTAGGATTGAATTGGCAAAATTGAAAGGTTTATGACTGAATTGACAAAAATGAAATAGGTTTAGGATTTTTTAGACAATTTTCCCCTCGATCATTGAGAAAGCCCACTAAAATCAAACTCTGAGAACCAATGCATGGGAGGAAAATGTCTTTTGATCCCCGGTTCGAGTCGAGCTCGTGACAAGGCCTAATCAATTTGTGAAGCATGTAATTTAAAAAAAACCATCATAATCCTTAATTCATAAAAAAAATAGGGATATACTAAAGTGATCTTGAAAATCGATTTGGTAAAGTGCAAAACAATATCGATATTTACATAAACAACATATGCTTAAGAACCGGAGATTTTCTAAGTTGACAATCCAAATCAAATTACTGAGTAAAGCTCGCGCTTGAGTGTGCCAGATGATTCGACATTCTTTTTTTGAAACAGAGTATTGGACCACGAACATATCCTTAAGAACTGGAGATTTTCTAAATTGACCATCCAAATCAAATTACTGAGTAAAGCTTGTGCTTGAGTGTGCCGAATGACTCAACTTCGCATGAGTTATATAATATATGTATTTACACATTCTTTTTTTTTAAATAGAGTACTGGACCACGCTTGTAATTTTTTTTTTTTCAGGCCTGATCTATTTAATTTAAACAATTATCTAATGCGGATGATTATAAATTGTAATCCTCTCTTAATCAACCCATGAAGCCCAAGGAAATTCCCTCGAAGCAAAATCCACGGCACGCGGTTTGTGCCACAACCTATAAGAACGCCTCGACAGAATTGGATTAGAGAAGGAAAAGAAAGCACTCTCCAAAGATGATAACCCTTTAGAGTTGGAGCTCAACTCGCTATTTCGCCACTCAATCTTCCCTCTCTCGCGGTTCGGCGCTCAGTCTCGAGCTCTCACCTCCCTCTCTCTCGCTTGACGCCCAGTTCCCACTACTGTCTACCTCGCTCGTCGCCGTCATCAGGCAAGGAAGCCCCCGTTCTTTGCACACGAAAACGAGGTAAAACTTCGTGTGTTTTTTTTTTTTTGTTCATCTTTTGTTATGTTTTGGTGAGGCCGATTGTGGTGTCGTGGATTTGGGATATGAGTTTGAGCTTTGAGTTTTTGCGAGTTGATCGCAGGCAAAAAGAGGGAAGGTGTATTTCGTGTATCAAGTGGGCGGTGAAGTGGTTCTTTGGTCTGCTCATTGGACTTGGTAATGTACATTTTGCAACTCTTATTGGTAGTCTGGAGATTAGGGCTGCTGTTTTGTCACGTTGTGTTTGAATTTAACCTACTGGTTGTGATGTTGTGTTTGATTTTCAAACCCTATATCTAGTGGCAGGCGCAAACTGGACTAGTTTTAATTAGTTTGTAGACTAGGGATTGCATGTGTTACAAGAGATAACAAATGAAACATAAAAATACAGCTGGTCCCGGTCCAACCTGCGAACTGGTCACCCCTATCGCTTAGTACGTGTGTTTTCTTTGTTTCTGTAATTTGTGTTCCTGTGGTATTTAATGGCGATCACCGGCAGAGGAATGGCCGGAAGTCGATAGGGCTAATATTGACGTCTCGAAATGTATGTTGGCGTGAGTCCTCTGTTATGTTTCGTTTTCTCATGTCCATGTTCTGTACGCTCCATTTTCACTCCCGTCTGCCACCGCGGTGGGCCGGTGGTGAATGGAGATGACCGCCGGTGTAGAGGCCGACATTAGTTATTCTCGGGCAAAGTTACTAGAATTCCATTGCTCACGCCAAGATTTGTGTGCACTTAGTCTGCCTGATGAAGAAAGGTCGAGCCACTAGCGGTTGGTCACTCACCCTAATGGCCAACATTCCCACACGGGAGTGGGTTGGTGGCGATCCCCACCTCTAGGATTGCGGGCTTATGGGTTTATTCTCAGTTTCCGTGTATATAAACTCACCCAAAAAAACGTGACTAATGAGGCAATTGTATGTGTGGTTAGATCTATATTGGATTTTGTGTTGCGGAATCTTTGTACAATTGAACATGATTAATATATATATATATATATATATATATATATATATATATATATATAGACACACAAAAATAAAAGGCATTATTTGATTCATTTTCTCCGTATCTTGTGTTTAAATGCCTCGAATTCATGTTCAATGCTCGAGTAATTAGTTGAGTTGAGATTGATCATGTGAACTAGGTAACTAAGTCGGAGCTTGAATGGCAGTGAGGTCAGCATAGGGATTGAGCGCAATAGCTGAAGTATAAAAGTTTTACATCCAACTTAATCAATTTTAATTTCGTCTTCTTTATGTACTGATCAAGCTTGCCATGTATACAATATGGGAAAGTTCTTGTCAATTAGGAGGCTATATATTTCCTTTTTCTTCGGGGAAGCGAAAAATTTCCATAGATAGAAGACATCAAATTAGGAAACTATATATTTACACGTGGCGGCCACAGATTTGGTCTATGCATCTCAGTATCTTTATTAACTGTTTCGGCAGATGCTGCCTAATCAGCAGGTGCACCAATGGTAACTATCCTAATTTCCTCTTTGATGTTATTTCCTGTTTGGCAAGGTCACTAGATATTTTTCAGAATCAAATATTTACTTTCCTATTCAGTTGGAGCAACGTTCATGTTATATATACAGGACACACTGCCGTAGTGCTTCATCTGATCCATTCTACCCAAATCTCGCTCTCGCTGCTGAGTCAATTGTTTTTGCTCTCTCACTTGTGAATAGTTGAGAAGATTTGATCAATGGAAATCGACCAGAACCTCATCCCCATTCTGAGCATCGATGCAGGACGAATTAGAGGAATAATGCCGGCAGTTATTCTCAGTTTTTTAGAGTCCGAACTTCAGGTAAGTCGGGCAACTAATTTCTCTCTTTAACGTAATTTTGGTTAAGATTTGAGTACATTTGGTCACTATTTCTGTAGAAACTCGACGGCCCAAATGCAAGAATTGCTGATTACTTCTACATGATCTGCGGAACAAACACCGGCGGACTGTCGACGGCGATGCTCACTTGCCCGAACGAGAGAAGCCGCCCTTTATTTGCCGCGAAAGATATCAAGGAGTTTTATGTGAAAGAAAGCCCAAGGATTTTCCCTCAACCCAGGTAATTAATGAAGTTCATCAAGTCTTTTTTTTCCATGACTATTCCATGTGAAATGTAAAGTTGAGATATTATGTTGATTTAAAGTATACATTTACTGATTGCCCAGTTGATCTAATTCATCAATTAAATTAGGGTAACTATGTCGATTTTAGGTATCTTATTCTAATTAAATTAGAGTATTTTTTTTTATAAACGCAAAATACACACTCGGATGCTGCGGTATGTAGAGGAGGTGATTAACTCTTCTCGAGGTCCAAAATATGATGGAAAGTACCTTCACAATGTTGTTAAGGAATTACTAGGGAAAAAGAGGTTGCACGACACATTGACCAACGTAGTGATTGTGGATTACGATATTATGTTGAATGACTTAGCCATATTCTAGAGCCATGAGGTATTCATTCTTCTGTTTTCAATTATGTTATTGTTATTTTCAAATCATGATGATTATTTTGACCAACGTAGTGATTGTGGATTACGATATTATGTTGAATGACTTAGCCATATTCTCGAGCCATGAGGTATACATTTTTCTGTTTTCAATTATGTTATTGTTATTTTCAAATCATGATGATTATTTTGTTGGGACTTTTGCTTTTTAGTTAAAAAAATCACCGAGTTGAGATGCCCTCCTTTCCGGATTATTTGCAACAATGCCACCATCTACGAGGGTCGACCGTCTCAAAATAGTGGGAGGGCAGGTAATATGGTGTTGCCATAGCTCCGATGCATATATCGGAAAGGAGGGCATCTCGACTCGGTGATTATTTTAACTAAAAAGCAAAAGTCCCAACAAAATAATCATCATGATTTGAAAATATCGAGAACATAATTGAAAACAGAAGAATGAATACCTCATGGCTCGAGAATATGGCTAAGTCATTCAACATAATATCGTAATCCACAATCACTACGTTGGTCAATGTGTCGTGCAACCTCTTTTTCCCTAGTAATTCCTTAACAACATTGTGAAGGTACTTTCCATCATATTTTGGACCTCGAGAAGAGTTAATCACCTCCTCTACATACCGCAGCATCCGAGTGTGTATTTTGCGTTTATAAAAAAATACTCTAATTTAATTAGAATAAGATACCTAAAATCGACATAGTTACCCTAATTTAATTGATGAATTAGATCAACTGGGCAATCAGTAAATGTATACTTTAAATCAACGTAATATCTCAACTTTACATTTCACATGGAATAGTCATGGAAAAAAAAGGCTTGATGAATTTCATTAATTACCTGGGTTGAGGGAAAATCCTTGGGCTTTCTTTCATATAAAACTCCTTGATATCTTTCGCGGCAAATAAAGGGCGGCTTCTCTCGTTCGGGCAAGTGAGCATCGCCGTCGACAGTCCGCCGGTGTTTGTTCCGCAGATCATGTATGAAGTAATCAGCGATTCTTGCGTTTGGGCCGTCGAGTTTCTACAGAAATAGTGACCAAATGTACTCAAATCTTAACCAAAATTACGTTAAAGAGAGAAATTAGTCGCCCGACTTACCTGAAGTTCGGACTCTAAAAAACTGAGAATAACCGCTGAAATTATTCCTCTAATTCCTCCTGCATCGATGCTCAGAATGGGGATGAGGTTCTGGTCGATTTCCATTGATCAAATCTTCTCAACTATTCACAAGTGAGAGAGCAAAAGCAATTGACTCAGCAGCGAGAACGAGATTTGGGTAGAATGGATCAGATGAAGCACTACGACAGTGTATCCTGTATATATAACATGAACGTTGCTCCAATTGAACAGGAAAGTAAATATTTGATTCTGAAAAATATCTAGTGACCTTGCCAAACAGGAAATAACATCAAAGAGGAAATTAGGATAGTTACCGTTGGCGCACCTGCTGATTAGGCAGCATCTGCCGAAATAGTTAATAAAGATGCTGAGATGCATACACCAAATCTGTGGCCGCCACGTGTAAATATATAGTTTCCTAATTTGATGTCTTCTATCTATGGAAATTTTTCGCTTCCCCGAAGAAAAAGGAAATATATAGCCTCCTAATTGACAAGAACTTTCCCGTATTGTATACATGGCAAGCTTGATCAGTACATAAAGAAGACGAAATTAAAATTGATTAAGTTGGATGTAAAACTTTTATACTTCAGCTATTGCGCTCAATCCCTATGCTGACCTCACTGCCGTTCAAGCTCCGACTTAGTTACCTAGTTCACATGATCAATCTTAACTCAACTAATTACTCGAGCATTCAACACTCCCGTGTGGGAATGTTGGCCATTAGGGTGAGTGACCAACCCCTAGTGGCTCGACCTTTCTTCATCAGGCAGACTAAGTGCACACAAATCTTGGCGTGAGCACTGGAATTCCAGTAACTTTGCTCGAGAATAACTAATGTCGGCCTCTACATCGGCGGCCATCTCCATTCACCACCGGCCCACCGCGGTGGCAGACGGGAGTGAAAATGGAGCGTACAGAACATGGACATGAGAAAACGAAACATAACAGAGGACTCACACCAACATACATTTCGAGACGTCAATATTAGCCCTATCGAGTTCCGGCCATTCCTTTGCCAGTGATCGCCATTAAACACCACAGGAACACAAATTACAGAAACAAAGAACCTTCCCATGGCCATCAAGACTCTTCGTGCCAAAGATCATTATCTTCGGATTCAGATCGTTCAAGTAGTACATGCAATTTTTAGAGCTTTATCAAAAAATATGAAATTGATTTAATGGGTGTAGGATGACACTTGATCAAGCCAGAACTTAGTGAGTTTGCTGAAAAAAACCGGTTTCTAAGAGAAACCCAAAAACCGGCTTGTTAGAGCTTTTTCAAAGAAACCGATGTTGACCTTCTCATAAGGTAAAGTCATTTTTTTTGTCCACTAATTGCAATGAAGTTGTGTCATGTGAGAGCCGATCTCTCAAATCCGATCCGTGAAAAGTCAGAAGATTATTTTATTTATATATAGTTTATCTAAGAGGGAATCCTCAAAAAGAGAAAATTGAGAGAGAAACTCTTAAAAATGTTATATTACTCTAATGAAAATGCATGATACAAGTGAGAGTACTCCCTATTTATACAAAAGTTTCTCTAATTACAACCATTGATCTTCTATGAGATCTATCATCTAACCGATCCTAAGAGATCCACTTGGGTGGTAGATATCAATCATCGTCACATAAATCTAAAGGTTGAGATTGAGTCTATCCGAAGGTTGTGGATATCAACCCTTGTAAAACAAATCCGATGGCAAAGATCGAATCCTCTTGCCAATCTGGCGGATTTAAGGAACTTCCTTGGATCGATGTGGCAATCCTTTGGATTGATGACGTGGCGAGCTCTTGTCTAAATCATTTTTCCATAACTATCAATATTTTTGCTAGTAGGCATGGAAATTTGTCTTCTTGAGTTACTCTTAATTCGTAACAGCATTAGGATGTCATGAATTTGAGTCTACTGTTATGCTATTGAGCAGTCTAATAGACGTATTCGTGTTCTTGATCATCGAATTATAATCAATATGCAATCAATGTTATTTTGAGATTTTGCGTTTCGATTTCGCACACGTGATTAATGTTGTGTGTTGTGTTCTCTTAGCTATCCGTCTTCAGCATATCAACTTTCTTACACAAATTTAATGAGATGATTTATCACGTTTTCCCCTTATTTGAACGGCAACTATTATTAGAATGGAATTTCACAATAAATTGTCATAAATATCTCTTATGAAACATTGTCCCAATAGCTTCATTTATAAAAAGAATTTTCTGATAACTTTTGGTTCACGTGACATTGTACTCATTAAATTAAGTGATTTTGTTCCGGTCCTAACATATAAAAAGCATGGCCAGCATCAATCGTGGGTATGCCACGATTTAACATAAAGTTTTCTTGGTACACAAAAGGAAAAATGACATAAACAGTCCTTGAACTTTAGCCCAATGTGAAATATGATCCCTGAATTTTTAATTTATTCAATGTAGTCTCTGTACTTTAACCCAATGTACAATGTGATCCATGAATGTTTAATTTGTTCAATGTTGTCCTTGAAATTTTGGTAAATGTTCAATTTAGTCCATGAACTGTATGAAAATATTAAATGTAATCCTTCTATTAATTCAAGTTCATGGACTACATTGAACATTTTTATATAGTTCAAACATGTACCAAAAGTGCAAGAATCATATTTAACAAATTAAAAGTTCAAGAACCACATTTAACATTAGGCTAAAGTTCAAGAATTATATTGAGAAAATTAAAAGTTTTGGAATCACATTATGTATTGGACCAAAATTCGGGGACTGTTTGTATCATTATCCCTGTATAAAACTATTAGTGGCCACATAACAATCCAACTTCGTGGCCCAACTATGCCTAGGGGACAACTGGGCTTTAATCTTCCAAACATCATTTAGCCTACTAATTAGGCTCGAGAGAAGAGCTTTATGAGTTTGGCTAAGTACACTGCATTTTAATTTTTTCCCATTAACAAAAAAGTAGACCAACCCCGATTTGAACATCGTCCTATTTTGTTTGGAAAAACATTAAAGATATTGAGACTAATTTAGAAAGTTGGTTCTGGGAATGACATGACGTATTAGACATATTTACATTCACTAGCAATCATCTGTATAGTATTTTTTTTTTTTGCTCGAGTAAAAATTGCACCCACGATTATTCTTAGGATGAAATGCTCTTTTTTTTAAAAAAAAAAAATTCCTTCTAGTTTTAAATCCCAAGCTCCAAAATCAACAACGCCATATACAGGGCTGTTAACTTTTCTCAATTACTTGGAACTTAGTTTTGTTGGGAATCGAGCACCGATTCCAGAAAAATAACCCAAGCAAACAATTCTCACTAGCAGAATATAATAATAAAAGAACAGAATCGAAAAGAACACACCAGAAAATTTGTTATCGAAGTTCACCCAAACTCGGGCTACGTCTCCGCGTAGAGGCACTCTGCGAATCCACTAGATTTAAAAGAAAGTAGAATACAATGATGATCTTCTCTCAAGATGGGGGCACAAAGAGATTGAGAACACTCACAAAGAAAAAAAACTCACTTTTTTCTTCTCTCTTTTCTTTTCTCTCTATTTTCTTCTCAGCGCTTGATGGCTAACTTCTATTAATAGCTGATATATAAAGCATAGCTTTTAACCTAAAAGCAAAATTAATAGAAAAGACAAAAAAAGCCCTTAATAACAATATTTGGCTTCATCCTCCAACAATCTCCCATTTGAAGACAAATACACCCGATGCACCAAGCAACTTTGCATCCATTTACTTCAAAAGCTAGTAACCTGAACTTGTGCCTCTGCGATACTCCTCATCAATTAACATGGAGTAATACCAATGGTAGTAGTACAGAAAATAAGTTTCTCTCTGTCTACTACCTTGGTAAACATATCAGCTGGATTCTTCGAGCCATCAATCTTCTGTAACTTTAACTCATTATCTTTTAATGCTGACTTGATGAAATGATAACGCTTCTTGATATGTCTAGTTCTTGAGTGATAAGCTGCATTCTTTGCTAAGTGTACTGCACTTTGACTATCACTCCACAATGTGCTCACTGGATGCTTTCGATGTAGCTCCTCCATGTAATCTTGTAACCACATGATTTCCTTGGAGGCTTCCGTGATCGCCACGTACTCTGCT